TCATTCCCAAGAGTTGGTCAGCAGTCACACAGAGGAATTTACACTACAGTCTGTAAATTATTACAAAGTAAAAATTGTAAGTGTTTTAACATCTGTAAGACAACATGCTACCTGCATAGAGAAAGGAACTTGTTTAAAAAGGAACTATTTTCATGGCACTTTTCCAAACCTGTGCAGGTTCTGATGTTCTTCATGGCTGATGAAAGATAACCAGGCATGCTTAGAATCTTTTTTTAAATAGAATTTTGTGCCTGTTATTCCTGTTGCAAAGAGGAACACTTGCAGTTCACCACAAGCATAGGAAACACAGCAGTCCTAAAGTGGTATGTGTACCAATAAAGTCTGGAGGCATGGAAGGTCTGGCCCTCCTAAATGAATTTAGCAAATCTCTACCTGTGTTTTTACCACCAGTAACCTGAGTTGACAATCTTGCCTGGGCTTCAGACATTTGGTGCTATGGAAATAGCATTGGTGTCAAGTATTCTGCAGTTACAAAACACATGGGGAATCTGAGTAGTGTAGTCTACATCTAGCCTTATTAAATACAGTAATTAACTATGATTGTTTTAGCTATATATAACTACACATTTAATATATACATCCATTAAATAATATGAAATGGAATCATTCAAAGTGTTTTGTTTCTTTTGAGAGACTCTGGGAGACTGGAATTGTGGTTGAGAGTTCTTATTAGGATTCTCCTGAAGATTAATGCTTTTCTTCTGTGTATTGGTAGAGTTCAGTGAACTATATAAGGTCACTGAAAAAGGGTAGAAATGTGAGATGCCTTGGTGCTGCCTAGCAACAACAGTAGGTAATAACTAGTTCTTTATATTAGTGGAGGTAAATGCCTATATGAAAACTAGGTGAAGCTGAAATTGTGCAAGGTGAGATGACTTTAATATCTTCTTCATCAGTGACATAGTGGGGTCAAGTGCACCATCAGCAAGTTTGCAGATGACACCAAGCCGAGTTGTGCGGTTGATGTGCCCAAGGCACAGGATGCCATCCAGAGGGACCTTGACAGGCTTGAGAAGTGGGTCCATGTGAACCCTCATGAGGTCCAACAAGGCCGAGATCCTGCACCTGAGTTAGGGCAACCCCTGGTATCAGTACAGGCTAGGGGAAGAAGGGATTGAGCAGGCCTGCCAAGGACTTAGAGGTACTGGTGGATGAAAAGCTGGACATGAGCTGGCAATGTGTGCTTTCAGTCCAGAAGGTCAGCTGTATCCTGGGCCGCATCAAAAGAAGTGTGGCCAGCGGGTCAGGGGAGGGGATTCTGCCCCTCTACTCCACTCTGGTGAGACCCCACCTGAAGTACTGCATCCAGCTCTGGAATCCTCAGCACAGGAAAGACACGGACCTGTAGGAGCAGGTCTGTTCTTTGACTTTGGACAAATTAAAGGAAATCCTGAACCAAAACCTCAGTTACTTATTGAAATTTGTGGTGGTTTGTGCTTATCCGATAATAACTTCCAGGTTCTGTGTTCTGCTAGCAAATAACTTTGAGTGAAGAACAAAATATTATGTACGGTCATTCTAGTTTATGCAACAGCTTTGTAAATGAACTATTTGTTTAGGGTAATAGTAGCATTCCATTGATATCAAAGCATATTCTTAATGGTTTTGGCCCTGTAGTGACATAAAATAGTAAAACAATCAATGTATTATCAGAAAGTGTGATTCTGAGTATTAAGAGGAAATTAGTTTTGAAACTTGTCATTGGTATGTCATCAGTTGTCAGAGTAGTATGATGTGTTGGCATTTTCTATTCTTTTTTAAGTGATGACTTACAAGTTTTTTTAAAGTCAGATGCCTTTCTGTCAGTGGGGGCATGTAAATAACGTATGTCATAGAATCTGTTTGATAATTCAGCTGTGGTCAAATATCAGTTCAACTCTGCCACGGCAGAAGAAGAAACGTCTTGGAATGTATTCATTCTACGTTCTGAATGTCAGGTCCTACTAGTATAGCATCACAGTTCCTGTCTGAAATGTGATAATTGCTGGTTTACTCTTTTTTTATATATATATAAGACTTGAAAATTGTTACTAAGAGTACTAGAGATTGTTGTGATGTTAAATTGTTGTGGCCTTTAGACTAAAAAGAGTGGTGCTACTTTTAAGCCCTGGAATTAAGCTTTTCTGACAGGTTAGTGCAATGAATAAACAAGAAGTTAGGTGAACATCAGTTTAATACCTGTAACACAGCAATAACTACACTTAAAAAAAAAAAAAAAAAAAAGAGTAGAATGTTTCATCTTAAATTCTTACTCTCCTTCTTCACACTTTTTTGTAATTTTGTAACAGCAGATGCTTTGCTATTGTTTGTGAATGTGTTGCAAGTTTTTTATCCTTCCTGTCTGGATTCTATACTTCAGATTTATTTTTTTTTTTTTCTTTGTGAACTTTCTGAATGTTTGGGTCAGCATTCTTCTGTTGTCTTGGAACCTTCTAATGGATTACAGAAGGGCAACCAACTCTTTTAAAGTTTGCATCTTCTCAAACACGCCTTCATCAAAAATGTAGCTACTTTTACCAAGAGGCGATCTGGTGGAATTTCCCTTCCATTCTCAAGTATGGGTATGCTATTATTGTTCCTGTGTTTACTTGTAGGCAGTATTTTTGTGACAGACTGGCCTCTGATTATTTGATTAATAGGCTGAGTTCATACAAATCGACTTGATGCCAGTAGATCCTCACTCTTCTGGAGGAAGAAATATAGCACTTAGTAGCTTCTTTTTTGTGAAGTGGTGAACTTTTATGTAGACCTGCTGCACTAATATGTGAGACTTTTTCTTAGATTATCTTACAGTTTTGGTTTTTAAAATTTCATAGGGTAGCGCTTAAAAGTCAGGGCATAACGTAATGCAGTTAGACTCAGGTTTACAAGTGTGGTTTGATAGATGTCCTTCTTATATTTGAAAGTGGAGAGTTGAAATGATACATGTCTTAGATGTGATTTCCTGTAAGGTACCAGATTACATCAGCGACTGTAATAGTGACACAAGTCTGCAGTCTTGATTTCTATCCTCTTAGCTATAGATTGGTAGGCATTTCATACGAATGTATAAACTACCACAGCATTTAATATCCATCCGTGTTGAAAAATTTATCCCTTTTTTCATTTTTGTTTCTGACATTATTTTGGGCCTTTTGAATACCAACCAGTTGATACCAAATTCTTTGCTCACCTTATGTAAATAAAACAAATTGAAGATTTCCTTGCAGGTTATATTTGAAAGAAAGAATATAATTAAATAAAGCTTTGATGATTTAATCTGTTTATGCTAGATGAGTGTGGGCGAGGCATGGCACAAATTGGAAATGCTTTATGATAGTTTTCTGAAGATGCAGAATACAAACAAACCCTGGTAATGCAATAGATATTTTAGTTGCAATTCTAGTGAATGCATCATGGGGAAACTCCTAGCCACGCTTAAAGTGATACCTATGAACATATGGTCCTATATCTGACAAATTAGTGGAATATTTAACTTACAAACCATAATATATAGACTTTAAAATATAGAGACTTTAAAAACAAAACAAACCCCCTGTGATAGGATAGGTCTGCCCAGCCCACAGACTCTGGGGGCTATAGTATCCCTTGAAGACATTTGACATGCTGAGAGCCCAGCAGCAGTGCCTGGCCTTTGGCTTGCCTTGCAGCTGTGCAGACAAGAGTTCTCTTTGACCTCAGGCAGTTCTGAAAATCAGTAGCTACCTGACAAGAAGAGTGTGCCCAATCTCTGGCCAGGCATTGGGTATCTATTAGCTAACCAGTGTAGATGTGTAGCTACAGGAGCTGAAACTCAGGTGTGCTAACTCTCGACTGATGTTCTTGGGTAGGTAATGCAAGCAAGATATAATGGTATTGTTGCAAAGGGTGGTATATGCATATTTAAAGACATGGCGCTGTGAGGAGGGTAGGATGTAGAAGGTCTGTAGCAAGTGCTGAATTAATTTTTTTGTTTTAAACGTTCTTACTGATAATCGTATATGAAAGCAGAGCATATCAAAGAATATTTTATGTCTCTTGTTGCTTGTAAAACATCTTAGTCATTTAAAGTAAGCATATTTACCATTTGAGACAACATAATTTCAGTAACGTATAATCTTTTAGAAATTTTTATGTATATATACACATATAAACAGACACTGAGGAAAAATTGTATCTCCTTGATACTGAGCTCTGCGTAGTCTGTGTACTTTTAAGTGATGGTATTCTAAAGTTTGTAGGCAGGGAGGTGATAGGACATTTGTAACCTTTAAAGCTTTCAGGGTAGTATAATGCACCTAGGGCAGGAGAGCTGGTTTTACTGAAGCTGCAGAGTATAGAGGGCTACATGTGAGGATCAGAACATAACTCATAAGGTTGCTTTTCAAGTGAAAATTGAAAATAGTGAATTTGAGGTAGTAGGAATTGAGGCGGTGAATGTTTATGAAGCTCCTCAGCACCTTTTTGCTGTCATTTTTATTAAAGGAGAACAAATAAATGCTGTAATACTGATATATGAAAATAAATGTCCATAGTTTCACAGTCTCTTTTAACAAATAGGTAATATATAGTGTTTAGTGGATGCTAACATTTGCTTTAACTCTAGCACTGTCAGTATTAAAGACTTACACTGTTATGTTTTATAACAAATGCCTTAAAATTAAGGTAGTATATGCGAACTCTTTATTTCCTAAACTTAGGCTAGGTTGGTATTTTAACATGATAGTTTCCAACTTTTCCATCGACATGCTCTCACAGGAACCGTACTTCATGTTTGATCCTTCATCAAGCAACTGGAAAGTAAATGTTCTACACCTGGAACGGTTGTGCTTGCTGTGTGATGGCTTTGGGGTTGGTCAGGTATAAACATGTGATTGGATGTGCACCTGTGGCTTGGCTGAAAACCTAGTCATCTTAAAGGTCTGCCTGTATCCAGTTGTGTTGAAGGGTTACACACTTACGGAGTTGTGTGCTGGAGGTCATGTGTAGCCAGTTGTGCGATGGTTGTCACTCCAAAGAGAGGTAATGACAAGAATAGGAAGTGGCATGCTTAGTCAGCCACATGTGCCCTTGTGGTTTCCTGAGCCAAGGAGTATTGTGTGAACACTTGTTCAGGTGAGCCCAGTCTGTTAGACTGGCTGCCGTTCCTCTGAAGGGTCTTTTGGAGATAAATACTGAAATTTGAATAGAAGTTTGTGGGATGTGTGCCTTTCGCTGGGGAAACTGGAAGGAAGGGAATAAAGAAAGTGCAGTGGAAGAATGTAGTAATGGGGATTTCCTGCAGTGTAATGAAATCTGAATTCTGCATGGGAAATGGCATGGAATGACAACTTTCTGCTAAGTCTTTGCACAGTGTGTGGAGACTTGACCTTGCAAGGTAGTGTCTGAAATATATGTTCTGATATAATAGGATCTGTAGTGGGCAGTGGACTGGAGGATGACTTGGATTTTGCATAACCTGTTTGTAAGGATTTATAGAATGTGCTAGTAATAAGCTTTAAGTTCTCATGTACAGCCTTAATTATCTTTAACATGCATTCATGATTAATTCAGTTACAAGCTAACATTATTTTTTTTCCATGTATCTTTCTTATTTGGCATACAGAATGAACAGTGCTTATTCAACAAGAAGCTATACACACACAGATTATTGTTACTGTTTTGTACCTTTTTGGTGGCTGATTTATGCCACGCCCGTGTTTTACTTTCAATGAGTCCTTCTCAGAACAGGTGATTGTGCAAACAAATAGAATCATTTTGATTTAAGGTGGCTATATGAGACACATGATTTTGTATTTAATTTCATTGTTCAGACATCCTCTTGGTAAACCCTTTTTCTACCATTGAGATTAATGCTTAAATTTTCATAAAGTTTTTATAAGAAATTTACATATTTATGCATTCTTTTCCAAACTCCTAATTGTTACACTACTATAGGGTGTGTGCATGTGTGTAACACTAGTTTAAAAGAAGCACAAAGGGGAAAGTGTGTTATGTGTATATTGGGCAGACATAGTGCAGGAACATAGATTAAATAGTTTTAAATGAATTGTATAAAGGTTATAGTAAATATCCCTTAAATATGTCTTCCCTGTAAATTCAGCAATGACCAATGTTAACTTTTGACATGCAAAACTTGAAACTGATCTGCTGAATGATCTCTGTACAATATAAAGATCTTTTGAGTGTGTAATGCTTGTCAGAGAACTGCATTTTTCACTACATGTTGCTCTGAATTACATTCTTGAACTTCATACTTTTTTATGTTAGCATTCATATATTTCTCTTGGCATCTTTCTTTTAAAACATTTACCTCAGTATTGGAAGTAATTTCCAGAATTTTGTAGGTTTTTAACTCAAGATCAAGCTGGGAGAGGTGGAAAAATTAATGTGGTTTGGTTTTTTTTGTATACTCACTTCTGGATTCTAATGAATCAATAGACCATAATTCATATTGCCATGAAGTGGCACAAGCTATTTAAGCGTACTCATGAATTCAGCAGATTTACAGTTATTATTCATTACTGTATACGGACCATATTGACTATATACCTTTTATCTTCATATCTAATTAAATTTTTTTTAAAGACTGAAACTTTTGTTTTTAAATGAATATTACTTGTATTTGTAAGAAATGACAAATGCATTGAGTTCACAATCACAATAGATGTCTTTTTTTTTTGTCATGAAGTGACTTGAATTTTGTGTATATCTATTTATATGGAAAATCATGATGTGTTTTTACAGGCTATGAGAAGACAGATGATGTTTCAGAGAAAACTTCTCTAGCTGATCAAGAGGAACTGAGAACTATATTCATCAATCAGCCCCAGCTAACCAAATTCTGCAATAATCATGTCAGGTATTTTTGTTGATACATACTGAATTTCAGAACGTTGCATATAGCGTAGCAAAAATGAAGGAAAGACTGTTTATTCTGCTTCTGCCGTTTCCTTTGACCACTAGTTACAGTCTCAGACTATGGAGGGGAGAATGAAGTGGACTGAGAGCAGCAAGCTGTTTCAATTACAAAGGCGACCTTCCAAATTTTTAAGAATGGGGTGAAGAAGGTCTTGATTGGGAAAGAGTTGCCTTTACAGCTGCACAATCAGCATGCCCCTGAAGAATGGATTTGTTCTTCAGCTTTCAGTTCAGTGGAAGTTTAGTTCATCTTTGAATATAATTCTGGTAGCTGGATGCCAATGTGGATGTACTTCTCTTGAGCATGGCATTGCTGGTGCTTTGGAAACTGTCAACCAGCTGCAGAGATGCTGTGGCTGCTTTAATTTTGAGTTTGGGCTTTAGGACTCTGGTGATGATTTATGGTGCAGCTTCTCTGTTAGTTGTTATTGAATTTTAAGTAATACACTGAATACTCATAAATAATCTATATTTAGATCTGAAAAGATCCTCAATTCTGTTGTTAAAATTCAAAGTAAATGAATAGCAAAGATATCCCTGTCCCAAGTAGGTATGTTTTTCTGAAAATACCTTTGATATAAGCAGAAATTTTATAGACATTGAGAATAACATGGTGGGAGTTTTTCGTGGACTTTATAATGTGTTCTGTTTGCGCACACAACATGCCTTTTCTGTCTTTCCCTTTGCTTCTTGACAGTGCTGAGCTTTTTGCAGAATACATTCATTCCACATTTAAATTGACTGGTTTGTGTGAAGTTAAATATTACTAACTTTGAAAGGGGTTAAAATAGACTTCCAAGTCTTCAGCTTATCAGTTTTTGTCATGATTATTTCCTTACTGGTTTAGGACCTTAGATGGTAGCAGTCTGTTCTTAAATGTAAGGCTGACAAAGAACTGGGTGTTCAAACATTCTGTGATGATGGCTTTGCGGAAATCATTACACTAGGATAAACTGTATTCTGTTCTTCCAGCCTAGCAAAAACTTACAGAGTATCCAATATTTATCAGTTTAAAAATAAAAAAGTAAACTTTACATTCAATTAAGGGTATAGTTTTTTAATCTTTCAATAGAATTTTATAATTTTAATAATTTCTTAAATGCATCATTTAAATTCAGTTGATCCTGTTGTTGGGGCTTTTTGCATTGAATCGTGCAAACTCACACCCAGCACAGAAGCTCCACAGCTCCTCAATTCTGATTTAGCACCCTCCTCATTAGGCTTGTTATACCTCTTTCCCCAAGAATTTTGTCTGAACTGGAGCTGTTGCGCAGAGTTGCCTGCCCAGCATATGCCATAGCTTGTGGGGTAGGGTGTTCCTCTGGGCCCAAGACCTGCAGGGCTGGAGCCTCAACGGTGGTGCAACTGCCTGACTGTTAGCTTATATTTCTTTTTTTCTTCTCGTTGCCTGTAACAGAGTGGCAGTAGGGCTTGACTGATTCCCACAGATCAGGCAGAGGTGACAAGGGAATTTCTTGCCTCAACATGGAAGCTTGCAACAGTTTCTGTGGGTGGTGGTGCTTCCCTGGGTTAGCTGGTTCATGGTCGCCTGCAGGACTGTCTCTGTATAAGTCTTTTGGTTTCTGTTTCAGCCAAAACAAATCTGTTTGCAAGCACAGAAATCACAAAAGGTTCTGTTTAATTTGAAAGCTTGTATAACTGAGAGGGAAGGAGTATTTTGTACTGTAATAATAGCGCCTGTTTTTGTCTTTTTCTCTCAGCACTGCAAAGTACAACATAATCACATTCCTGCCAAGGTTCCTTTATTCCCAGTTCAGAAGAGCTGCTAATGCATTTTTTCTTTTTATTGCATTACTTCAGGTAAGATCAACAAGAAGATGCTAATGTTTGAAACTTGCTAAGAGCATTTATAACATAGACATTTGCAGAGATACTGATGTTGGTCTACTGTTCTTTCTGAGCTCATTAACCTTGTAGAATATCTGAATTGTGTAAACATACCTTTAATAAATATTTGGGTTTGTGGGGTTTTTTACTCCTTGGAGATAACAGCATACACACATAGGTTTTCCTGTAAAACAGATTAAGTATAGCTGAAGTACTGTCAGGTGAGAAAAGACTCGTGTGGCAGGAAAATCCCAGCTAAAAATATCTAGCATACATGGAAAAATGTTACCTGTGGCTGACACTTCTCTTAATGGAGGATACTGCCTTTTAAAACCCCAAACTTTATGAACTTTAATCCTGTAGTCTGTTTTGAGGTGTAGGAATTGCAGCTGGGGAGAAATGATTATTTATTCTTGAAGTGTAGCTGGTAAGGATTGAAGCTGGGTCTAGATTGAACAAAAACAGCAGGGGAATCCACTGCTATAGCAGCTACTTCCCATATCCCAGCTGGTTAACTGTGCTAACTCGGAAGAAAGCACACAGTCCTTTTCTATACCACCACTGTAGCTTCATTCAGTATGTTTGCAAAGGGCTATCCCTGACCAAGCTTACTGAGGCATTTTTGAAAAAGTATATAACGTTTTGCAGATATATGAGAATATTTTAATTTTGCAGTAATTCAAGTTGATAAAGCAGATTGTGAGGTATTGTGTTCTATTAACGCAATAGCTGATGATGAATGAAAATTGAACTCTGGGCATGTGCAGTGATAATTACGATTGGCTAGTTCTGTGTTCTTAATCATATTTGATAAAAACACATTTTCTGCATAATTTCCAGTGTATGTTTTAGAATGTGTTGATTTGCTAGTTGTAGAGATCATAGAGTTAGGAATTGACATAGCAAACAAAAAAATTACTAAAATAATGGCACATATACTACCATGTGTACTTTTTCTTCTCTCACTTCAGATGTTTCAGCAAGTGAAAGTTTATTCCTCAGTACTTACTCAGATTTCTTTGCTTCCACTCTAAGTGCTTAGAGCAGTTTGTTAGGATATGTCTATACAGCTATCTTACACTGTTTTCTAAGCATAAAAAATCTCAAGTTCAACATTTAATTAGGTTGTCTGCCTGCAAACCTGTGACTTCTTAATAAACAGCCCTTTGACCCCACCTGGCATCTCAGGCTAATCCAGTGGTCCAGCAGCATTTCTTGTGGTGCCACTGTGCACATCAAGCTGGTGAGGTTTAGAAGCTGTTTGAAGCTTGGCAGGGCTGGGTGAGAGGCTGGCAGGTAGGTGTTTGGGGTGGAGGAAGTGGAATGTGAGGATTTAAAAGTTCACCCACCATTTCCTATCAGGCTATTGGTGAGACCACAATGGCAGGAGTAAGAAATATGGGGTAATGGAACCAGGGTACAGGCTGGTGCCCCTTTTGCTTTCATATTTTGCCTGGAAAATAATTTGTAAGTGGAATGTGGAAGTTTGATCATACATGTAGGGAGGAGAGAAGGGGTAGGAATAGCTGGAGAAGTGATAGATCCCTTTCTCTTGTAGCCAGTACATAGATATTTCCCCAACAGTAACCTTCTGCCTGGTTTCCACATAATTGCTTGAAAAATGTGGCCTAGAGTAACCTGGTAAATAGATCAATATTGGTCTTACTCCAAGAAACATAGCATATGTACATATAACATCCTGTTTTCTTTCAAATGCACATTGTGGTGTAGCAAAAAGAAATGTGTATCATTCATACATAACATTGGCTGTTTTTCAGAAATTGAGGATGTCTGCTAAGCACATTGAGGCACCACTTTAGTGTACTATATCCTTGCAAAGATCTCATTGTAGTCATATGGCCCATATTAACTACTATAAGTCTGTTAAGGCAGCAGTCCTCTCACCCATCAATGTTCCCATTAACAACTATAGTCAATATAAAAATTATTACGAATAATCATCCATGTATATCACTTGAGTAGCTGCATGTTCTCAGCATTTGTTTTACATATGCATTTGCTTGCATCATCTGTGCCCAGACCTGCTTGGCAAAAATGGGTTTCTTTCAATAATCTGGTTAGTAACTACTGTGATACAAAATATCTCTTGGAGATTAAAGCTGTAAGGAAGTAAAAATAGAATCATAGGATCCTTCAGGTTGGAAAAGACCCTTGGGATCATCGAGTCCAACCATCAGCCCTATTCTGCAAAGTTCTCCCCTACACCATATCCCCCAACATCTCATCTAAACGACCCTTAAACACATCCAGGGATGGTGACTCTACCACCTCCCTGAGAAGCCTATTCCACTGTCTGACCACTCTTTCTGTGAAAATTTTTTTCTTAATGTCCAGCTAAACCTCTCCTGTTGCAGTTTAAAGCCATTCTCTCTTGTTCTGTCACTAATCACCTGTGAGAATAGACCAGCACCAACCTCTCTACAATGTCCTTTCAGGTAGCTGTAGAGAGTGATGAGGTCACCCCTCAGCCTTCTCCTTAAACTGCACAGTCCCAGCTCCTTCAGTCACTCCTCATAGGATTTATTCTCCAGGCCCTTCACCGGATTTGTTGCCCTCCTCTGCACTCGCTCCAGCACCTCGATATCTCTCTCGTATTGAGGTGCCCAAAACTGGACACAACACTCCAGGTGTGGCCTCACCAGTGCAGAGTACAGGGGCACTATCACCTCCCTACTTCTGCTGGTCACACCATTTCTAATACAAGCCAGGATGCCGTTGGCTTTCTTGGCACCTGGGCACGCTGCTGGCTCATGTTCAGCTGCTTGTCAATTAGAACCCCCGGATCCTTCTCTTCTAGACAGCTCCAGCCACTCCTCCCCAAGCTTGGACTTGTGTCCACTCTAACAAAAATCTAAACTGAAAAAGTTCGTTGTATTTTATAAATACATATTCTAAATTTGAAACACAGAAAAGGAAGGTGAACATTCTCCAGAAGCTAAAGCCTCTGGATGTAACTCCACTGTTACTGCTATTTAAAATGCAAATGTTGTTTTATCATCTTCTTTTGAATTGAAGACAATAATCCTCTCTTGGAAATAATCAATACCATGTCTAAAAAGTGAATCCAGTTGCCTTGTCTATATTTGCACAGAAAGTACTGCTTCTTGTATTAAAATTTGTTTACATTTCTGATTGAAACACAATTTTTTCTTTTTCTTTTTAATAGCAAATACCAGATGTATCACCGACAGGCCGTTACACAACATTGGTCCCTCTTTTATTTATTTTAGCTGTCGCTGCAGTGAAGGAGATAATAGAGGATATTGTAAGTATTTACTAGCAATATTTTGTAAATAGCTTTCAAAGTTTTCATAGATTATATTACAAAAATTTTGTTGAATAATTCTCTGTTGAACCATTCTTGCCTTCTGGATGCTTTTGAAAGCTTCTAAAGCTACATACTTGGGAAGATGAAATCTTTAGAATATGGTGTTATGATTTGAAAGTGTATTTACTATATGTACAAGTGACAGCGTAGTAAAACAGTGTTGTTACATACATGGCTTCTATTCAAACACTTCTCATTAATGAAATACAAGCATATTTTTAAAGTGTGAACTGGAACCACAGACTCCACAGAAGCCAGTCAAGTCCAGAATACTGCCAATTTATTCAAACAAGGGCTCTGCTAAAAAGAAGATTGGAAGCTACTGAATTCATCTCAAGTGGAATCTATTTTAAAGCCAAATAACCTCTAAGTATTAATTTGGTTAGGAAAATACTCTTTTTTTCCTTCCTGCAGGGATAGAGTCCTTTACTCCCACTAATGATACTTGTGAGCTGGATTTAAAATCAATCTGTGAATGAGATACTAGACTAACATTTTATAGGAAAAGTGTGAGAACTTCTGGCTTTAGTTCATGAAGAAGGTAGGAATAAAAAAACAATCATGCCAGGATTCTTATTTTTACATCTTTATTTGAGGTGCCTTATTAAAAAAAAAAAAAGCCCTGAGGAACTCAGACTTGAGGATCTAGGAGGCTGCATAGTCTCAAGCATTTTCACTTGTCCTCCTTACCCAAAACTAGATGGATTTTTGTTTCATGACTAAATTCCTGGACCTTTCTAAAAAGTATCTTTTAAATTGCTACTATAATTATAATGTGACACTTTTTTAGTATGTTTAGAATAGTAATCTGTTTAGTTCAATGCATTTTAGATGAATGAGTACAGGTCACTGATGTGCCATTTTTAAGGTTTTAAAAATGGATTTTCACCAGTTGTTAAATCCAGGTCCATGCATCTGATGCATTTCTCTGTTTCTAAAGTCACATGCATAAAATCCTTGATTTCACTGTTGTGACATTGCGTGTTTTAGTAGACAGCAAGGGGAATCAGCCTTTTTCATTTTTAATTGTTGCTCTAGCCCAATGCAATTTATTGTTAGTCTTTTATGTCTTGGTGCTAAGTGGGATCTGCTGATGCCTGATGGCCAGGAATAGTCATGGAACGCTTGTTCTTGTCAGGCAGGTGCCTCCACCTACACCAAGCTCTCCTTGGCTCTCTCCAGTCACTGTTTATGGTAGTGGTTCTTCTGCTTTCTTCTTGCATTGAGTGAAAACTTTAAAAGAGCTGGGATTTTGTCATGACTTGGAAGTGTCCAGTCAGGTGACTTCTAATCTGCGGGTATTGAAAGGACTTCCAGGGTCTGTTTCACTTCATACAGAAGATGTTGAGGCTTTCTGAGTACTTTCCTGCTTGCTCTTCACTGAAAGCATATGGTAGAACATGTCTTTCTAATTTGCATAACGTAATTGAGTCTTTCAGAAGATGACTCTTGTTTCTAAGGAACTATTCTTGATCATTTACCAAATCACTGTAGATGCTAAGAATTTGTTCATCCTCTCCTGTTTTAGTTCTGCAAATGTTATATGGAGGACAAGAAGTTAGAGAGATCATTATATGGCAGATTGTTTTGTCTACTAGAGGAGTAGTGTTCCCTTTTTTTTCTTTAAGATATTGTGAGCTGTTTTCTTAATTTTTGGAAAGGTGCAGGTAGTGTAGTCTTTCCCTGCACACAAATAGTAGGCTTTCTGGCAGCATCGCATTTGTTGTGTTTGAGCAGAATTGCAATGTGCAGAAACATAATCAAGGGGAAGAGCAGTGAGCTGCAAAGCTCTGAAATGGAGGGTGGCTGGGCAGCCTTTCCTGCTGATAACAGTAAACTCAATCTTCTCCTCAGTTACCTCTGTGTGAATGGATGTAGGCAGGTTATATTGACCCCTGGGTTACTCCTGAGTGACAAGGTTGAGTGGTCCTGCAAGAGGCAATGATGTTTCCACCAAATGTTTTTGTTCTGTTTTGTGTTTCTAGTATTTGCTGCCCAATAGTCAGTTTCTCCTTAAGTGTCTTTGTTGCTTTCTCTTTGCATAAACAAAATCAATTCATGTTCTTTCAGATATTTTTAACCGTTCTGCTGTTAATGCTTACAGACTTAAACCATCTGTTGGTGTCTAGGCAAATATAAAACTGAGGCTGCTGCTACTGTACAAAGTGTCCTCTTTAAAGTTATCTCATCCACTCATTTTTCTTTTGTGTCATTCGTTTGTACCATTTGCTGTTTGCAACTTGAAGTGTACAGTTTGGTGTGTGTAGGAAGACAGGGAATAGGTTTAGAGGTTTTTGTGTGTATCAGCTAAAACAATGAATTTCTCATTACTAAATACTACAGAGGTACCTAAAAGCATATCAGATAATGTAAACTTAACAGAAAGAAACACAGTTCCTCAGGACATAGTTAATTCCTGCTGTACTTCGTTGAAACTGAATGGGAGAATTTAGCTGCTAATTTAAAGGCTCTGTGTGTGTATATATATGTGTGTGTGTTTGTGTGTATACACAGCTGATGCTAACTTTATGAATTTCTCACTTGCACAGCTGAGTTTTACAGACCATAGTCCAAACAAAACTATTTGCTTATTTGTTGAAATCAAATGTTGCCTGCTGGTTATATCATGCCAGAGTATTTGGCTGACTGACAGCTGTACTATTTTTCCTGTGAAAGTTGACCACTTGATGCATAGTAAAATATTCAGTGTGTTTTCCCTTAACCTTTAATTTTCATTATGTCTTAGTTTCTTTACACAGTGAGATATCTGGTATCTCCAGGAATGGTTATCTCATCTAACATTAAGCAAGATTAATTGTCTTGTGGATGGAAACCTTATATATCAATATCAACAAATATACTTATCAAAATAATGCTTTCAGGAACCGCATGCTTCCTTTCTGGAGTGAAATTCCAAGAAGCGGAAGATGTTAGCAGGATACATTATATGGAAAACACATGCTGTCCATGAATATGCTTCAGATGTGCTAGCAAAATTTATGACGTGCAATGTCATAAAATTTCCAATGATTGTCACCCAGCATAACTCAAAAAGCAACTCACACCAGACTTTTCAGGCTGAAGGAAACTCTCTGTGTGGACAAATAAACATCTGCTTTGGTCAAGATGTTTTGCCTTTCCATTCATCTAAGGTTATTTATCTGTGAGATCAGCCATCTTTTGGAAAGGAGAATCTGCTGAGAATCTGTGAAAATCTAGTAGAAAAATAGTAACTTAGTCTTCACAAAGTGATAAGGTGGCCTTTTAAGAGCTGCTAGCTCAGAGTCATACCGGCATTCTATTAGTAATAAATCCCTTAACTTATTTTTCTTTCAACTTACAAGATTGTTTCTGATTGTATTTCAAAGGCATGAATTCTGTAGCTCTATTCAAAAAGCTTAACCTAAACCAGCTAATTCTGTTTAAATTAATTTTCCAAATCATGCTCCTGCTCAGGAAGAACTAAGTACATTACTCTTAATCACTGTGTTTAAACTAGTAGTCTCCTAAGATTTTTGCAGCTGAGTTTGTTTATACCTTGAAAATGCCGGTGGTTAGTAGTTGCATCAAAAGGTTTCTCATAATTGTATTAAAACCCAGAAACTTCATGGCCTGTTTAGGGTGGAGGGTTTTGTGGATTTTTCTTTGTATGTTTCTCTTCTGTTTTTTACTGTTGCTGAAGTCTGCAGGCACTTATGTGGAAGTGAAGTCATATGCTTACACAGTTATTGCTTGACTTCAGATCTGTAGAAGACACTTGTATGAAGAATGGTTCCATGATCTTTACTCTCAGTTGCAGGAAAGGGAAAAGTTCTGGTACACAAATGGACCACTTCCTTAATGTGTTTAGATAGTGATTGCCTGTGAGAGGACATTGTAGTACAACACAATTAGCCTGGAACGGGTGTGACTTTCCTGATGATCATAACTATGCAATTAATCCATAGTCCTATTTAAAATGTTTTTTACATCTGTTTATTGAACTGATGAGTGGGAGGGGGTAATACATGTGATTTTTATCTTAAGTGTGAAAGCTTTATCATGTCAGTGGAATTCTTTAACCCCTGTGCATTTTTAATTTAGAAAAGGCATAAAGCTGATAATGCAGTGAACAAGAAACAAACTCAAGGTAGGAAATTTTAAAAAACCTATTAATTGTGGGTTGGGGGGGTTGCTTTTTGAATTTTTTGCAAATGGTGGAAATGTGATCTGGACTGTTGATAGGTAATTGAGTGGGAAATGGTTTATGCAGATTACTTCCAAATTTGGAATCTAAACAGTTGAAATAAGTTTGCAGTCACATTAGTCCCACAAAACAGCTCTAGATTAAGTTTGTGAGGTTGCCAAGAAACTTTAAAATTTACTCATTTAACACAGGGGATGCTGTAGCTTTTTAAAAGATTGTAATCGCCACTATGTTTGGTGGGCCTAGATTGTGATGAAAAGTTTATACATTTCTAAGTACACAAATTATAATTTTATTCAACCAGCAAATCTTGAATAATTAGATTTTGGAAAATTCTAGAATTGGAAGGAGAAGTCAAAATGGAACATTTGATGATGCTTCAAAATTGGATAAAGATGAATGGAGTTTTTTGCTTTTTGTGCGTTTTTTTCTTAAGATGAAATCAATTTAATGGTTTGATTGGAGATAATGAGCTATTTAGCCAGTGTACCCAACCTAAAACTTTGGAATATGATTATTATTTTAAAAAAATAATAAAAGAAGTGTTAAATCCAGAGGATTATTTTAGCTCAGAAAATGAGGGAGATGTTAGCTAATATGCCCTAAACACACTTGTCAGGTAGGAAGTCCAAAGTTTAAGTTCTGGCTTTAGTGCTCTTTAACTTTTCATGTTACGTGTTCTGAGCTAGGCCTCTATCCAGAGCTGATCCTGGTTTTATAAACAGTAGTAGGAATGAGTGTCATGTGAATTTGACTGCAGAAAGTATGAAAATTACCACAAAGAGCAGATTCTTACATGGAATCTTATTTAAATAGTTAACAAAGTTAAGGTTTTTTTAGGAAGGCTTGTAGCCATTGACTAAAGATAATCATAATTGCTTATCACTGCTAACCACTGGAAATGACTCTAATTTAAAACAAAAATTTTAAAGCCTACCTAAATTGTACCTAAATCTTAAGAGTTTACTGTAAAATTTATTGGAGATGGAGGGGAAGATAACTTATGAAACTACTGAACATGTAGTTCAGTAGGAGGTGTAGAGAGATTAGGACAGGGAAACTATTGACTGAAAGCACTGGGATTAAACGTCTTCAGAGAACAGGCCTAGAGAAACAGATAACCTCTTATCTATACATAAAAAACAAAAGGGAAGCTTAATGTAGACATCCACAATTCTTTCATCAAGCATTCATAGCCTTTGAGTTTGCAACCATCAGTTTTAGGTGGCAATGAATCTTGAAGTGCCTTTTCAATTTTTTTCTTGCCCAGAATGTACAAACCAGTAAAAGACTTGTTTTCTCCATGTGTATCTCTCATTAGGCTCTTGTGTGACTGTTCCTAAAATTCCTCAGTGTCTGATGCATGCAAAATTGCATCTTGGAAGTTGAAAGTGTATTGAGGATACATAAAATATTGATAGCCCTAAGAAAAGTTTTTTAAGCTAATGCAGGATTCCCATGAGTACAGCATCGATCCTAGTGTACTGTCAAAGCAATATTTAAATGTATTGTCAAAGCAATAAATAAAAGTTAATCAGTATGGTACTCTCTTACTTTGTTTTCACGTATTCAGCAGTTACGTAGTATGTTATATATCTATCTCCACCTTTTGTTGTTTTTAAACATACGCAATTGTTAGTGAAATGACATGTGGATGTATAGATTCTGTATATGAGTTTCCCTTCACCTGTCTATTCTTTAAAGACCATCTATATCTCAGTTAACCTTCAGTCAGTCATTAACTTTCTAAAGTTCTGTTACTATTAAAGCTTTTGAAAAGGATTTGAATTTATTAAGCTGCATTAGTGATGGTTTTTGTTACCTCAGGCTGCATACATATACAGCAGGACACAGTCAGACACTCTGACTTAATGAAATGTGCATTTCTGCAGTGCAACGAAGTAGTCTTCTGTAGGGAAGATGGAGCATGCTTTTGAAAGTTGGTTGTTAGAGACAGCTTAAAAATGGGAGATACAAGTGTAAAAGCCAGGCTGCAGAAGACTTTATGCACAAGTTCTCTAACCAATATATAAAAGGTGCATAGCAACACCACTTCTTTTTTTTCTTCTCATAAGGAAATGGATGCAATTGAATGTCAGTGTATGCTAATTGTGCTTAAAAGCTTATTGGATCAAGCTAGGGTTAGAGTACTCTTGAGATTTCAGGTGTCTCAGCATGTTTTCATGAGTCTGACTCATGGGTTTGTGAGCTGATTTTAACCAGCTAAACCAGCAGGAAACAAATCCAGAAAGAAAAACTGACAGTTTCCTTACATTTGGTGGGTTAAACTGGCTCATCAAAGGGTCCAACAAACATCAGAGACAGCATGCGTTAAGCAATGAGGGCACACACCTTTTCATGGAGTGAGGGCAGAACAGGACCTTCTGTTTGTAGGAGCAGTGTTATGTTAGGTCAGCTTGACTGCGTGTGGAACAGTCTTAGGATGTATTTCAGCAGTGCAAGTGCTTCTGTAGCCAGCACTTCTTAAGAAGCCCCTGCCCACCTTTGGCAGCTTATTTACGTTTCAGACCTGCAGAACTCCACTGTCAATTATTCTATTATAGCTGTTTGTGAAATCTAGTCATCTGGATTGATGCAAGGTGTATTTTTAATCCTCATCAGTCCTGTCATCTGATTGATACCATGGCCCCACAAACAGTACTCCTGGTACAAGGGGATGGAAGTAGGTAGTTGGTGGTAAAGTTATCAAATGTCTTGGGTTCCTTAGGACAGTATTACAACCAGTCCTCACTCTGGATCTGTAGTTTTCCCTGTGAAGGAAAATGGTTTGTCAGAATAGATTTTGTGTAATGATTAACTGCTTAGTGAGACAATCATTAAAATATCTTGCTTACTGTCTGAAAGGGGATCTGCTTCATTTACTATTGCCCTGAGCATATCAACACTAATCTGGGGGAAGGAAGGGTAAGAGAGTTACCTAAATCTCTTCCTAAAGATTTATTAAGCATGCTGGATAACAACTCTCAGAAATCATTGAGATATGTATATCACGTATTGTAAGAAGAGGGGTTAGTCTGGACAGAACCTCAAGGAAAACTTAGATGTAAAGGCCATATGTATTCCCAGATTTTGATCCACTTTTTTGAAATCAAGACCTGCTTGCGTAAAGAATTAGATCCTGATCAGATACTTAAGTAAGCCTTCTGCATCAGATTTATTTGATTCTCAAACCCTGTAAAATGTTCTGATTGACTCTGTAATAAGATATGGTACAAAAACTTACACAGAATATGTGCTGTATAATTGAAATGCTTGACCTGAATTTATAGAAACAAAGCATGCTGTAAAATATTGTGTAAATGAGTTGTGACTTTACAGCTTTTCATAAGGAATCTAATGCATACTTGTATACTGCAGTTAGATTGTACAGCTGCAAAATTTTTCTTTTTTTTTCCAGTACTACGAAATGGTGCATGGGAGATTGTCCACTGGGAAAAGGTGTGTGTTTATGTTGATGATTTTTAGAACATAACACAGACTTAATATCTGCTTTGTTTCTCCAAAGAATTGTCGTTAATAGAAATTAACTGGTATAATGGGAAATGTATAATCTTTTGTATTTTATTTTTTGTTTGTTAATACATGTCTCAGAATGTACTTTTAAGTCAAGTCAGTTTTGATTACATGAGTCGGGCAAAACTGCCATTAAATGGTGGGCTTTAGTGAAAGATAATCGTATAATATCTTTGACTTAAGAGTATTTGCATATGGCAAAATTATACAGTCCCTTAGTATTATTCTGTGTGTCAGGGCAGAAACTTCTTTCTGGAAACTTGTTACTTTGTGTATTTGCTGAACTTCTTCGGCTTAAACCGTGAGAACTGTCAAGACTGTTATGCAGTACTTATGAAGGGACTGTTAAAGCTAACTCAAGGACTAAATCTTATGCTGTCTATTTAGTGCCTTAGTTCTATTGGTTTTCATACCTGAAAGCTTGAACAAAATTTGACCCACAGTAATTTGGAGGAAAGGTTCAGATGAAGTTGTTTTACACATTTGGAGAAGCAAGGATAAGGTATATAGTGTGATGCAGCAGAACTGTGATCTTAGGGAAGATTAATTTCTTTAACTCAACTTATGTTTTCCAATAAAGTATTTTATAGTAACCAGCAAAAGTAAAGAACTGCATAGAGAAGGTCAGGATTAGGCCTGTTAAAGAATAGATCTCCAAAGAATTCCAGTGATCTTTGAGTACCCAATACCTATAGGTTCTCCAAGTCTGTGAGTTTCTAACAGTTTTTCTAGCGAATTCAGCAGGTAAATATTTACTGTGCTTAAAACAAAGGGATAACATATTTTGTTTGAGACCATTAACCAATTCCCAGTTTTCTTTCAGGTAGATGTTGGAGATATAGTTATAATAAAAGGCAAAGAGTATATACCTGCTGACACTGTACTGCTCTCATCAAGGTAGAGATGCCCACTGATGCTTATAGTGTAGAGGCTGGTTTCTCTACCCTGCATTTATTTATTTATTTTTTTGTGATTGCTCCAAGGAAATAAGGAATAAACAAAAATGCTGCTGTTCTGAAGTGTATTCTTTAGTTCGTTTGGACATTTATCATTTCAGGCACTGTTTTTTTAAACTGTGACAATTACAGTTTTAAAATTATACTGTCATTCAATTTACTCCTAAGAAAAACAGTATGTTATTTTGTTGTTGGATTTAATAAAAAAAGGCTGATTATCTGTCTAAAAATTGAACTTCAACTGCCATATTTAACCAGGTTGGCGATATGTACCTAACAAATTGCATCATAGAAATTTATTTAAATTGATACATTACAGAGAACAGAAATGTTTTTTAGTGGATATAGTCACTAGCTTAATAGCTGAATCAGGAAAAAAAGTGAACATGAGATGTGGGCCCTGAGCTGAACATTCACTTTATTCCCTAATACATATATATTATGAATAATTTCAGCACTGAAAGCAATACTTAATTTATAGCATGTAATGCTGTGGCTCTTTTTACATGGACAATCAGAGGTTGTTTATCATCATTTCCTTGGACAGTTTTATTTAAGAAATCCACATATTACGTGGAAGATGCACATTTTTCAACATCTATTTCATCGGGTCAGTAAATATATTCTAAGAATTTTTAAAATTTATTTAAATATGATCAATTTTACTTTGATTTATTACTGGATATTTACAATGCAATTTCCACATTTTTTTCTGGCACAAGAGGACACATTATTGTAATGCGTATGATCCCACTGAAGTTAACAAATCCATTCATACATATAATTAATAAGGTTAGGATTTTAAGTGTTTCTGTCACAGACTGTGGTATAGACTAGTGCATTGTTTATTCCATCTTCTATTGTAGCTCAAAATTAAGTGTAGCTGTTTCTAAAACACGTCCATTAAATTATTATCAAATGTAAAGTAGTTGCTGGATAATACTGTAAATTTTCCCCACAGTCTGTCTTCAGTACTAATGTTTGTCATAACTTCAGATATTGTATTGAGTATCATCTATAAACCTTTTATTTCTGCGCTTCAAGAATCATTTATAAATTTTATTGGTGCTTCTCCACCAAGATCTTCACAGGCAATACACCATGCAATAAGAACATTTGTTCTATTGACCTGATAATAGCTTCTGTCATGCTAACCCTAGTGTTTTACAAGTGAAACAGATTACATCCTCTCAGAGCAGCTTCTTTATAATCTTCCTAAGCTCCTAAATTTGAGCCTTTGCCTGGATGTCTTCACTGTGTTGCCCTTTTGAATTTGGAGGATGCTTGCATCACAGTGTTCCCCAGTTCCAGTATACACACAGAAAAATACTGATTGCCTGCAAAGCTTGTATTCCAAGCCTTGTCCCCTCTGAAGGAATCACGTGTTCATAAATTGAAATAGTAGCTAGCTACTATTGGACTTGTCAGGACTGCTACCTCTTTGTTTAACCTCACTTTATGGCCCTTGTCAGAACACACCATCCTATGACCATTATTCACCTTGAATTTCCTCCTAGGCGGTTTTCTTCTAGGATCAGGCTTGCCAAGGGGACTCCGAATCGTGATTGCTTTTCTGGGCCCAGTTCTGGCATTTCTTCCAGCTGAAGCTTCCTTCTAGTTATATTACAAGGGTCCTGTTGCAGCCCCCCTTCCGGGAGAGAACCCTGTGCTACAGCATTACCTCTTAATTCTGCCTTCATACTGGCATGTATTCACTGTCTCCAGCTCTCATCTCCACATGGCCATGCATCCTCCAGGAAGGCAATCTTGTCAGTTTTGCTTTCCCAGTGTTTATTGATGCCCAATTGCATATTAGGTTTCAATAGCAATGTGAGCCTGTGGGCCTGATATTTTTTCAAACTAATAATACTTGGTTCTTTTTACCAGCAATAGCAGCTTTTTGAGAATAAGAGGATCTTAATTATTTTAGGAAACTAGAATCTCTTACAGTGGAAGGCCACAGACCTCCAAGATTTAATTTCTTTTGGTTCTTTATAGTTCAGTGTACATTGAAATTTACAAAGCTGAAACAAAACACAAAATCATTTTCAGCATGTATACATAGAGAGGTTCTTGTCACCTGACTTTTCTGAAAAGTTGGTGGAAAATCTTTTGTTGTGGCTTTTATTTTTTTTTAGTCAATGTATGGAATTGCTAAAAACTGTCACTAGAGAAATAAGCATAAGAACTTTTTATTTTTAGTGTAGAATATCAATGTGCTCAGCAGCTTAAAATCGGTGCCTTACAGTAAAACAATTCACTCAAAAAATTAAAATATTCTAGATCTTTTATTCTTGACCTGATTAAAATAGATTTTGAAAAAAATGTCATCAGACATTTTAATTAACATGAATTGTTTGTATAATAATTTCAAACTCTGTCTTTTTGTCTTTGTCCATTTGTTTGGGTTTGGTTTTGTTTTGGTTTTTTGTTTTTTTTTCCCTGTCACTTATTTTTCTGTTCTAACCATTTTCAAACTGGGACGTGTAGGTGGCAGTAGGGGAAGTAGTGAAAGTGACCAATGGGGAACATCTCCCAGCTGATCTCATCAGTCTGTCATCAAGGTTAGAATAAACTAGTTGCACAGGATACGTGTACGTGGGTCCTCATATACCAAATATGAACAACACTGTTGTGCTGATAATCTTGGCTTTGTTTTCACCTTTCTTCACCAGAACCCAGACGTTTATAAAATTAGGGAGAGTTCAGTTAATAAATGTACAGATCATTAAAGCATTAATGCACAATAACACTCCAAGAAATTAAAACTTGTTTTAGTCCTGTTTCTACACTATCCCCATGAAATTTTGAGACGAGTTGTCATTGAATAAACACACACCAGGTTAAATATATATTTAATTCCTTAGAGCAAATTGAAAAGAATACACATTTTATACCAACTCCCTATTTTCAGCAAAGAATATAGTTTAATGTTGGTAGGACTGGTGGAGGACCCTCTGCACAAACTTGGATGTTGCACAATCTCTGCTGCATGCAATGGCAAAAGCAGCGCTGTTCTTGTGTATTGTGACAAAATGCATGGTTTTTAGACACGTCAGCTTTATGCTATTGTCTGCACTGTTACTGCACTATGTCTCTCCTTAACAAATCAATGGGACTGCCTTGATCTAACTGTAACTTACTTACTTTGGAGGTCACTGCTATCTGCTACAGTAATTGCAATTAAGCATGTCTCACTTGAAATGTCTTTGTTGCCTTAGTTTGTTTTTAAAATGCTTCACAAAAATACTGTTTGGTTTTTACTGTTAATTAATAAAAAATGCTAGAGTTGTAATAATATTTTATACAGATGATTCCATCCAAACAATCTAAACAGAAGTTATTTACATTTTTAGAAAAGTTCACCAAAAAGAAAATGCTAGCCTGGAAGGAATTTATGAAAAGAATTTATCACATTTTAATGCTTTTGCTTTGCAGAAATGTTAAATACCCTACATAACTTTATTCTGCAAGCATTTTAACACTTAAGTTGCAAATCAGTAGCCACTGTTGCATTAAGAAATCAAATCTTAAAAAAACACTTGATGCTTGAATTTTATGCTAGAAAGTAGGAAAATATTTGAAGCTTTGAAGTGGTGTAGAAAGTAAACATTTATTCTTTTAAGTTGTAAAGGACTTTTATGACTCCTGTGGTCCTTTACAGGATCAAAACTTCTTTCTATTGTAGATATAAGTAGTAGATGTTCTGTCCTCATGTCCAGAAAATGGGAGCTGAGTGAAGTAATTCAGAAATCCTGACCTGTTAGACCTGTTCTTGTTTATTATCTACTTGCAGAAAAGTAATTTTGTCCTCCTGTATCTCTGTTTTCCTAGTTAACACTCTATAATGGTTGTAAAATGTTTTAAAACCTGAAAATATTTTACAGAATACTGCTGTTACACATCAAAAAATTACATTGAAAAATTAAATGCAATAAGCATTTTGTAAGTATATGTCAGATAGATGAACTATTCAAGTACTAATGTTCTGCATAAACTTAATACTTACATTTTATAAAAAAGCTTTTTAAATTGCATAAAAAGGACCTATTTCAAAAACTGTATTATGTTACTCATAATATAAACTTTTTTGTAAGAGAACCCTTTACAAGAAAACTTTCATGTCTAAACTACTGCTGCCTACAGTAGGAGTCACTACAAATGCACTTCATTTGTGCCCGTACCTTACTCTCATGTAAAAACATAGAGAATGTATTACATGCAACATTTTTAGCATCTAAGGTAGGTAGGTTTTGGCAAACTTTTCTGAAAATGTAAAGTACTTGTTGGTGTTACAGATTAGGCTGTAAATTATTCTAGTTCTCAAGATTTGATAGAAAAAGATTGCATAAATAACTATTAAAAGATTACAGAAAGTTCATTAATTTTGCCATTATAATTTAAAATTAAGAATTATTTTTTTCTTAATAGTGAACCACAAGCTATGTGCTACATTGAAACATCTAACTTAGATGGTGAGACAAACTTAAAAATTCGACAGGTAGGAATTTAATTTTTTATAATACTGCTACTTTTATTTTAATCTTATTGCTTATAAAAATATATTAATTATATTATTTCATTTTAGAAGACTGTGAAATTTTAATGGTTTGAATAAAAAGCTGCAGGTTATTGACATAAAAGTTTTCATTCAATTAATTAAGCAGAAGAAACAAATGGTTACTCCTAAGTTATACTTTGCACTTTATTTTCAGGTTTTTCCTTGAGAAAATATACCAAGGTGACTTTTTCACTGTCATAGCATCCAGCAGTGTGCCAGCTAAGTGTAGCAGTCTCATTTTGTTCCCAAAGGGATACTGGTTTTCCATTTTTTATCAGATTTATAATACATAGATTTATATATTGGGAAGTGATATGTAATGTCATGACAAACTAATTTTGTTTACAGGGTTTGCCACTAACATCAGACATAAAGGACATAGAAAACCTGATGAGACTTTCAGGCAGAATAGAATGTGAGAGCCCAAACCGACATCTCTATGACTTCGTTGGAAACATCAGACTGGATGGGCATGGGTACGTAAATACGAGGAAGATCATCTCAGTAGATTCAATCTAACAGTAGATAACTATGTGGTGTTAAACTACTCAGTTAAAATATGAATAGTGAAGTCTTCATTCTGTTAAGACTAGAGAGGTAAAAATGTCTAATGATATATTCTTTATTAGACTTTATTCTTAAAAAAAACTTCAGAGGTAAAACTGTACTTCTGTTGTCTACAACTTGAGTTTTTATACTAGCTGACCTTTATAAAGTAATAGCTATTAATAATAAAGGGCATGCTAATCAAATTCTAGTAGTTTTAGAATACGTACTAGTAACTCACTTAAGCATCTCATTCTTTGTTAAGTTTCTATCACAGAAGTGAATAGAAGTAATTTCTTGTCTGTCTTCTTTATTGTTGTTTTCTTTTGTCTAACTCTGGGGTGTAACTGAATCCATCACTATATACCTCAAATTCTTCTGATTCGGTCACTGAAAGACATTTAATACCTTAGCTTAGTGAAAGTATGTTTCTGTAAAAAAAAGGACTGCCTCAGTGCAATTCCCACAATACACATGTGTAGAACTGCTTCAAAAATCCTTAAAATACTTAAGTGCTTACTAAATATTGATATTTGGAATTTTCTATGGGTTTGAATCAAATGTGCTGTATTAAGAGTATAAATTTCTTTACTAGATCCAGAATTCTTGAGTCCTTCATTCCCAAAGATTTACATGATTTGTTTTTTATTTGGTAGGCATTTATTTCTCTGTATACAATATTATTCATATGTGTGGTTTTAGAGTTTAGATAGATAGATAGATAGATAGATAGATAGATAGATAGATAGATCTCTATGTATATTACTAATCAGTTATTAGATACTGTTTTAAATTCCATTCTTTATTTACGGATTTCTTACAGATGCATTCAAGGAGTTTTCAGTCACAAGAGTGTGGATCTATTATAATTCCACGGTACTTGTTATTAAGAAGAGAAAAACATTTACCTGTAGTTCTTCTCTGATGGTAATAGTTATAATAGATCCACACATTCATCCTTCCTCTCTGACTAGAGAAAAAAACATATTTTTCTTTTTAATCTAATTCTTTTAAATTAAAATTTGATTTTAAAAAAGAAGCATTGAATGTGCTAATGGCTCTTAAGCCTCAAGAATGTGTAGGAGCTCGCCACCTGCTGGTCAAGCAATTTGTCATTTGAGAAATTCAGTTTTGGAATGTTTTGAATATAGTTTCGGTGCAGTAGGATAGTTTTGAAAGTGTGTCTCTAATATAATACTTACCTTCAGTGAAAAAGAATTGCAGGTAAGTAACACTTTTTGGATCCTGAACTTATTTGCAGCCTGAAAAAATGAGGGATGAATTGTTTCTGTTCATTTTAGAAGTAGCACAGGTTCATCTAACAGGTATTTGTTTATCCAGATCTTTAAGACCTTCCTAACAGGTTATGTAGATCCATCAGTTGTGATTTCCACTTTATCCACTACCATTTTAACATTTTTGCAAAAGCAGTGGAGGATACTGAAAATGTATCTCCTGTTTATTTCTTCTTTCCCTTTAGATAATTAATTGGAATGCCATAAATGTATCTGGTTCATCTTTTCAGACTTGTCTTGTTTCAAAAAAAAAACCAAAGGGGTTTTGGGTTGGTTTTTTTTTGCTTTTGGATACTCAGTACTCAAGGAGGTAGAACTCCACTACAGTTATTTTGCCTTTTGGCTAAATCTGTGGACTAAAAGAGGCCAAAATGTTTTTATGGTATCCTCAGCTTTTGAATGTGTTAACCCTTAGTCTCCAAAGTGTGCAGCTCTTTGTTATGCTGATGAATATATAGAAGCGTGTCACTTCATCTGAGGCAATTAAGACATGAAGAGAAAGGAGAAAAGTTCTTTAGCTTGAATAAATTTGAAAATATGATTAAACAATGGCTCAGAGAAAAGGAGTGAGCAAGTTGAAAACAAGGGCAGATATCAGTTATCCAGACCTAAAATAAATGTTTTCCTGAAGACATTCTTAAGAACATTTGAATAAGAGTAATTATGCTTATTATAAAAACATTTGATATGTAAACTTCCAGATGTGTCATAGAAATTGTTCTCCTGGAGACAGCTCCCACTGATTGTCTTTCCAATAACACATCCTTGAGGATAAATTCCTGTCCCAAGTTGTTTGAAGGGTATCCATTTGAGAGCCGGTGTCCTGATGGAAAAAAGAATCAATGGATCCTGCAATAGAAAAGACATTACTGCATGCTCTTCATAGTTTTTAAGAGGGGAAAACAAAGAGGAAGATCAGGAGGTGGCAGGAAGAGTCTTAGAACTCACTTGACTCTTTAAGGAATACAACAATAAAGACTGGAAAGCTTTTTTTACTCCTGCCTTTCTAGAGACTCTTGTGTTAGTAGAAGAGATAGAAAGTCATTTTGCATTCCGGAGAAAGCCCATAAATCGAAAAGGTTTCAAATTTATCTTTGAGGAACTTAAAAGTAACTTTCTCTGGTTATGCATTTCGTATTCTGTGACATACTTATTAGTGTTAATAGAATAAAAATATCTAATTATTCTTGGAATTACATGTAATCCATTCCTTAACTAAAATGTCAATGTATTGTGCTGATGGATGGTCCAAAAAACTTAGAATGATTCTGATCCAGGAATGCAACTAACTAACTAACTAACTAACAAAAAGTAACTGCAGAAGCAATCTGTGATGGCAACAGAAGTCCTTCGTAATGATTCTTGTATAATTGAAACCCCAGCAGTTCCTTTCATACTAGAAAGGACATTTAATCTCTTAATTTTGCCACAATATGAACACATCTCAAATACAAGAGCAGTACAGTTCAGATTTAGAAAGCAAGTAAATCTCAGTATTTTTTATATTCCTTTTTTTCTCCAAATCTGCCTTTTGATTAAGTGCCTGCACCTGGAAGTTACTTTCCATGGCAGTATCATTCAGCATTTCAGTTGCTGAAACATACTTACTTGGTGGGGAGAATGATTCCTTGAACAGTCAGTATGCTCGATGCTAGTTTCCTAGAAAGTAAGTGGACTGAGTTGTAACGGAGTGGTGTTTGTTATTTGTTTGGGTTTTATGGGAAAACACTCAAATGTTTTTCCAGATCAGTTCTTTTTTTCTGCAAATTAACATTGCTGCTGTTAATTTTAGGGGAGGAAGAATGTGTTGGTTTCCTCTTTACTTGCAGTCTTTGAATCTTAAAAGCTTTTATAGGAGAGGAGAGAAGGGGACATGGTGATCCAGAATAAATTATTAGCTGAAGCGTACTCACTAAGACTGACTATGCTCTTTGTGCTACCAGAAATGTTATCAAATATCATGGCTTACTCAGACTCTTTATAGCTTATATATCACAGATGTAGCTGCTGTCATTAAGCAATTTATTTGTGATCTTCGTAATGTGTTAGTTTCAAACAACTGTTGAGATAATAGTTTTAGGTAAGAATGACAACCACTAGAGCACTATTGACAAGTCTGAACTGCTAGCTGGTATTTATAGAAAGAAACGTGCAAAAAATGGGGTATCATTTGTCCCAGGAAAAGAGTATTAGTTATCTAAAACTTTTTATATTTTAAGAAAAACCTGAACTACAGTATATGTATAAAGACAAGCTGTCTAAATTTAAGACAGTTATATATTTCCAGAGTCTTATGTGGTTTTGTTGCTCATTTACTCAGTGCAGTTTCAAAAGAATAACTCAAGTAAACTTACTTGGGTTTTCAATTTAAAGAAGGTGCAGAAAATAGTGTGGATTTTAAACAGTTATTCATGTTTATAAAGGACATTTCACTCGAAGAGTGGATTAAGCTAAAAGGTCAGAAGATTATTTCACTTGAAAATTGCTTTGGAAAATCAATTTTGTAAGAGTAGTTGAGTTTCATCATAGACTTAGAAAAAAAAAACTTCATAATCATGAATCAAAGGAAAATTAGAATCACAGAATGGCTCAGGTTGGAAGGGACCTTAAAGACCACCTAGTTCCAACTGCCCTGCCATGGGCAGGGACACCTTCCACTAGACCAGGTTGCTCAAAACCCCATCCAACCTGGCCTTGAACACTGCCAGAGAGGGGGCATATACTATGTCTCTGGGCAACCTGTTCCAGCGTCTTACCAGACTTGCTGAGGGTGCACTCAATCCCACTGTCCATATTGCTAACGAAGATGTTAAACAGCACTGGTCCCAATACCAATCCCTGAGAAACGCTGCTCATCACTTCTCTCCACTTGGACATTGAACCATTGACCACAACTCTTGAGTGCAGCCATCCAGCCAATTCCTTATTCATCAAGTGGTCCACCCATCAAATCCATGTCTCTCCAATTTATAGACAAGGATGTCATGTGGGACAGTGTTTTGTAGTCCAGGTAGATGATGTCAGTTGCTCTACCCTTATCCACAAACGCTGTAACTCCATTGTAGAAAGCCATCGAATTTGTCAGGCATGATTTGTTCTTAGTGAAGCCGTATTGGCTGTCACCAGTCACCTCCTTATTTTCCATGTCCCCTAGAGTAGTTTTCAGGAGGATCCACTTTGTGGTCTTGCCAGGCACAGAGGTGAGACTGACTGGCCTGTAGTTCCCCAGGTCTTCTTTTTTTCCCTTTTCAAAAAAAAATGGAGGTTATATTTTCCTTTTTCCAGTCAGTGGGAACTTCACTAGGCTTCCACAGCTTCTCAAAGATGATGGATAGTAGCTTAGCCACTTCGCCCACCAGTTTTCTCAGAACCCACAGATGGGTCTTATCAGGTCCCATGGACTTGTACAACTTCAGGCTCCTTAGATGGTCTTGAACTTGATCTTCTCCTACAGTGGGGGGGTTCTTCATTCTCCCAGTCCCCTCCTTTGCAGTCTGCATCCTGGGCCATGTGGCTGGAGCACTTGCCAGTGAAGACTGAGGCAAAAAAGTCACTGAGTACCTCAGCCTTCTCCATATCCCAGGTAAACAGGTCTCTCCTTTCCGCCCAGAGTGGGCCCACATTTTCCCCAGTCTTCCTTTTATCACTGATGTACCTTTTTCTTTTCTTTTTGCCTTTGACATACCTGGCCAGATCTAACTCTACCAGGGCTTTGGCTTTTGTAACCTGACCCATGGCTGGTCACATAGTATCTCTGTATTTCTCCTAGGTTACCTGTCCTTGCCTCCACCCTCTGTAGGTTTCCTTTTTGTGTTTGAGCTTGTCCAGGAGCTCCTTGTTCATCCTTGCAGTCTTCCTGGCGTTTTTGCCTTGACTTTCTCTTTGTTGTGATGCATCACTCCTGAGCTTGGAGGATGTGATCCCTGAATATTAACCAGCTTTCTTGGACCCCTCTTCCGTCCAGGGCTTTCATGGTACTCTACCAAGCAGATCCCTGAATAGGCCAAAGTCTTCTCTCCCGAAGTCCAGGGTAGCGAGCTTGCTGTGCACCCTCCTCACTGCCCTGAGGATCTTGATCTCCGCCATTTTATGGTCACGCAGGCAAGGCTTACTGCTGCTTCCAGGGCTCTGTATACTCCTCAGATTGGTCCTGGCTATATTGTTGGTTCCCACATGAAACAACAGCAGCAGATAGTAGTAGTGGACTGTATAAGGCTCAGTAGTCTCTCAGTGATAACCCTGATACAAGCCACCGGTAAGCAGCACACCTCTCTAGGGAGTACTTCAGGTCGGCAGATGGATGCCTCCGTACCTTTCTGAAGAGAGTTGCCTACTACTGTCACCCATCACCTTTTCTTAGTTGCACTGGTGGTTATATGGGGGGCAGACCGGGCTGCCTCCACTTTCTCTCCTGATGTGATAGATTTTTCTTCTTCAGGCTGCAGAGTGGTGCAGCAGTTCTGCAAGGGCGCCTCAGGCTTCGGGGGATGTCTCTTCATCCTGCAGGTCCCTGCTGCTGCAAGCTTCCATTCTTCCGTGTTATTGGCCCCCCTCCTTTGTGTGTGTGCTGGTGGGGGAGTCTTTGGTTAGTCAGTCATGGGCTGTGGGTCCACTGCAGGCTGCACTTAGAACCAGCTAACTCCTTCCCATCTTCACTTGATGCTGTGCAGCCTTCTCACCACCTCCTGCAGCTCAGCCACTGCTGCTGGAGATCTTCCACCTGGGCACAGCTTTTGCAGGCAGCTCTGCCCCGGGGGAAAGGTCAGGGCACTTCCTGCAGCCTGAGGTCTGCACTGCAGCCTCTCCCTTCAGCAGCTTCATCTGGGTGAGGGCATCGGCCACCACTGGGGTAGATGGTGCCTATCCCCTAGCCAGAGCTGTAACCTTTGCTCTCAAGCAAGTAGTACCCACCATTCTGACTTGAGGGTCAAGTAAGATGAGTGCCCTTGGCCTGAACCAGAGCTGATGGCCTCAGTGAGTGATTAATGGTAGTTACACTCTATCTGTTACTGCAGGCCCCACCCAGACATCATCAGCCACTCTCTCCTGTGAGAGCTGCCAGCTCCTGGCAGTCTCTGTGCTCCCCTTGGGGTGTCCTGGCTCAGGAAACCTCCCCTTGTATGCTGTGATCTCCCCCTCCGCTGCAGGACGTACCTGCACCAGCACTGATCTCCTCAGCTAGTGGCAGTTGGTGGTTACACCACATTTAAATCTTTTAGCCTGTGTTAATTTCAGTGTGCTTGGTAAGTAGTACCATATCTTTACTGTCCGTAGTCAAAATTAAGTGGTAAGTAATATTTTTGCAAACTTAGATTGTTGGACTTGCTTTAAACTGTCAAGACTTCTCTTTGTCAACACTTCCAAAAAGTTAACTCTGAAAATTAGTTTCCCAGCAATACAATTACAATAATCATCTAAATTTTGAGAAATTAGCTAATGAGTTTTAACAACTGCTGGTTACATTTATTCACTGACATTGATTGTTTTAATGCTAAAATATAAAACTCCTTCCTTCTAGTACTGTTCCGTTGGGATCTGATCAGATTCTGCTACGAGGAGCTCAGCTGAGAAATACTCAGTGGGTTCATGGGATAGTTGTCTATACGGGACATGACACAAAACTTATGCAGGTTTGTCACTTGTGTTTTCTCTAAATTATCTGTTTTGTTGCCTTATTATGCTGTTATGCAGCATGGAAAATCCTTTCAGAAAACATCTAGATTCAATATAGCAGTTAAAATGTCAGTAATAGAGCATCTTTCTTACAAAGTAAAACCAATAAAAATAATTTCTTGTTATTATTAGTCACTTAGCCTCAGAGTAGTTTTTCCACTAGTAAGCATGTTTGTTGATTCTGTTTTGTAACTTGCGTTTTGAAAACTGTTTTACTAGCAAATCAGATCATTATAGTTTGCCTGTTCATCTTTTTTTATTTTTGACTGCTCTTAAAACTGTCCTCTTGTGGAGCTTTCTTTCAAGTAAAAAGGTAAGCATTCTTGTCAAAAAACAAAGTGAAACTTTATTTGCAAAATGAGGAGGGAAGAGACCATTCTCAGACTATGAAATTACTTTTTCTAGTGCTGTTTGAAATATCAAAATGGAGATACATTTGTTGAGAAAAAAGATTTCTTTCAGATTGGTCATGCATGTATCTTAGTTATTGCTTTTCTGATTTATAAAACAATTATTTGAAAAAGTTTGATTCTATTGGCAATTGTCTTCTGTATCACTGATAAAGTGTATGCATTCATTTTTAAAATTTGTTGTTAGCTCTTGCTGTTACGAGTGTTCTGTGTAATTGTTTAAACTGCTTGTGACACAAATCTAAAGCTCTAATTCATTAATTTATAAGCTGCTTCTCTTTTTCTTGTGAGTGAACCGTTATGCCATTTATGATTATGATATATTTGGGAGAACGTTTAGAAAAGGATGCAGTAACATGTAATTTGAAAAATGAGAACTGTGTGTACCTCTTCTAGTATTTAATAGCCACTGTTGTTTTTTGTGTTTTCCAGAATTCAACAAGTCCACCTCTTAAAATGTCTAATGTGGAACGAATTACGAATATTCAGATTTTGATTCTGTTCTGCATCCTTATTGCCATGTCTTTGATTTGCTCAATTGGTTCAGCTATATGGAATCAAAGGCATACTGGGAGAGACTGGTATCTTGATCTAAACTGTAAGATGTAAAATAATATATTTTAGTGCTCAGTTGTCTTTCATGTTTGGAAAGGATGATTAATCATCCTTTAGACAGTGTGGTTTTTATCAGTCTTTATGGGTTGTTGACTAAAGTCATTTAGGCTAGGTATATCACAGCAAGTATAAAATTTACCTTACTGTGCCATCTGAGGTCTTGCTAAATTCAGGAAGGAGAGCTTTGTTGTTCGCCTCTACATCTTTCAGCATCAACAGTTCTGCAGCTCAGCAAGGTCTGTATTGGCATTCCACTGGCATAAACAGTCAGCTTCCTAGTCATCAGGCTAAAGCTATTTTCATCTCTTACCAATGGACTACATTTTAAACTGCAGTGACTTTTTTTTATTTTTTAAGCTCCCGCATCCCAGGAAATGATGCTGTGGCTTTATAATTTTTACTATACAGGGATCTAACTAGTTATTGGCTGCCAACATCAGATCTTAGCAAACTGCTTCTCAAAAAGATAGAACAGACACAAAAGATCTCATCTAACATACTGAATAGCTGTACTCACAGTGAATGTAAGGCAATGTAATTTTATGTCAGCCTTCACAGCAGCATGCGCCATACTGACATAACCTAACCCTCAGTGAGGGAACTAGATTAAAAGTTTTTGTAGATACAATTGGTGGTCAATTATTAATGTTTTTGGAATTTCTTATGGTAGGCCTAGAGCCTTCTTAGGCAGTAAAACCAGAACTAGGCTTTCTTCTCCTGAAATAAGTCTTGAATGCAAAGTTGCTGAATGTAGTCATCAAAATAGGGATTTAGAGGTGGTTCGGTCAATTTTGAAAGAAAAGTCTTGGAATTTTGATTTGAAGGCACTCTCCTAAAGCTTCTGTTGAACAACACAGTTGTCTGCATTTATGATGAACTTTTGTTTATTGAGAACATTGCTTCTCTTCTTTTCATGTTGAGGAATAAACTTTTTTTTTTAAAAAAAAAAAGAAACCTAAGTTTCATATTTCCATTTTGAGGTGGAAAAAAGTGAAATCAGTAATGGAATATTGACAGTTTCCAGTAATATAAAAGGATAGCATTAGATGTACTTCATCATTTGTTATTTTTCATTTGATTTTTCTTTTCAGCGCATTTTTTTCTTTTCTGGGAAATATAAAAGTTTTCAGAATATGGTGGTCAGCACAGTAGTGAAGCAGTTCGGAAGCTTTTGTTTTTATTCCTGAAAAAAGAAACATGAAATAGTGCCCACTGATATTTTGTGTATTCAAGTGATTATCCTTGTCAGTTTATTTTCAGATGTATGCCCCATGATTAAATGAAATTGTATTGGATTTTGTAAGGTATCTCCTTTAAATCTGCTTTCAGGTCATAATTGTTCTTGTACCAGGTACTTTTAATACATAAGAAGCAATTTATTCCCCTTTCCCTTCAGTTATTTTATTATTATGTTGGAGTGAAACAGCTTCTCAGCAGTGCCGCATCTTTCTGAATGCTGTTAGCATTTAGTTAAAACAGTCTGTTGCCTGTGGATAATTACAAAAAAGTGGCAATGTTAATAATATTGAAATGTAAGAATAAATAACTTTTATTTAAATTCCATTTAATCTTGGTAGTCATTGAGAATAGCAATGTCATGGTGAATGTTAGCTCTCTGGTCTCTTATATTTGAACTTCCTTTAATGCTGTAATTGGTATTAATAAAAGTATCCAAAACCTGCTCACTTGGATTTTAGAATAACAACCAGATCCACATTCCATAGGCAGTGGAAACCTGTCTGAGGTTGTTTTTCTTCAAGAGGTCTTTGAATACAGACAGACAGGCTACATCTTTTACCCTTCTGCTATACTGGGGAGCAGATTGCTGTTTTCCATTTGCATGCTCTCTGTGGTGCTACTGCTAGAGTTATCTAAAACTTGAAAAGGAAAAACTAGTATAAAACTGCTTTTTACATATGTTAATATATGTATATCTATCTATCTATCTATCTATCTATCTATCTATCTATCTATCTATATATATTGACATTTCCAGTTCTTTTAGAACTTTCAATAAACTCTCTAATTTCATCTCTTCTCTTCATGTGATGTTAATGTGCCTCTTTCATTTGCTGGGTTGGAGGCAGGAGAATTAGGAAGGTTATGAGGATGGATAGTGAAAAAAATAATTCCACTCCATATTTCCCCCTTTAAAAATATAAAACTCTAAAATTTAGAGTTTAGAATTTGGTTGCTATATATAGATAATATCAGACCATGATGTTAAAATGTAGCAAAAGGAGGAATGGCTGCTGAGTTTGCTTTTCAGAAATTGAAGATGTCAAAGATCTCTAAATTTGAACTCCACTTTATAATAGAGATCCTTAACCCTTCTGAAAGTCATATTTATACAAAAATGATATTGTAATTAATTCTGAAGTTTCTTCTTACACACAGGACTTTTTAAAAATCAGCAGTTAATGCAGTATTCTGAATACACTGTATATACATACTTTTAAATATGGTCTTAAATTCTTTTTTTTTTTTTTGCTTTGTTTTTTGGCAGATGGTGGAGCAAGCAACTTTGGATTGAATTTCTTGACTTTTATCATACTCTTCAATAATCTTATTCCAATCAGTTTGTTGGTTACACTTGAAGTTGTTAAATTTATCCAGGCTTATTTCATAAATTGGGTAACTATTATTTTTACAATATGCATGACTTGTAAAATCAAGTGGTTTACAAGTAAGTGAAATGATTGATTGCTTGTCTATGTGTACATTTTTTTCAAACTTTTTCATAATGTAAGTACTTAAGAATGCTACTTGTTTATTATTACCTTCTCATATTCCAGCAATAATAAAAGGTTTTATTTAGTGCTTTTATACCTGCGTCACATTGATACTTGAATAATAAGGTAGTGCAAAACACATAAAAATATGATCCATAAAGCAATTTCATCCATAATGATCCAAAGAATGAATTTTGTGGTCCAGTGGAGTTTTGTCCAGTTTCATTTCTTCTTTCTAAGCGTAGCCCACATTTTGGATTTTTTTTTTTTTTGTATTTTGCTGATTTTCCTACCAGAACCATAGTTTAATGGGGGTTTTTTGTACAAAGCTAGTGTCTGTTAGTATTATCTCTAACAAAATATCTACAGATCATTTTGGCATCCTTTAATTTTTTTTCTTGATGAATTAATGGGGGAAAAGAAGGGTTTACTCTCTTTGGGGTGGGGGTGAGGTATTCTCCTTAAAGCCACGTAAGTTTTTTTTAATAGCATGCCTTCAGTTTTTCCATTTTTTCCAAATGCAAGTTTGGAAACTTTATCTGAACACTTTAATCTGATTCCTTGATCGTATGTGTGAAATACACTTGTGTGTGTGACATATGATGTCATGCAGATACAGATAAAAGTGTATGTGGAGTAGCAGGTGAAGTGTATGCTTTAAAAGTCAAATCTTTTTGTGAACAGCCAGCTGGTTTTGATTCTTCATTGCTTTTGTACCATAGAACAAGTTGTTGACCAGTGAGAGAATGTAGTGAAGTTCTTCATTTACATTCTAAAATAAATATTCAGCAAAGGCTCACCCATTTTGAATGTGTAGATTGGCAACTGTTTATACAACAAATCCAAAAGACAGTTTTAATTTATGTTCCCCCTGCCCCCATATCACATCATGAGGGATTAGTTATCTTTAATTTATCTTAATCTGGACTCTGGACATTTATTATTTTAAACGCTATCTTTGTGTGGATATCGTAGTGGTATAGAGAAGTTGGTCATCTGCAGTCTGTTACATTACATTGCCATACTTCACAATGTTTTCATCTTTTACTGTATTTAAAAATAAACTCTGGTGGGAGGTTTTTTTTTAACAAGTAAAAAACAAACAAACAAAAACCAAAACCCCTACAGAACAAAACCCACACACAATTTACAATGTACTGTACATTTATTATGTACTCTTAAAATCTTCATGGTTTTATCTGAAGGTATATTTATCTTGCTATTTAGAAATGACTGGTTATGCATAAAATACAGATAAGACTGACCTCTCTAAGTGTTACAATGTAGTATTTCTGCTTGTTGATAAATCTGTTTGAGATGCATGGGTACAACAGTCTTTCAATAAGACAGATAAATGGAAATAATTGGAGTAAAATCTCAAAGAACCATGCAGATTTTTTGTTTTAAAGAGGAAATTTTTTTCTGGGGACTCTTGGAAGTGATTTGATTGTGTCTATGGTTTCCCCTGTTGAAATAATCATAAGTAAATAACTTGTATTCATGTTTTGTCTGCTCTTCTACTCTTACCTTTTCTATTTATGTACTAGACTTCTTGTAATAAGTTAAGGTAGACTATTTTTTAAAATATATATACTCTTTTTTTTTATCTGTAGGATGTAGACATGCACTATGAGCCTACAGACACTGCTGCGATGGCTCGTACTTCTAATCTCAATGAAGAACTTGGACAGGTAGAAAAAAGATTACTGGCTCTAACTCTGTGTATTGAAATTAATTCATACGGGTTTACAATCCAGATTATTAAAATAATGTGTTTATTCATTTAAAAAAACTTATTGCCTTAGTCTTTGTTCAGTTCTATTCTCTTCATTTTGTCAGATATTTTTAAAAACACTTTGCAGTATGTGGAAGTTAAATTTTTGAAACCAGTATTAAATGAACAGTGCTTTATGTAGCAGTGTGTATGTGGTAATTGCAGAAGGTTGAAGAGTATCATTAAAGTTATAAAAGCAGAGGAATTCTGTGGCACAAAAACTGTCTCTGTATATACCCTATTATAGTGTATATCTGCAGTATGTAATTTTTTTTTTTTTTTTTTTAGACAGTGGGTATGTTCTAGGCCTGAATCATGGTGGAATACATTACCTTTTTTTGCCACTGAAGATTGGAACAGGGACTCATGGCTGAATTAAGCCCTGGAAATTTGGGCTTAATTCTTCCTTTTGCTTCAGAGTTCTCCTTTAATACTACAAAATCAGACTTTTTACAAGAGATCACTTGGATTTTGTTCTTCATTTTATGGAAGTACGACTTTGTAGAAGTGTGTCTGGGGCACAGGACATGCTTCCATAAGCAGGACATGTTATATTTGCTGTTTCAGCCCATTGGATTTGCCATCTTGCTTTAAAAACATGCTAAAAATTACACTGACTGGTGATGGTAAACTGACCTGTGAAAAAAATAGCATGTGCTCATTTAACTGAACTGTATTTTACACACAAGAATACATATTCTTCCATTTCCTAACCTAGAAGTTTTCATAACTAATTCATTAGTTTATTGCACAGGAATGTAAAAGTTGGTTTTAGCTTTCCAAGTACAATAAATAATAACATATTTTTACCCATGTAGCAAACAAGTCTTAGGGACTAATACTTCAGAGACCTGCCTTTTTAGTAGTTGCAGGTTAACATTGTCTAACATTGGTCTACATAGAGAAAGACAGGGCTTTTGCCTACTGGGTTTAGGAAGTGCAGATAGCAGAAAAATTCATTCTCTTCCAGGCCTTAAAGGGGAGTACAAGCTCCTCTACTGGAGAAGAGACTGTTGAATTTTAGCTTTCCATTTGTATCATTTTACACAATCTATTTTTTTTTTCTCTCTCTGCAGTTAGTTTGTTATTTACATTCCCAGACACATTTTCTTTTTGACATTTCTTGTTTTCATTTAAGTTTCTCATCAAAGTCACTTTCACCACCAAGATCTAGTCAGACTTCTTGGGATCTCCACTTCTACTTTTTTGAGAGATTTTTAATTTGAGCAGATTTTTGTAGGGAGACCAAAGGAGTCTCTGCTAATAAAAAAAGCAACTGTCTTCTCTGAAGTATGTGAGGACTGCACATAATGAAGAGATTTCCCCCAAGAGATCTTCAGCTTTTAAGAAAGGGAAAACTTCGGTGTTGGAAAAAAAGACTGAGTTATCTTAGCTGCAATTCCTGCTTTACACATGAGAAAATGCCGTTTGAAGCATAAACCTGGCATGGAACATTTGTTCTAACTACTGATTTGGCTAAGTTATAATACCTCAGAAATAGAATCTTTAAACTGGAGATGCTGAGTAAATCGTACTAATGAATAGCCTTATTAGCTCCATGTATAATGCAGTTAATTCCTAATTAAAAATACTGTGATTTTTTTTTTTAATGAGAAATAAATTTTAATTAAGTTGAAGTTCACCTTTGCTTAATAGAGCTGTTGTTTCATCACAGACCACTTTGTTTCTTATATTAACTTTTTCTTGATTAGGTTTGAACTAAATTGAAATATATTACAGATACATGTTTTACAGTTTCAGTTTTTAAAATACTTTAGTAGTTTCTGAAAGGAAGGATTTATGCTGTTAGGGAAATAGGAGACCTGACATAGGTAGAAAGGAACATATTTCTTCTATTCCTGCAACTTGGGACTTCTGAACTGTTGTTTTTTCACTATATGTTTTACCTTTAAGATACTTCTATGTCAAAAGAGGGGTTTAGAAATGCATATAGATAGTTTTCTTTTACTGTGTTCCTTTCTGTCAGAAACAGAATATTTTACTAGCAAAGCCATTGGTCTTCACCAATTTTGCATTTCAACAATACACAGAGTGAGGGTTAGTTAAGTATACCACCATGCACTGAAGCAGGCTTAAGGTTCCTGACATCTCAGTTAGTTGCTATGTTTGGAAATGGGTGTCAAGACTCTGCATCTGCCATGTTTATCTGTTGTATTTTTTTTTCTATAAAATATGAAGATTGCAGAACTGGTAAAAATATTTAGTGTGTTCATATTCATGAATTGTACTAGATATGTAAATAACTTCTGAATGTTAACATATAATTTTATCATTCATCTAGGTCAAATACATATTTTCTGACAAAACGGGTACCCTGACATGCAACGTCATGCAATTTAAGAAGTGTACTGTAGCAGGAATTGCTTATGGGTAGGTATTTTTATATACTTTTATTTATCTCTGTGCCTTTCTTTTCCTCTGCCTGTGCATATTTACCCATCCATTATTACTACAGTTAAAATAAATTTATGCATGGCAATATGTACAACTAGAAGTCAGTTTGTGACCATGAAATGTTACTTATGAGAGGTATCATCACTTCAGTCATGACATCTCTTTTTGCAAGCAGGAACAAAAATAAAGCTTAAATACCAAAGGCTTATTGCTGTAACACAACTTCAGTTTGCATGTTTTTTCTATTGCTCAGTCTGTTTAATGTTACAAAAAAGATGATTTCCCTCATTCTTGCAAAAAACTTATATCATTGTCCATGCTTCATATTTTATGAAGGCACATGCTCTTGCAATAACTAATATGCAGGATGAACAAGAATTTGAATTGCAGTACTGCAGCATGAACTACAGTACTGTAGTCACCATTCAAGTGGCTTTTACAAATACTGTTATAGTGATACAACTCCAAATATCAATGTTGCTATTAAGAAATCTTTCCAAATAAAGGCAAGCAAAGCATTTTACTATTTCTTTGTTAACATTTGCAGCCAACTCCTTCAACAGATTTTGTAAATGCCCCAAACCTCTAAGACTGTTTACTATGAAAAAATATAATTAGAACAATAAAGAGAGCAGAAGCACCTACATTATAAATGCCCTTGTGGCTTACCAGTATGTGAGATGCTGGACCTGGGCCAATCTCAGAACATTCAGTAGCAGATAGTTAGACACCTCTAGAGCTGGGCAGAGATCAAGCAGAGGTTATGAAATTAAGTGTTGGGCTTGTGATAAAGGTGGTGATTTGGCTTTTGTGGCTTTATCATTTGGATCTCTTTGAACATCCTAGTTTTCAGGAGTCTAATCTAGGCTGTCTGTTTTGAAATAACTTACACCCTTATTGCATTAACCATACTGATGATTTTCTTAACTAACAGTTGCAGTAAAATACAGTTCTTACCCTGGTATTTCAAATATGTGTGTAAAAGTGTGTGTATGTGTGTATATATATATATATATATATATGTGTGTGTGTGTGTGTATATATATATATATATATATATAGGGCTCAGTTTCAACCACATGAGCTAATTTTATGACTACAGAGAAACTGCTCTGAGCTAACTATTTTCAAATTCTTTGTACACCAGTTTTAATCTTAAAAAAAAATATTAATGATAATGGTACTTAAAAACAGTATTTGATACTCAGTTCATGATATATCTTCATGTGAAGTTGGTATAGCACAAATTCTAAAATTATTCCTTTATGAAACCTAGGTGTGAATGTATTTTTCAGAAAAAATAATCTGATTTTTTTTCTTTCTATACTTTCCAGCTCCCACCTCATTTTGAAAAGACATAGACTGTTTTTCTGATTAGCATCACTGTTCAGAAAGCAGAGTTTCTCTTTACAGCGAATAGCCATTCCAGCATCTCTTATTGCTGCTCAGAGAACAAAATCACTCTGTCTTTCTGTATTGATGCAAATAAGAAGTTGGGAACACAGAAGAGGGTAAAATTGTCTGTTCTGTCTCCCATGCCTCTTTGTGTTATAAATTGTGATATGTTCAGACCTCTGTCATCGCAGGGGAGAGTTCTGTGCGTTCTATGACTAGCTTTATTCATCAGCATTTTGTGAATTCAGCCAGACAAGCTGCATTAGCGTGACTTCAGATAATTAAAAAAATACCTTTTGTTTAATGAGAAACTATAACAATGTATATATACTGAAATATAAAGCAAGATCTATAAAGAGGGCAAATGCCTTTATATCTATTAGTACAAGTTAGTAAGTAGACAAGCTTTCAGTTGAAAAAAATGATTATTTATAGTTTATGAAGCCTCAAGAGAAACATTCTTTTGCAATATTTTATTATTATCTAAGCACTAGCAAAATACTCAGTTAAGATACCTTTAAGACATTTTTTAGTAATTTAATTTCATTAACTGACTTTTTTTATACGTGATCCAATTTTTTTAGCCTTTATGATTCTTTTTCCTCTCCCTGTTTCTATTCTTCCCTTACTTCTTGTGCAGCCATTGCCCTGAGCCTGAGGATTATAGTGTTCCTTCAGATGATTGGTAAGCTCTAAAAATCATTTAGTATGTGGTGTTTGTTGAAGATTCAAGATCAAAACCAATGAGCGAGACATTTAGAAATGAGCTAAATGTGAGGTATTTTAGCTTCAATTTGATTCAGACTGACAGACTCTTACTCAAATCTGTGCCATCAGTATTCTACAGCATTAGCTGTGTACTCTGGAATAGAATTGCTAATAGGGACATGGAAGTAAAGTGCAATCAATTATTCTACTGATAATTCTGTACAATTCAGAATTCAGTTTTGTCTTTTGTTAAGGTAGTTGGTATTATGATAACTTTGATCAAACTTTTCTACTGTTATTTAGTAATAGGTTAGTAATAATCTAACATGTTTGGAAAAAAGGTCCATATTTGAGAGTTAAAAATATATAATAAGTTATTGTTAATATTTTACTTCCTACAGCTAGTTTTAGAGTATTAGCACTACCTAGTTCTTAACTGAAACTGAGATTAAAGCACCTAAATACACTTGGGGCCAGCGTTAATCTCCTAACTGGTACCTCAGGAGAGACTAAATCCTGTCTTCCTTTCTGCTGCCATCTGCATGATGCCTTGTACTACTTCATCATACTTTCTTAAATTAAATATATTCAATACTGCTCAAAATACACTCAGATTGGGAAAAAATGTCATTTACAGTCTTTGAATTATCACTGTTGTGTTTGTTCAGGCAGTCACAAGCAAGGTATGTCACACAAAACTGTATTGTTGTCATGTTTAAAAAGTTTGAAGGAACAAAACCTTGCTTTGCTAGACTACAAAGTCATTCTTTCTCAATATTTAAAAAGAAAAACCTGAAAAATCTCCACCACATACACATAAGAAGTGGCACACAACCAGACCCCAAAATTTCACCGCATCCGAATATCATCATTTGATGTAGTAGCAAGATGTTTCTTACGAAGATGTGTGTGTGCTTGCTTAACTGCACACAACTGAGTGATTTCATTAGAATAATGCAACGCTTACATGAAATTAAGCATGCTTCCTCATAAGATATTTATGAAATAACACTGGTCTTGACTAATACACATCAAAATCTTTATAAGCACATCTGAAATTGATAAACTGATGCCTGAACTGCAGTTTAAAAAACCCAAAACGTCCCTTTTATAAGTGAGTAACATCTTGTATATACTTATGAAATAAGATACTTAAGATGAAAATTTTTTGTATACAAATCTATTGTAATTAATAGAATCTGTTTGACAGTGATGTACTGAATTCCAAATATTTTAATTTTAATTTTTTTTTTTTTTTTTAAGAATTGTTTGACACAACATACACTGGCAAATAATTTTATTTTTTTTAGCACTGAGAATCTGGAAAAAGTCTTTCTGTCAGAAAGCTTTAAGGAAACAAAGCTTAAACTTTACACTCTAAACAAATTTAAAGTATCTGAAGTGTTAACATTTGGCACTTCAGGTTCTATTTGTATTTTAAAAAAACAGCTTGGTGAATGAGGATGATTTGAATTTCTCACTTTAATATTGGGTTTTTTTTAAAAGTAGTCCTTAAATGGTCATATAGAGGAGGTACTGACATTTTATATTCCTTTATGGTAGTACAGGACTAAAACAGCTTGGTTTTGGTTTTCATAGAGAATCATTAGACTGACTTTGTATATGGCTTAACCTTCAACAGAACACCGAACATGTTCACTCTCTTCTAAGGTTATGTGAGCCAAGAAAAGTTCCAAAGTAAATGAAAAAAGAATACTTTCCTCCAATCTGGTTCACTTTTCAGCACTGTTTTGTTTTACTGATATTCAAACTCAAGTATATTGTCTTAATACTCAAGTTATCTGGAGTTACAAGTCTTCCTAGAAATATCTACATTTTTCAGCTTCGGCCAGAAGACTTGTGCAAATTGAGAGATGTTAATATATTACTTTATTTCTCCAGAACCATCTCCACTTGCATCTGTTCAGTCCCTTTCTGCTTCACTGTTGCTGTGCCTTTTCTATCCATCAGTTTACTAGATTCCTTTTTGGTAATGATAGAAAACAAACCCTCTCTATGAAGACTTCCCTGATATCTGAAGTCAGTTTGCTTACCCCTTTCAGATACCATACTTTCTTTTTTGCGAACATTTGCAAACCTATTCCAAAGCTGCTAATTTCTCAAGAAATGTCATCTCTTCAGGCATATCTTGTTCTGACTCTCTTCAATAATCTCATTCTAGAGATCGGAAGGCAATAAGCCATAGTCTTACATTGTAGATTTAGTTTTACTTCATCCTACATTACCTGAAGTCAGCAGAGAAACTTCCCTGAATTTAAGTGTATTTGTATAAATCAAGGTTTCTTAAAATTAGATAAACTTTGGAGATGTGAAACAAGTATCTTTTCACTTAATTTTCTCCCGGTGTGTGATTTCAGCCTTTGTTGTAGCAGCTACAACCCAAAATTTGTGTTTGACCTTAGCGCAGTAGTGTGCATGATTTGTATATGAGTGGTTAAGAATATGCTAATGATGATTTCTTTTCTGCTTAATTATTTCTAGGCAGGGCTCACAAAATGGAGAAGAAAAAACATTTAGTGACACATCATTACTGGAGAATCTTCAAAACAATCATGTAAGTTATATAAAAACAATTACTGTTGTTTTATGAAATCAAACAATTGCTTTCAGTAAGTCAAAAGATTATGTCCTTTAAAGGAAAATAAATAAATTACATATTTACACAAAATCAGCATGTCCCCATGAATAGTTGTATAATTGTTGTTAATACTTGTTAATTAGATCCAGCCTTTCTTTTTTTCTTTTTTCTTTTTTTTTATGGTATAATTCAGATGTTGTGGATTTGAAATACAATAGTCTTACATTCTTCATTCTGTGGGTGTTTTAACATTAATTATGCTGTCCAGATGATGTCATGACATCCATCAAAGCTTTCAGGATCAGTCAAATTAACTTACTATCCTGACATGACTTAGTATTTCTGTGCCAAGGCTTAGACAAGACTCAGGAGTTAACCATGTACATTGGTTTTGTGTATATGCTTTCATGAGGTTAGATCACCAGTTCAGATGATGAAATGAAACAGGCATTCTAGAGGCTGGTATTTGCCCCAGAGAGACAATACATTTCCCAGAAAGTTAATAGCTTGATTTGATTTGACTAAGAAATTACCACTTTCTGTTCGTTATTTATACAGGAGATGATTTTGCTTAATCATAACCAAGAACATATACCTTAAGTAGTGTAACTTTATTCTCTTTTTGAAGAGTGCAAATAAACTACTGTTTTCTTTCCTTAAATTTTGTCTTCCTGGGAGGATAATTTCAGGATAACTGTCAGACAGTGAAGCATTGTGTTCTTACAGATGGCACAGTCTTAAATGCTAGACATCTGAGTGCAAATCTCAAGTGTATCTAAAGCAGAGAGGGCTCTTATACTTACCTGCAGAGGTCATTTTCAGTGTTATTGACATAGACTGCTTGGAAGAGGCATTGTCCAGTTACTGCTGTTGTCTAGAAAATCCTTGGCATGCAGGTGGTTGAATGTCGAAAGCTTTCAGTTAGATAAGTAGTCTTAAGTGTGTATATATATATGAGCTATAAAAATACATTTTTATGCATCTTAAAGTTAAATTCAGGCACACATTCAGTGAGAGGTTTCACCATTGTGTGTTAAATGTGTTCTGAAGTGCTTTGGAAAAGAATCTGTAATTCAGCCTTCTGAATACATTTTGCAGGATCTAGGGACCCTCAGTGGAAGCAGACAGGAACCTGCTCCCATTAGTGTTTCTGCACTATGGAATTAAGTTAGGTTATAGAGTAATTGTAACATTATCTTCATTGTTCAAATGCTTAGTCTGTTACTAATCTGAAATACTATAAATATGCTACAAAAAACCTCAGTTGAGGTGATGCTGGAGTTTCTTTTGACCAACCATTCAGGAGTCAGTTCATTCATTTGCAAATTTCAGCTGTACTAATAAGATTCTTAGCTGTATTTGTCCAAAACGGTCAACTGTTTTGCCTACATACACTCTTCCCTCCTCTTTTGGCTAAATAACTTAAAATTGTTTCAGTTTTGTAGACATGTCCCCAGTACATTGATCTAAATATCTTCCTCTGAAAGCTGTCTGCCTGCCCTTGCAGCATTTTCCACATGATTTTTGGATTCGATAAAGATTCTTAAAAAGGGTTATCAAATATGGTATTAGACAAAAGTAATATTTTAGTAAAAAAGACAAAATCCAAGGAGACTTAAGTGAATAAAATAAAATTCTTTTCTTAGAGCGTCCAGACTTACCTTCCCTAAAAAATGCTTATTTGAATTATTCTGTGTTTCTGGTTATCTACTTTTGTAGATAGCAAATGCCACTAAATTCTGTCTATATAGCTGATACTGAACTACAGCAGCAAGAATTTATTCTGTAAGTTGACATTAGTGTACAGGTAATGTCTGGTTTGTTTAATTGTTGCTATTTTTTAAAGAAGAGAGAAAAACTATTTCACTATTTTTTTCCTGATAATTAGTTGTCTATATCTATTATTACATTTCAGTTAGTTATTGCTTAAATGATTAATCACGCTCTGACATTTTTTTTTTAAAGCCAACTGCACCTATAATATGTGAGTTTTTGACAATGATGGCAGTGTGTCATACAGCAGTTCCAGAAAGAGAAGGTGATAAAATTATATATCAAGCAGCATCTCCAGGTGAGACTCAAATAATTGAGTGAACATACAGTGAAGTATTCTATCAACTCAACAACCAAATTTTATTCAGAGTTTGTTGTTTTTTGAAGTATCTTCAAAATTAAAAAAGAAAACCCATCCCTGAAAAAAGAGTTGGTGTCAGCTAAAATCAGTTTTGTCAAAAATGGATTTATACTTTTCCCATTTGCCTTGGAAAATATATATGGATATCCTGTGGATTATGTAAGGGCAAAGGGTGATTCAGCACTCCTAAATTGCTGTCAGATTGCTGTGAAAGTCTGAAGGAACTGCTCTAATGCAAATAGAAATCGAATCAGGAGACAAATTGATGTCCTTGTTTGTGAACCTATTCTGTACTTGGTAACCATAGTATTGATTTAGAACAGACTGTTTGTAATCAAAAATGAAGGAGAAATGTTTTTCATAGCATAAAAGTTGTGATAAATTTTACTAGAGAGTGAGTACAGATTATAGTACAAAAGGTCTGGTTCAAACCTACTGTGGCTTATAGACAATTTTTAAATTCAGGAAATGATGAAGAAAGGCAAAATGATATGCTTAATTCTGCTGAGATAATCTATTGTAACAATTTATGATGGGAGAAATGACATGAAGTGCAGAGTCTCCAGCCTTTGTCTTTTCTGTCTGCCCCAACTCCTAGGTGCCTCTCTCTCTAAATTCTGTCCTTCAGCAGTTGAAGGACAGAGGTAGAGCTATAAATTAAACTAACTGGGCCATGGCAATGTTCTTCTGGTCATCGTGAGCAAATTCTGTTCTGACATCCTGTGCCATTTGGAGAGAACTGATGCCTGTGGGAGGCTGGGTTGTTGCTTGGAATGTTTTCTGCATGTAGTCATTGAAGTTAATCTATTATTTACAGGAATGACTTACCATTCTTCTCTTCTAAAACAGAATTTAAACAAAAATAAATGTATCTTGTCCAGTGCCCCACTGAGGAAAGTGCTTGCCTAGGTGCTTTGAAGAGGATGTTCTTGTTACTGAGCTGAGAGGCATGTTCCTTTGGGGGCTTACTTCCTCTGAACTGTAAATTCATTTCATCGGTTTTCACAGTAGAAACAAAGAGTTCTTTCCAGCACCACTTCTAATCTTAAAAATCTGTAAAGGAAAAAGGAAGTCAAAAGTAGAAAAGCTTAGAATGTATCCATTAAATCATTGGGTAAACTCACAGTTTTCTGGTACATCTGCAAAATGACTATTGACTTGTTGCAGATGAAGGAGCATTGGTCAGAGCAGCCAGGCATCTTCGTTTTGTATTCACTGGAAGGACACCTGACTCAGTAATCATAGAGTCTGTAAGTACATTGGAGTAACGGTGTAATTTGCTGTATTTACTCTTGTTGTATTAAATAATTTCTCAATAACTGCATCATGGTACGTATCTATTCAGACATTGTTTGGCTGGTTTTGGTTCTTTTGCTTGAGGTTTTTTGCATTCATTCTCACCTTTTTTTTTTTTTTTAATTCTTTAGCTGGGACAGGAAGAGAGATATGAACTGCTAAATGTCCTGGAATTTACAAGGTAAACAGCATGTTGTGTGCTTAGTGTCTTTTTGTGAAAATACTTTATGAATTTTTCTTATATAAAAAATGCAAACATTTTTACCCATTTGTATCAGCAAAGTATGCAGACTGTATGGCTTATATTTCTGTAATATGTGATCATACTTTAAGCAAAGCAGTGTCTGTGATTAAGATCACACTTTTGGTTTTATTGTAAAGCATTTTCAGAGGCATGTATTTTTTCTCTTGTCTCCTTTTTTGGCTAGTATTTTTCACTTTTGCTTTTGCACCAAGATTGAAAAAACTGTTATCTCAAAACTTAAAAAAATTGTGTGAAAAGATAGTATAGGAAAGTACTTTTAAATGTATTTCTGAAAGCCCTGGCACCATGATTTATTAAAATTTTCATATTTGTGGACGGGGGGAAGATTCAAATAAACATTACATAACTTATGTTTGCTTTGACTGATAGAATGAGATTTTGCATTTGACCTTGAATATACTTGCATAATTCTGACTTGTTTAAATACTCTAGACTGAAATCTATTCTCTTCTGAGCAACATCACGTGCTTTGCTTTCAGTAAAAATTTTCTGTCAGAGCTCTTGGAATTATAAAAGCACCCATAAGAAATCTGGATGCAGTTTCACTTGTTACGTAAATCTGTTTAAATTGTATCCATGTATGCCATATGTGTTCCAAGTGTTTGCATAGGCCTATTGCTTATTTTGGCACAGGGTGGGGAAGGGATTTGTATGTAGAGGAAGCTCTTTTTTTCTTAGAATGATTACTTGTAATTGTTCCTGCGTAAGGTTATCACTGTTTTCCTTCCTGTCCTATTATGTTTCCTTAAGCTTAGCTAAAGAAGTAAAAAGATCAAAAATTAAAATCCAAGGCAATACTACAGAAACAGGATGAAGATGTATAGGTTGGGTGAATTGAGAGAAGTAGTTGCCTATAGTTATGATAATAGCAATAATAATGTGAAACAAAAAGAAAGAACACCACAGTAAAAAAAAAAAAATTACATGACAGAAGGTAATAATTATAGTTTTGAAAGCCTTCTAATGTCTTTTAATGACTGTTTACAATTACTGTTCATTTTATATATTGTAGAGGACATACTTGAAATTTTTCAGATTTATGCCATGGTTTCTTTCTTCTGTAGCTACTTCTTTCACTTTCTGTTCCAGAAAGTTAGCAAGTATGTAGCAAAAAGTGCATTGTTGTTAGTTTGATATCTCTGAAACTTTATGCTCCATTCATGGAATAGCAGTGAAGGATTCTTATATTGCTTCTGGTTTTTATCTTTGTCTTGATTTCATAGATCTTTTTTTAATTTCTGTGTCAGTCTAAATTTGTAATTTAAACAGTGGTACTTTACAGAGAAAGGATAATTGCTTTTAAATCTTAACCTTTTGGAGGATTAAGCGTTTTGGTGGAAACCAAACACCCAACTTTATGAAACATTCGTTTTTTATAGCTGTTTTTGTTCTTAATTCTGTAATATTCAGCTTTGCTTGGAACTGACTTGTTGGAGGCGCTAGAGGTCACCCTTGTTCCAGAGCAAGAGAAATTTTGGCTCCAAAACAACACCATCTGTATGGGTAGGAGCACATACCTTCAGAGGAGTAATCTAACGATTAGACTATTGAGTTAAAGAGTTTCCAGGTGTTTCAAGTTTTTCCCAGAAAAAATGGAAACTAATTCATTGCCACCTTCCAGTAAAAGCCAGATAAGACTCTTCTGCAAGTAGTGTGCAACAGTGTCAACATTTGATAGGATAGACTTTTGGAGAAGTATGTTACAGAAATAAAACTTGTAGGAATGTTTGGTAGACTTGTCTTTTATGGCAGTCTCTTTTTTACAGTGATCATAGCTATGCCTGTGAAAAGAGAAGTAGCAGATTTATACAATATGCTGATTATACCAAGGAAGTAGCTTTCAGTCTAACTGGCAGGTGAGCATACTGAAAGCCACTGATAATCCTTAACCAGCTAATTATTCCTAAAATGTAGTGCTAATCCCTGTGGAGAAAATAGTGTCTTGATAACTTGTGCTGAGTTTAAGTTGTGTCCAGTAGATACTCTACTCAGATGCCACAACTGCTGTGGTACCTTAAGCTCAAGGAAGTGAAGGGTTGTTCAGACATTCTGCTGTTCAGGGCTCCCCATGCTGTCAGGAAAGGAACTGTGTGGTGTTGTGCCTGTTCTTGTATTCTGTCACCTGAAAATGTAACAAATAGGAAAAATGCAGCTATCTCTTGGGAGCCAAAACAGCTCCTAAAATATGTATCTGCGAAGCAGGGGAAGACAAGGCTCTATGTTAGTTAAGGATCCAGAAGCATAGAAAATCTTATGCTTACTGTCATCTCTGTGCCAACTACGTGCACTGTCTTTTCATCTGGGCCAGTTGCAAAGATGAGCATGAGTGGGTGATTCCTTGTTTCAGTAAGCATAAGCGATGCCCATGATCAGTGCACAAATTGCACCAGTCCTTGCATTAACGTGTCATTACTGGCAGTGCTACTGAATGAGATGTTGACTTGTATATGCTTGCTTTCTGAGGGAAATGAATTAAACTTTTAGTAATTTCACTGGCAAGCATTGAGTATAGATGTAGTAATAACATCTCGATATCTGGAGTATGTACCATCTATTGATTTAATGACTGACTTTCATCTGTATCACTGGGACATACCTCCACAGTCTAGCAGAAACCGTTTGTGTGAGAGTTACGGAGCAAAGCTTCTTGTCTAAAACCTAAATATTTTTGATTTAGAATGCCAGTGTATTTACCTGAAGTACAACAATAGCTTGATAGTCCGCTCTCTGATCAGTTTTATGAATATTCCGTGTTGCCTTGGTGTTCTACTGGGCAGACAGAAGGCCTCCCTCTAGAGCATTTGAGACTTTTATCTCCTCTCCGTCATTCAAACAGGTCCAGAATATACTGATCCTGTTTTATGAATGAAGACTGATACTTCTAAATGTAGAAAGAGTGGCTGACAGAGGAAGTACCAAAACCTCTGTAGCAGTATTTTTTTGCTGTGTTTTTGTGCTCGCGCTCTGAAGAAATTTTCATCTTACACCTGAGACGAATTTTAAAGTAACGGGGCCCATGAAGAGCTGCTTCTGGAAGTGGCAAATCTTGAGACCAAGGAAGTATTTCTGTCCTCTTAAGATGTTTCTGTCCATCTGTAATCCCATGGCAACTCCATGGGAATTGCCAGCTATTCTGCCTCCTTGTCACAACCCAAAGGTTTACCTGGCCTCTGGCTATATAGAGATCATGACAGTGGTTTTGCAGGATTCCATGGCACACAAAAGCACAGAGGTTTTATTTTCTAAATTTCTTTATTACAGATTACTACAAATTACTATTAGTAAAGCCAAGTATATGCATAAGGAATAAAGTACATTTATATTTTAATAGGATCAGCCATCAATAGTAGCAGCAAATATATATGTCTGTATATTATAAGTTGCTACTAAATTACCACTAGTGAAGAAATACACATATAATCAGTTACCTATATGTGCATGCACATACACACACACACATAGATATATATATATATATATATATATATTATTCGAAATAGTAGAGGTACAGTGCTCACCAAACAGCTCCCAGGAGTGGGGCCTCAAAGTTGATGATGGACAGTCTCACTTCAAAGAATGAGAGTCTGAAGTCAGCCAGGTATTCCTGGTGATGGTCCAATAGCTTGTCTAGGGGATCTCAGAGAAAAAATGATGCAGGGATGGTTGTCAGAGAGAGAGGCTCCATTTGGGGTAAAAGCAAGTCATTTTTATATGACAGAGACAGGGGATGTAGGACACCACCACCTGGAACAGTCAATAGATGCTGCTAACTTCTATTTTTCGTCTGGGACAGCCAATAGATATGGTGTTTTCTCTCGAGACAAATTTTTATTTTTCCAGACTGTTTTCCTGTTCTTTCAATTAGAACAACCAATTGTGGTTGCTGATTCCTACTTTCCCAGGATGTTTTCTCCCTTTTCCAGACTTTTTACCTGTTAATTGTAACTATTGCAGTTAGTACCTTGTTTCACACTTACGGTGTCTCAGGATGTCTCTGGTTTCTAGGTACCCAGCTGTACTTCAGAGATACTGCTGCAGTTCTCAAGGATGCTTCTGGTTTCCAGGCCTAGTTCCCAGGCTTTTCTCTGTCAGTGTTTCAGCAGACATCTTCTGTTCAGTATTTTTCCCCTTATAACCAGGTCACCTTTATGGCTGCTCACATCACTTTTATGGCGAAGAAAACAAAAAAAATGGTCTTACACTGACAGTTATTTGTAGCAGTGCAATTTTGTGGTTTTCTGTATTTCGCCAGTAAAAGGAAATAAAACTGTCACTGCAATGAAAAGGCTCATAAAAAGTTAGAAGTCCTTGACAGTAAGTCCTGCTCATTAGCTTTATTGCAGTTTTACTAAGAAAATGTATGTCAGTCAAGATTCAATATCTGTCTTCATAGCTAAAGTTTCAGAACGCTACAGGAAACATTGGTTATTCTCTGATACATCTTCAGTAGATAGGCAGCTGTATGCAGAACTTCAGGATTGCAGTCTTCTGGTATTGCAAGAGAAGTACAAAACTGCTGAGTTTTTACCTGTCAAGGGCATATATACCAAATTATTGTTTATACAAAGCCTAAATTACTGTAATTCCTCCACAGTTCCTTAACAGAACATTCAAGCAAGTGTAATGAATTTAAGTAGCAGTAGGTTAGATAATCTTGCCAGGAATCAAAGTTCATCTGAGATTTGCTTTTATTTTAGGCAACTTAACTGTGGTTTAGATGATCTGAATTTTGCCACTGTTGTCTAAGCAGATCCCCAACTGGACACTGTCTAAAAGTTTTTGGAATTCTGCTTATCTGAGGTTTTTTAGATTAGAGATGGAGTAAGAGTTGCAGCAGTTAATGCTTTTTTTATGCTTTCTTGTGCAATATTCACAGTAAAAAATTAATTCAGTATTGCAGTTTGGATGTCTGTACTTGAAGCAAAGCGCATGCACAGGTGGAATAGGAAAATATTTTCTTGAAGATAATATTCAGTCACTTCACCATTAATTAAAAAATTCTTTCCTTCACCTATCTCCATACATTCCACTTATTGGATGTTTTCTACAGCAGTCTGAACTTCAGGAACCATTCATGCAATAATGCTATTTAATGATGTATAAATGGGATCCAGTTCCAATGGGAACTGGATTTGTAAAGGGACCATTTATTTTTATGTCTTTTGTGTATTTTACTGTGAACTCTTGTGTGAGAAATGTGTTTTGTTCCCTGCATAGTTTCTGTGGATTTATTTAAAAAGTTGACATTTGAAAGAATTGTCCAGTCAAAATGTGTACTTATATGATCTTGAATCTAAAGTATGCTTGTTGGAGGACTTCCAAGGGAAGACAGAAAGCAGAAGAGTGACAGTCTTCTCCATGCTTTTTTCCAATTCCTACCTCAGTCATGAGGACAAAAAGAAAAAATACTTAGTTCTTATTAACAACTGAGAGCCCGAGAGTAGTTAAAATGAGGTGAGCCCCTTTCAAGTTCTTAGCATACTTAAAACTTTGCATGGTGAATGAAACTCCGGGATGACTGAAATAGGATTGCAGCACAGTATAGTGTACAAGAGACTCTTTTTGGCTGTGAAAGAAGAAAAAGATGCAATGGTCCGTGATGCAGTACATCTTGGTCATAAGTGCTTTGTGCTTTAAGATACTTTCTTGTGATCAGTAGACAGTATTCAGTAAAGGTGAAGATTCTCAAATTTGGTTTTGTGGGAAAAAGCCTACAGAATTATGCACAGAAAACCAGTATTCACTCTAATTATTGGACAGTAAAACTGTTTTTCCATCCCAGTCACCTGAGAACAAAGACTAGATAGACCTTACTTATTTTCCTTTTTCTTATGTAAGATATATTTTTATATTCTTAGGTAAAATGTTGGTAAATATTTATATTTATGAACCACCTTATATAAGGCATTTATTTCTCTTTCAGCTCTAGGAAGAGAATGTCAGTGATAGTTCGCACACCTTCGGGAAAGTTAAGACTCTACTGCAAAGGAGCCGTGAGTTTTATTCTGTTTTTACTGTATCAAAGAACATGTGCTACCAATACAAATGCATAAACAAAAAGTTGTTATAACTGCAGTGAAAACATCGAAAATGTGGGAGAAGGAATGTTGATGCCTTTTTCAATTTACATAGTTTAATTATGCAACTGTTTAATATGGTACACTAGTTAATGTCTGGTTTTACTAACTGCCTATAAAGGAATGACGACCTGTTCATCCTGTTCTTTGTAGTGGATTAATACCTTTATGTTTGCTATTATTAATTGCTTCCTTCTGTACTCCCAAGAAAATGGATGAATGTATTAGTTACTTGCTGTAGTAGCTGAGCATGAGTCACTAGGTAGAAACAGTAATTTAGCATAAGTCACTAGATGAGAATTTTAACATACTATTGATGTCATACTAGAAGTAAATTTTCCTGAACACAGCATCTATGGGAAGATATCTTAATCATAATGTAGCTGAGAATGGCAGAGTTGCTCGTTAGTGCTTGTTCTGTATCTTAAGTCGTTTGAGGGGGAGGGGGATGCAAATCCAGTTCTCGAAAGGTTTAAAAAAATTGAAGTTGATTGAATATAAATGTCCATTCTGTATCTACTTAAGTGGAGAGGAGAAGCTGTTGTTAATATCCCGTATATCAAGCTGGCTTCAAAAATCTGAGAATGGCAGTTATGAAACACTAAATTTACCTTTGGGGCTTAATATTAAAGAGGAAGAAATCATTTTAGGAGATCAGAAGAACTCACATGGCAAGCCGAAGGAAGATGCAGCACTTCTCAAAATGAAAGGAAATAACAGCAGAAAATGTAGGAAAGAAATACTGCATCATAGCAGAATTTGTCTATTTAGAGAATCTGAGGGTTTGGAATGTCCTTTTTTCCTTCCTTTGAAATAAAATTACTTCTATTCATTTTTGATGCTGAAATAAATTAATGCAGTGTTGCATATTTTTCTGCCATTTTCCTACATGATTTGTATTGCCTACATAAAAAACATTTTTTCTTAAATTGTTTTGAATTAATTTATTTGTTTTGTAGGATACTGTAATTTATGACCGTCTTGCTGAAAGTTCAAAATACAAAGAAATCACCTTAAAACATCTAGAGCAGTTTGCTACAGAAGGTGGGTGATATTATTCAATAAAAAACTATGAAATTGAGTTACTGCTGAACTTTTCAGTTTTGCAATTTTATGTTGCTGTAATGTTTTGTTCATGTTATGTTTGAAAATTACTTTTTAGTAATGCCTCCTAAAAAAGATCTTCCTCTTCCTGAGAAGTTTCAGTAATAAGTTCATGCTTAAAAACAAACAAACAAAAACTATACACAGAGTACACAGTAGAGTCCTTTAGACAAAATATATTTTTCCAGAGAGCAAACACATTGCATATTGTTTCTGTGAAGATTTCATTTCCCATGACCACTTTCGTGTCTCACACACAATGGATGCTGTAGGGCTGGCACACAGGAAGAAGCAGCCAAACTGAAGATGCTTGGAAGTGATTAGTGTGGTGCTTTTTAAGGTAGTTCAATGCTATATTATTTCTGTCATCAGTCACAATAAGGGGAACTGCTAGCACTAGCTTTCCATATAGTGTGTTGTGGTATCTCTGCTGTTTTAACACTCTTACAAAGCAGTTGCTGAGGGTGGAGAACCCCTCCATGTTCCAAGTAGGAGTAATAAGTAAAATTTAAAAGGCTGTGAAATTAAGATGATTGATACAAACAGCCAGTTACTTAATAATAGTAGATTTCCCAGTACAGATGTGAGCAGAAAAGCAGACTGTAGAAAAGCTTCTGTTTTCGTGTAAGTAGTTCTAGCACAATTCCTAGATGTTCCATGCCATGCTTTCTTTCTGGTATCTTAAAGCCTTATAGAGTTGTACAGTGAAGTATCATAGTGTTTTAATTTATCAATGAGTTGGGAGAGAGTAGTTTGGAGAAAAATTCCAATAGTTATGGGAATCTGAACTGCAATTTTTCTACCTCTTAATTTTTTTAATACACTGTTACTAGAACATTAAAGTTATCTTTAATGTGCCTCAAGAAGTAAGCTTACACTGGGAGGCAGACTATTGAAATATTTTCCTTCTCAAATAGAATTCTTACCTTTTGGTAACTGATGTCCGGCCAGACCATCTTGTATCAGGAAAGGTCCTCTTTCTGTCTGTTAAACATATGACTTCTCTAATTCTTCTCTTTTGATTTATAATGGAATTTGGCGTTTTGATCAGTGTCATAGGCAGCACCTTCAGTCTTTTGATTCTGTCAGTGACAGCATAAGCAAGCCACAGATCTGCTTCTTTTGTTAGTTTTCCATATCAAGATCTCTGCAGGAAACATTTGGCTAGCCTTAAATAATCTTAGGGTATCAAAGATATAATAAATTATACAATAAAGTTGAAAGCAGAACTAAAACCAAACAGATTTTATGGTACAACTTAAAGCCTCAGATACCCCCGTTGAACTCATGAATCTAGTTGTGTGAACTGATTGGCCAGTTTGGGGTTTTATAAAGGCCTAACCAGGGTTGATCAAGGAAAATTTACTTATATATGAAGATAGTTTGAGTCATAAGGCTCTGTGTGTGTGTGTGTGTGTGTGTGTGTGTGTATATATATATATATATATATATATAAATAGAAGGCTAAATATACCTTAAAGAAAAGGTAAAAATAGACCAATATCTTCTATCCTGTCTGAACTGATCTGGAAATTTCAATCCAGTTCTTAATTACTGTTCTCATTAAATCAGTGGTACAACTGATACAATTTTTTCCTTAGCAGTCAGGTCAGACTGAATAAATCAACATAAAAAATGAAAAATTCCACCCGCCTTTAAAACCACTGTACATACATATTAGTGTTAAGAAGTTTGTTCAAATACTTTTTGTAACCTTCTTTTCTACAGATGAAAAGATTTACTCTTCAGAAGAATGAAGTACTAACCTTTCAAAAGCATAAATTCAATCTTTTTTTTTTTTAATAAAGTACCTCTCTCTCTGGAATTGATTAAAGAAATCGGTATTTATTTTTGTATCAGATTTAAATTGCAGCTGATGACGTTGCAAAATTCCTCATGAGTATCCTTTCATGTGGCAGTACAGTATGTCCTTGGCATTTGCTGCATGCTCTTGGTGTGTTGTTCAAAAATGAAGTGGTTAGCATGGCTGGCATTTATATTTAAGCATTTATTAAGCTTGAGTGTTAATGCCTGCTGGATAAACAGAAAAAGTGTGTAATTTTCCTGTGTTGTTGTTCCAGTCTGTTAAGAAGCAGACTTAATGACATTTTGTTTTCCACTTTTCATTTGGAAGATTCTTTTAAATCACAATTAAAAGTATATTTTTAAAATTAAAAATAGAAAAAATAATTAACCTCTGATTTAAAAAGAAAAAGAAATGCCTTGAAAAATTTTATTGCTAATATTCTATATACACTGATTTCTTTTCTTCATTTTATCATCTGCACAAAATATTTTGAAATTATTGTGGAAATAGTATCCGTATTAGTAAGTTATAAATTCCTTGCCTCCCCTTCACCTCATATTCATTGCTTTGGACCTTGCTAGCATATCCTTATTGCACAGAGGAAAAAAAAAATCAGTTTATTTGTCAGCATTAAGTTTATTCTCTAGGTCTAGATGGTGAGATGCTGTGTTCCTAATGCTGTTCAGTTGTCAAGATATTAGGATTACACATGGTTTACATCTAAGACAGTAATTTAACATCTTCAGGGTGAAAGACACATATGTATTATTTCATACCCAGCCTCTTGATCATTTCAAAATTGCTGCTGGTGCTGAGCTGTACACAATAGAAACCTGTGAACGGATGAAGATTGCATTTAGTCATCCTCAGTTATGATGCTGTTCATCTCCTGCAACAGAGTGGGCAGATGACCAAAGGCACTAACTACATTAGTCCTGTCTATCCCCTTCCTAAATCTATTTGCCTGCAAATTGTGGCTTCATAAGACATCATTTGGCTACAGCAGTTCTCTTCTTTGTATACAAAGAGTTATGCCAATTTCATGCTCTAGAGATTTAAGAATCTGATAATATGTGAAAATGAACTGTTAGAACATTCACACCTAGCTACTTAAATTGAATGTAAATGTGTGTTGTCAAAAAATAGATGTTTCTTATAATCTTGCAGTCTCAGATTCTTACTGTGGTGCTTAATTCAGACTCTGTTCAAGGAAAAAAATCTGTTAAGTATAACCACCTCAAAAATTAAATAAAATATCCAAATGTTGCCTGTACACAAAGATTTTATTTTAAGAATTTGGAAAGCTGAAAGAATCAGAAATGGGAAAATTAAATCTGAGGGGGTTGAAAATCAGCTTCTAGATGGTAAATTTCAAACTTCAACCAAGAATTTCCTAAGGGTATTGAGGAGGGGTGAAGATGAGGGTAGTTGTAACATTATGCTGATATATTTTAACTTAAATGTTGCTATGCTGGAAAGTAACAAAGTTTATAAAATTTTTATTCAGAAATACAAATCTTACAGTTTTAATGTTCCTAAAAATCTAATATGTATACCTGTTCAGCAAGTGTAATTTGGGATTGCTTCCTGTTTTGTTTACAGTTTAAGGTAGGTCGAATTTGTGTAAAATTTAGGGGTTTTTTTCCATGAAGTACATCACCTGTATTACATTCAGCTAATATTTCTATTTATATCATGTTTTTTACTTTATAATTTCTTCAAGACATGCAGCAGTAAATTGAAAATCTGGCCAAAAAAGCGCCGTAAAATACAAAATAAGTTCAGCTTTTAGTTATGCGTTACAGGGCATATCAAGGAAGGGACTAACAAATACTGAATCATGCTTACTGTCTGATTTCTCTTTAGGCTTAAGAACTCTGTGTTTTGCTGTGGCTGAGATTTCAGAAAGTGATTATCAAGAGTGGTTAGATGTCTATCACCGTGCTTCTACAGCTATTCAAAACAGAGCACTCAAACTTGAGGAGAGCTATGAACTAATTGAAAAAGTATGTGTAGCTTTTTGGTTTGGAGTGGGGAGGGGACAGGGGGTGAGGAGAATGGGGTTTTTTAATTAATGTCCTTGCTTTCTATACCATGAAATCTGAATCATTATTGAGGAATAATAATTAGACACAAGAAAATCTAGCAATATACTGACAGCTGTGTCACATAGCCCTTGCAGTTTAGGTGATCAAAATGGAGGAAAGATTAATTTGAAAACGTTTTCGCAGCAAGTAGCTACCTTGCCAAAAAGTGTTGATTTTGAGTTGAACTACTGGAAAGTTTTTTTCAGAGTTGTTCTGTTGTGTAAAAAAGTGTAATAACAGACAAACATCTGCTTCATTGTATGATCTTGGAACCATAGAGTTCCATAGAGGTTGGAAGGGACTTCTGGAGGCCATCTAGACACAAATCCGTGCTCAAAGCAGGGCTAATTTTGCTTGCCCAGCACTTTGATGAAGTTTTGAGTATTTTGAAAGAGGGAGTTTTCCCAGCTGCAGTAAGCAATTTTTTTTTTAATGCTCAACTATTCTTTTTGCCCTTTTTTTGAATTAAAATTTCTGTTGCTGCAGAATTTTACTGTTGCCTCTTGCCCTTTCACCATGCACCTCTTAGAGGAAGGTGGCTTCTCTGCAAGCCCTCTTCAGTTAGCAGTAGGCAGCCATGGAATCCTTCCCTTAGCCTACTTTTTTCCCCGTGTTAAATTCACCCTGCTTCTTCAGGCACTCTTAATATAGTGTGCTCTGGGCCCCAAGCTATTTTTGTGTCCCTCCACTGGACTTGCTCCACTTTGTCAACCTCTTTTGTACTGAAGGCTCAGAAAAGGAGGTAAGACCCAGATGCAGCCTCACAAGAGCAGAGAGCCATAATCACTTTCCCTTGAGTTTCTGGCAATGTTGCTGCTGGAGTAGCCAAGCATGTGCTTGGACTTCACTGCCTCAACAAAAAAGGCTCCTGTGGCTCTTAAATGTATAAGCAAAAGGACTTCATGAGACCAGTATTCTTTGAAGTTTTGATACTTGACTTGGGGTGGGGGTGTTGTTTTGGTTTTGGTTTTTTCCCTTGAAAAGCATAAGAGAGATTACTTTCATGAAACTCTATAAAACTCAGAGCCTCAAAAACCTGCAGTATTTAATTCATGAAAAAGAAGTCTGAGGGTATATAGCTTCGGTCACTTGTGGGACTTCAGTTTATATAGATGAGCAGCTTATCCAGACATGCACAAGACAGTCTTAAAACCATATAACTCTGTTAATGCCATGGCAACCCCGCTGTCATTACAAAATTTTGTATTAGCTCAGCATGTAGTATGTAGACCATGCTGCAACCAGGGTTGCACACTATTAGGTTTATAATGGTGTCATTAACAGGGTTTTAGCTAGTTTTAAAGGTACAGATATATGAAATATAAAAATGGCTGTATTCACAAAAACAGTATATATTTCTTGCGTGGGAAGTTAAAACCAAACATAATCAAGATTACAGTTTTAAAATTAAGATGAATTGACAGGTATTTTTTTTACAAGGTGAACAGAAGTCATTACAAGTGAGAGAAGATATAATAATAGCACCCCTCAAGTATTCAAATCAGAGGGGTGCCCCTCAGGAAAAGGTAGCTGTTGCTGAACAAACTACTGAGACTGTGAATAATTGGGTGAAGTTTTAGTGGTTACACTGTGCAGTTTGTCAAGCCACATAGATATTTACCTTAAAGCTCATAGGAATAAACTGAAAGATTGTTATTAGTTAGTATCAAATCTGATTAATGAATTTAGAGAGGATTGATCCTGTCATAAATATGGAAAGTTAAATAAAAGATTAAAACTGAATTTAATCCAGAAAAACTGTATGTACTGAATATTTTATATTCACAGAATCTTCAGCTGCTTGGAGCAACAGCAATTGAAGATAAACTACAAGACAAAGTGCCTGAAACCATAGAGACACTTATGAAGGCAGACATAAAAATTTGGATACTTACTGGGGACAAACAAGAGACTGCCATTAACATCGGTATTACATATGCATTTATTTGGTAGCTTTGTTACAGATTTAGAAATTACAGAAGTTGCTAGAGTAAAATTGCTTTCAAAAAGGAAAGGTATCTTGTAAAAAAGAATAATATTATGTGGCATTCCAGAATTTAAATGTTAACTTATCTTTCAGTCACTGGTAGGGGGAGAGTGAGAAATGGTAGATTCTTTTTCCATTAAAACAGTAACAGCAAAAAAAATTCATGGTACCATAGCGGGGAGGAAAAAAAATAGGCGTTTGTGCTTTTTTGTAGCATCTAAAATGAATTATAAAGAATACATTGTTTGGGTCTTGACAGTGAGAAGGAGTAATATTAAGAAGATACAGAAGGGAAAATAAGAATACTTGTATTTTTCCTTCTTTCCAAGAAAGCTGGTAGGGACTGTAACCTTAACTAAAGCAAAACAATATATAGATTGTCCATTAAAGTAGTGTAAACTTTACCATCAGAGGTTTCCTTTTATTCTTTTATTATAAAGGAGGAAAGAAAAAGAATCATGAATTAACTAATTTCAACAGTGATACATATGTATTTTTAAATAGTAATATATGAAAGCTGCATTTAAAATTTAATATTATTTGCATGTGAGCATATCAGCACTTCTGCAGTAGCCTAGATATGTGCCCAAAATAAAGCATTATTTTTGGTCATATGGATCCTTTTTATTACTATTATTATTATTTTTAATCTTACAGAACTTTTTGTACGCGCATGATGCACATGATCTAAGTTTATTTTCATCAGTACCTTCAGGTTTTAGGCAATAAACATAATACCAGTACTTTTTACTTTATTAAGAATGGTGACATATATTTGTGTAGGCAGCCTGCATCGTTAGCATACACACTATTTAAAGCATCAAAGAATAAAAGAAATTTTGTATGAGATGCAAGTTGCATTCCAAAAATTTGCAAAGCTAAGGGAGATCTGTTCCCTGTTTTCTGTAACTTGCTGTAAAGTGGTTTCTTGTCCTTCTGCTGAGCACCTTTGTGAATAAGCCAGATGAGTCACACGGGAAATTCTTAGTGTTTTGACTATAGACCTCTATGTGTAATTTTTATAGAATGAAGTATTATTTTTTTACCAATGTTTTCATCTGTGGGAGTCATGTTTTTAATTCTGGCTGTAGTTCTCTTACAGGAAAAATAATGCTTTGTTATATTATAATGCATGTTGTGGAAAAAATTTTTGAAAACACAAATGTTTTTAACAGGTCACTCCTGTAAACTTTTGAGAAAAAACATGGGACTAATTGTTATAAATGAAGGCTCCCTTGACGTAAGTAAAACCTGAAAGATTTTCATTTAATGATATGTTATTTTACTGCTTAAAATATCCAGACATCATGGTGGAGGTAACCTGAAAAAATAACTTGGAGCATCTTATTTATCTGGACAAACACGGAAAATTCTGCTAAAACTCCTGTTTGGTGGGGGGTTTTATTTCTGTTTGTTAGGGAGGGTTGCTTTTTTGTTTGTTTTTATAATCTTCTCAGTTAATTTGAGTATTGGATACTTGGAATACTGTATATCTTTGTGACAAAATGTTAGTGAATAACTAGAAAGTTATTCTACGGCTTCCAAAACCACATTGGAGTTACTACACAAATGAACTTTAGAATAATGAGCAAACCAATTTCATATAGTGAAATGACTCCATCCATGCAGGCACAAAACCAGGAGCTTCCCATGCTTCTGGTAGCACCTAGTAATGCCCAAACTAATCCTAAATTCCTTTCTAATTCTGTTTCTTACAGAATACTTAGTATCTGCCAAAAATTAATTGTTATTGTCTGGTTAAACAGCTGAAATTGTGATCAGGTATTGAAGTACAAGTAAGGGTTGAAACTGCTAACTTGCAAGTATACGGTGCTTTGTAGAGAAGAGATTCTTCAGATAGGGTGAGAATGCAGTATTAAGTGAAAAATCCCATGAGGGGAAAAAAAAAAAAATCTGTTACCACCATCTAAGAGAGTCTTAAATTATCTTAGAAGTGCAAGAATTTCCTCAGAAGAAAAGGCTTCAGGAGAAAACTCTGAAATTAAGTTTACCTTACTCCGTATTGTGGTCAGGTTGCTCAAGATAGGATTTGGGGAGAGAAAGTGAGAGGAAAGTGAAAAGAAAGTTTAAGAATCAGCAAAAAATCCTTAACTGAAGGATTCAATGGTTAGTGTGTAAGAGTAGGCTATAACATGAATTAAAATACTACTTTTTTTTTAAATAAGTACTTTTTTAAATGCACATTTTCAACATCAGTATGAATTTAATTGTGATGACTGTACTTCAAATATAAATTGTTCTAAGCAACATATTTTTGCTGATAAAATTTAAAAGAAAATCTCAAACACAGAGCAGACAGAAGCTCTTGATAAATGTCTGGAACCGGAATCTGTTGATATAGTAAGCAGCTTTTGACACAAGTAGCATGTAATATTAATGAAGAGAGGCAATTTTCTTAGTTTAGTTCATTTGGGTAGCTTTAGAAAGATATTGATTTTTTTTTTTTGTTGAAAATACAGGAAACGTTTTTGGTTTGAGCCCTTAACTTTGCATTTGAGTTTTTCACTCCTTAACCAATCTCTGAGTGAAAATTAACCAGTGCAAGGGACAACTTCTGTATTTATTTAGGTTATTTATACAGACTACTGGCTTTCATAACTGCTGCAATACTTAATAGATTTGAAGTGCAACAGATTGACTATTTTGTACATTTCATATGTAATGAAATAGAGGTAGTTTTATTTAACTACTAAAAGGAATCCAACAAAACTCAGTATACAAGCATTGCACATTAACCACTTCTAGTGTGATCATGAAAAAGTTGAATGAATATATTTTAAACAATATATTTTAAAAATAAATGTATGTAAATATGCTTTAAGAATAAAATATAGTATCTGATATAACTGAACTGTACTATACTCCCTATTTCATACTGAAGTGTATAGATTGTGTAGAGAATGACATATCCTTTTCCTACATACACAAAGCACAGTCAAAGTATGTGGGGATGTAGATGACATGGCAGCTGAATCGCATATGCAAATCTGAGTGGTGATAACATAAGTGAGGAGCAGATAAATGCAGTGATTGGATAGTTTGAGGGCAAGAGGCAGTTCAAATAATAACAAACTAGCTCTGTGCCAATATTTTAACAAAAGACTCCGTTTTCCGCCTCATTTGATGGTGCACGTTTTACTGTTTGGTTAATGTATACCTTGTGTCCTACCTTTTGCCTGCTGGTGTGTTTGGAATTAGATGTCAGTCTCCATTTCTAGTGCAACTGGTAGCATCAAAAATGGCCTTGAAAATTCTGTTGGAGGAGTAGAGTGGGTCTCAGGAAATGGAGAGAGGGGTGGACTGCAGTGATTGCAGAACCTCGAGTCCATTCAGCTGCAAGGGTAGATGCAATTCCTCTTTGCTTTCTGCATATCAACAGTAGCCGGTAGGAGGACATAATAGTTGGGAGTATTGTCTCAAGGAATGTGGCTGAAACTTTGGCTTTTGTGTAGCATGGGTCCACCTGTGCTGGACTTGGAGTCTGTCCCTTACCTTGCAGGGGAACTGTGTTCCCATAAGTGCTGCTGGACAACACAGTTCCCTCAGCACAGGAGGAACTGAGCAGCCATGCAACCTTGAAGAAAAAAATTCCAGTATAGTGGAACCTATGTTAGGATCTTGGAGAGGAGTTGGTCTGTAGCAGTTCTTTCCTCCTTGGCTCTGCAAGGTATGGGTATAGTCTCTTGGCTGTATAAAACTGTTGGTATGTTTGTGAGAGTTAAGAAGTCTGGCTTCTCTTGGTCTCCGTACTCTTTGCATTAGTGAAAAGAGTGGCTGTAAGTGGATGCTTCTTGCCCTTGCTATTGCGATATTAGTATAATACCTGTTGCATACCAGTGGCAGGTTCTAAAAAAGAGCTAACTCAGCTCTAATCCTTTTAGGATCAGGCAGAATCCCCTGTCCCTAAGACATGTAAAAACAGACTTAAAACAAATACCTCCTCAGTTTGGTCACTATTATGACCTTAGCATGCAAGACAGAGGAAGTTAGAGTAAAAAAAAAAAATGTTTAGACTGTATTCCAGCTCTGGGTGTTTAGACTGTATCCCAGCTCTGTGAACTGAGTTTACAAAGAAGATGCTGAAATAAGAGACCCTCTTTTGTATGAACAAATATCCTTATTTATGGAATTAAAAGAATACCCCAAACTCCACTCCCCAATTAGCATTGCCTGGGATAGAACTGGAAAGATTTCCAGGAAGCATTTATGTGTATCTCTGTTTTGCAACATGGTTTGTTTGGAGGCTTTACTCCCCTGAACATCTGCTTAGCTTCACAAACAAAACATGTTCTTATTAGTAAGTTCTTACAGTTGTAGAAAAGAACACTGGATTTTATTTTGCCTTCATATTAATGGACTGCTACAATTCAGTACAGTTAATTGTAGACAGAAATCATGAAAAACATAGCTTCATTCTTTTAACTGTGAACTTACTAATAATAGAAAATAGTTTGATAACCATCCAGTTTCACTGAGAAATATTTGATAGAAATGGTGTAGAAGCAAATAGGGGATGTTCTGATACTGCTTCTAATTTAAGGCATTGGATTTCAGCATAGAACTACATGTAAGCCCACAAAGGAATTTTAAACATTACAGTTTTACAGTTGGGATAGTGTATTGTATTGTCTTGGGATTTTTTTGTTTGTTTTTTTAATGTAGCATGCCTGAAGCTACTTGATGGCATGTATGTGATAAAAACTTAAGGTACATTTAAACAGAAGAATTGATACTGCATGTATGAGAAGAAACAACAGATGAGAGGAATATAAAGTTTCAGCCTTCTTGTATTGCTTAAATTCAGTCAGAAGCTAAATAGTCCATGGAGATGAGAAAAATTGATTTTTTTTATGTTGCAATATTTCTTGATCAGAGAAGATGGTCTGCAAAATAGTTACAGAAGCTATTGTCATTTTAAAGATTTTCTAACATGTAATTTTAAACAGTGGTACCTTGTTTCCCTTGGAGTTTCTATTGGGGGAGAGCCAGGAAACTTGAAGCACAGACTTCCCCAACAGCCTAATCTCCTTTTAAGTAAACCAGTGAATCTTTAGAAGGCCGGTGGAAGCAAAGGAGGCAAAAGCTGTGGACAAGTGTGTGCGTAACTGGGAGGAGTAAGTTGGGTGGAGAAGGCAAAGTTTATTATTTAGTTTCATTTCAGAGTGTTTGAGATTTGTAATTACTAAGTGTTTTATTTTTAGGTGGTTACACCAAATTTTATTTACATATGCCTGACATCACTGAAGTAGCACAAATGTTTGGTTGTTAAACTTGTAGAAAATACAAGAATGTTGTTGTCATATGATGTTACTGGTTTCCAAATTCAGTACTTTATAAGCAGAAGTTTTGTTTTCATCTTTCTCTAAAATGCTGCCTCTGGAATGTGCAGCAGGAAGCAATAGAAGATTAGTATGTTATAGCTCTATGAAGACTATTCAAAAAGAAAGAAGTACAACAAGCAATTTTTTTCTTCTTCATGACACTCTGTGGTAGAGCTGTACTGTAACTAGCTAGTTGCTAGTGACCTCCCCAAAGCAGGCTATGAAGTTGTGCTGAGTAAATACAGATGAATGTATTGTCTACTGAATATAACATGAAGTTCTCAGTACTCGATCACAGATAGGGACTTGTGTTGCGTGATTCAAACTCTCCTTAGCAACTGAAAAATACAAAATATGATGCCTTGTATAATATAGTTGTGGTCTTAACATATAAATGTAATATGATATTAGAATTAGCAGTTATAATGCATGTACTTATGAAATTATCTCTGTTTCTTTTACTTTTTTCTGAACATTTAGGACCATTTTATATAATCGTGATCAGAAATTGTTTCTTATATCTATATATGTGGATTTTCTTTTACTTAAGTATATAGAAAACTTATTTAATAATAGCTTTTTGCAAACACTTATGCAACTATTGTTGACATTCAAAGAGCATTAAAAGTTCCACTGTAACTTATACACGTTGTTGGGTTTTTTTGGCAGAGTACAGTAGCAATCCTACACACCGTTTCTACTGTGGTTTCTAATAGTACAGCTGTTGCAAATTTTTTTTCATTTTATACTGTCTATTTGATAGCATAATCAAAAGGTAATTTTCTCAAAAAAGGAAATGCCAGTGTTTCTGATCACACTGGAAAAAAAATTGGACTGAAGAATAATAGGAATTTAAAATAACGGACACAATTTTTCTGTGCAACAGGGAACGAGAGAGACACTTAGCCATCATTGCAGTACTCTTGGTGATGCTTTAAGGAAGGAAAATGATTTTGCTCTCATCATTGATGGTAAATCTCTGAAATATGCTTTGACATTTGGAGTGAGACAATATTTCCTGGATTTGGCTTTGTCATGTAAAGCTGTTATTTGTTGCAGGTAAGTTTACAGTATTCTTGCTCTACAGTATTTTTATTGACACACAAAAATTAAGAAACTTTTTATTTCAGAGAAAACACACGTATCCATGTTGTCCAACCATGAAATGTAAAAACCATTCCACCTTCAGTAGAAACTTAAGAAATAAAGTCATTCAAGCAAAACATTTCTGTAGAGCAGTCTGGAGCGTACTTTTCAAACAAAGTCATTCAGCTTGCATATACCTAGAAAAATAGTTATCAATCAAGGATAATCTCAGTAAGATTGAGACTCTGATCTTCATCTTAAATTGATACTAGTTAACTGCAGGTTTTAGCACATCTGGATTCTTTCATAGAGCTTCCTCCACAGACAAGATTTTATATCTTTGCTTTTTCTGTAAGCAATGTATAACATTGCATAAGAATGGCACAAAAATGTTAAAGGTGATTTTATTTCCTGAAGCTGATAAGAACACCTTTTTTGTTATTATTACTCCTGATTGTTTGAGGGTTCTTTTATACAATAAGCTATTTAATCCTTTCCTGTAAATGTCAGATATTAGAGCTGTAAGCTTACCATAACAAGAGAACTTTTTCTAGATCCAAGAAAATGAAATATCTGCATTCTTTGAATATATACAATATGAAAGCAGTTTGGCTTGCCTTTTAATATTTCCAGATTTATATTTAAGAAAGAATATATAGGACTGTATAAGTGATAGCTTTTGTGTTTTGGGGCCTTCTTGCATTTTTGTGGCTTTAAACACAAAACCTGCAAGCATCTCCTGAGCAGTACATCACCTTTCTACATTTGCATGCTTGAATGAAAGGGAAGTTGGATGCTTGGTAGCTAGATGACAAGAACTGCTCTTGTCAGTGTTTTAAAGAACTTGGTTTAGGCCAAGTGATTAATCTGTCAAAAAGCAGAAGCGAGAACTTTTCTTTACAAGATCATTGGCAAGACAGGTAGGACATCTGCGTTAGAAATGCAATCAAACATTCCAGGACTGTGAAAATCACTGTGATTTTCATCAGTGTCTGAGGTAACTATTAATAAGGATAGCCAGTTTAATGTTCTCAGAGTATTTTTCACTATTTTGACATTTGTAGAGCATAGCAAAAGTTGTTTCCTATATTGGAACAGGAAAAGTTAACTCAGAAACAAGGTATTCAAGCTCTTCTAGACTCCCTGTGGCATGCACAGTGTCACAAACTCAAGTTCTCACAATGAATATAGTACTGAAATTTTTAGGGTTGTCTGTGTATTCAAGTGTTCTCTTTGCCATTTCTGTAATATGCTTAGATCAGCTAGTTTCAATACATGTCTAGATATATGCTCTGACATATTTTGTGGTTGTTTAAAAATTGGCTGCAAGTTTAAAACTAAAGTATTTGCTTGTAGCAGTCTCTGTTTCAGTACATGCTTTTTTAATTTCACATGCTTCTCAAAAGTTAGAATCTGTCAAAAAAACATTTCTTTTAATGCTACATCATTAGTAATAAAAACTTAATTTCCTTGTTTGTGAAATTAAATTTTTTAAAAAAAAATAATTTTTAATTAATGTAAATCACTTAAACATATTGTCCCGATTAAATGAAAATGTAGGCCTCTTTTCATATAACAGTAGTAAACATTTTAAGCACTCCTTTGTTTTAAAAGTCCAAATTACATCACTTTCTTTGAAGTTTTCAGGCTATATTTACTTAATCAGAAGCGTCTTACGAAGACTAGCCATAGCACAGATGAAGCTGACAAATATTCAGGAGATGTTTCACTTCAGAAATCTCTATGTTGTTAATTCTAAGCAGATATTTGTCTTAAAAACTTTGACAAACTGAATTCCAACTCCAACTTCAGAGTAATGTGCAAGAAGATTGTGAAATAGATTATTCTGTAGTAAAAATGTGCAGCTAAGTGAACAAAATGAACAAAAAGATAGTTTTAATTGGTTTCACTGTAAATTTGATGTGCCAGGCAATGAAAGTAAGAGCCATCTGCCCCTATATAACACTGTCTGAAAGGAAAATGAGCCAGCCACAGCTCCTGGAAAGTTAAAAAATATGAAAAAGTTCTCAGGTCAGGAGTCTTGTAGAAGCTCTCTGTAGCGAGTCTTGATACTGTACTCATCAGCAGAGTTTAAATAAAACATGTAACAAAATATCATAGAAATCCTTTTTGATATACTTGGACCATAGAATTCTTCTGAAGGGCTGTTGCCCAGAAGCTTCCATGTCAATCAAGTTCGCCACAAGGTTGTACTCCTCCCAAGTACCTTTCTCAAAACTCTGATAGCATGTGTTGCACACACTGCTGAATAAAGTAACTAGATAGCTACCTTCAATCCAAAGGCTGTATTAATTTTCACTCCTTTATTTTTTTCCTTTTACAAAATTATGCAATTAAATTTTATGCAACATTTCATTCTCTGATTTATTTTACTTAAAGCTTAAGAAATTTTACTTAATTGGCACAGAATTGGCATTGGGTTTTTTTTTCCCAGTGATGGGGCATTGCCCACAGGTGAACTGTGAGGTGGTGTCCTTTGACATATGGAGAGGAGAACCAGAAGAGCTACGGAGATGTTACTGGACCCAGTATGAATTAGAATATTGTGTGTGAGCACAGATGAGTGTAGACACAGTGTACTGAGTTTCTCTTAACACTGTATCAGTGTTAAGCACCTGCTCTAGAAAAGAGGCAACCACCAATAGCAGCACAAGGGTACCCAGTTACTCAGTAACCTCTCTGATGTTGACTCAGTCTATTTGTTTAAACACTTTTTTTATTATTTTTTTATTCCTATAATTTTATGAGGTAGACAAAATGAAAATATAGTGACATTTGCTAGAAGAGAATACTTTTTTCTTTTACAAATGAGCTATATTATTCCTTCCTATTTCTTCTGTGACATTGAAATCAGATCAAGAATAAGTCTGTTCTGTAGTAAAATGAGTACCTTGGTGACACAGACTGAAGTCATAAACTGATATCATTGAAAGTATGGTGTAGGGTGAAATGTCATTATGCTGAATGTGACCTCAAGTGTACATAAGATCTCATTCTACAGAATACAAGGGGGATTGTAGTTGAAACAAACAAGTATGCTTCAAATGTAATATTAATGAATATATAGAAAAGGTAGTGTGCTTTAATTTCAGAACTTGCATATCTGCATATAAAATAATATGCAGGAAGACAGATCATAGTGTCTCAACTTTTAAAAAATCATTTCTGTTTAAAATTTGATGTTTTAAAAGAGCTCTCTAATATGCTTAATAAACTGACTTCTTCCACCAGGAATAGTTTGGGATCCTCTTTCAGCTCCTAAGTAGTCTGAGTTTCAGAAATGTTGTTTATAAGTTTTAACTATAGTAAGAATTGTGATTGTTACTATAATTTACTGTTTTAGACAAAACTTAATTCTTCCTTAATGTTACATGAATAAATGTGTGTTTCAGGATGGAGAAAGGATGTCTAGAAGACCTTGGTTTTCGCCTACAGTTTTAAGCTATGTTTCAGAATAATCATGATCAACCTTAGATGGCTAATAACTTAAGTAGCCTTTATTTTAGTGGGAAAGTGCTTTCCTTTCATAGGAAATTAATGTTGGTTTGGTGAAATTTGCATTTCTAAAGGTCATATTCCTCAAAATTACTTAAAGACTATTTCTGCTTTTTTTAGTGGAAGACAGACTTGCACAGTTTTTTGCACTTCTTATTTGTGTTTGTACCACAAAAGGAGAGGGGCAGGGTTTGACTCCAGAGCCAGGAAAGACAAGAGTGGGTTGCCACACTGCTTAGGGTTGTTTCTTCCTTTCCCCACCCTGTGAAACACACAGTCCTAGCACTTAATTTCTGTATATTATTTTCTGTTATGGTATCTCAAATACTACAAGGAATGAATTTCAGCATATGACGTAGAATTTCTACAGTATTAAATGGAAGGTACAGGTGTTGTACACATAATAGTAGATGGAGCCAAAACTGATAGTTTCATCACTGGAACAATTTGTCCCATCAACTATGACCAGGCGTTTTCTTAATGATGGATAGTTGGAACAGTCCTGAAAAGAACAAGGGAGAAATTACCAGCAGTTTTAAGTGGCGGATCAAGAGTCAGTGTTCAAAGTTACTTCCTGTAATTTAGCAGTGTGGTCTATGTTAACATTAGTGGCAGTCCACTCCAGTTTGTTCCTGTTTGCTTTGACATCTCAGTCTTAAATATCTTGTTGTTTGTTTATGAAATACATATTTAAACAGAGAGGAAAATAAAGAAGCATAACAACAAAATATGCCAAAATCTGCAATTGGTTAAAGTTAATACTGGTAGTGGCAGTGTTTGGGGTTTTTTTGATTATTCCGTTTTAGGGTCCCACTGCTGTTTAACTTACTTTTCTCCAGTCCTGTAAACAACTTGCGTCAAAAAATCCAAGGTTTCTATTAATTTTGCTGTGAATATGCTTTTAGCATATAACCTAAAGAGCAATAACAAGACCATGTCACTGATCAGAATATTAGTTGGGCTGGTTTTTATTACCTTTTCACAGAATATAAAGTAAGTTTTCAAAATACATTCATTTGAAAGTCCTGTATTAAACCTTTTTCTTTCTGTTACCCCTAGGGTATCACCACTTCAAAAATCTGAAGTTGTAGAAATGGTTAAAAAACAAGTTAAGGTAGTGACTCTAGCAATTGGTGATGGAGCAAATGATGTTAGTATGATACAAACAGCACATGTTGGTGTTGGTATTAGTGGGAATGAAGGTCTACAGGCTGCTAATTCTTCAGACTACTCAATTGCTCAGGTAAGTCATTACACTGTAAAATACTACAATAATGTAGTTTAATACCAGATTGCTATTAGTATATGCATGTTCTGATTGTATGTTTGTTCATTTTTCATTTTTTGCAGTTCAAGTATTTGAAGAACTTGTTGCTGGTTCACGGAGCCTGGAATTATAACAGAGTAGCTAAATGCATCTTGTATTGTTTCTACAAGAATATAGTCCTTTATATTATTGAGGTAATTTTACAGTACAGTAAAAGTTACTTCTTGAAAGTAAAACCTTTATTATTTTGAGCTTGTTATTATTATATATGATTTAATAACATTTAAACTGTCAATAAGCACTAGTACTGATTAATATTAGAGCGATTTTTTTTCTTTTACTTTAAAAGACCAAATTTTCTTTAAAATATGTACTGAGTATTAGTACTGAATGTTTGAGTTCCATAATACTGCTAACGTATTAAAATTCTGTGTCTACAATATCATTACAGTATTTAAGGAATACAATTAGAAGTAGCCATAAATTTACCAAGAGATATATGTACTTAAGCTCATTGAGCTGATGTCGGTAACTGTCTGGTTCACAATCCGAAGCCCTTTTTTAGGTCACCGTTGAACTGCAGGGCTGTTGCTGTTCAGAACAGTACTTACGGTTTGCACATATGTGTTTAGTTACACTATTGTGTATCTTTCACTAGTTGATGGGATAACCATGTCTCCCTAAACTCTAGTTCATGAACAAGGATACTTGTCCTGAAAGTAACTCATCTCGTTTTGTCACTTGGGATTTTAAGGAGACTGGAGTCTTGTGGAAAATACAGTAGTATGAGATGACTGTGCTGTAATAATTGTATGCTTATTGGTAGGTATGGTTAAGATAGCATGTATAGCTAGTTTCATGACCACGTGACAGCCTTAAAATTTTGTATGTATTTTTAAATACATGTGTTTTTAAATTAATTTTAAAATTTTTTTCTCTCCCCTGCCCTTCCTTTTTTTCTTTCAACGGCTGTTTGCTTTTTTACATATGTATCTAGTAACTATGTTTATAATGGATCAAACTTTATATTCACAATGATACTTTAGGTTAAAAATGTGGGAGGAAAAAAATTAATTTGTTGCAAAGCTTGATAACAAAATAAGTTTTATAAGTCAGTCCTGTATATTAATGGATTTAACAGTTATTCTTAAAACTTTCTTGTTAATTTAAAAATATCTTTTAAAAATATCTTAAACTTGCATAGTATCTGTTTTTTACTGAAAGAAAATTACTTATTTTTATTATACTTGATGTAAACATTAATATTTCTGACTTTTATATTTAGATATGTGATTTTACACTGTTTCAAGATTTGAAAATACTTTGAACATCTTTTTATGTACAAGTTTTGTAGCCAAAAAATGTGCATTTTTCTTAACATATTTTTTACATTTTCTAAATTTTTCCTTTTTTCCCTCTTTATTGTGTTTTTAATGTAAATAGATTTCAATCTAAGTAGTAGCAAGTTTGTAGCCTATTTAGAAAAACATAAAGTGGGAAGCCACAGAAAAAGCAAATCTATTAAAGATCCTTTTTTGCTTTAGAAGTGATGGCAGGCTTTGGATCCTGCATTTCAGAAGTTGAATATCTGATTAAATGATCAGACTTTCAGAAGTACTTGATTAGTAGTAGCTGTTGAAGTATTTGAAAAAACAGTATTAATGTATACTTTGTGTTTATAGATAACATACAAAGTTTGGCTTTAGAACACAGTACCTTACCTTTCTTAATTTTCTGTCACTGTCACCTGTAAACACATTGTAAATTTATAATATACATATAAAATTGTACTGTTTGTATTCTTTGTGAAAGAAAGTTAAATGCAAATTATGGAGATCATAGTCTGAAAATACAAAAGACTAGAAGAGGTAGTCTCTGTTTCCTGAGCAAATGGAGAGGCAAAGAGGTCATTTTTATATGGGTTATGACCCTTTATATATAATGCATACAACCATTTTACAATATACACCTTCTCTGGAAGACAAGATGACTTCTACTTGAATTCCTGTCTGCCCAACATTTGTCAGCTCAAAAAACTTTCACAGATGTTAATAGCTCATGTCAATACTGTGAGTGAATAGGCAGAAATTCATCATTGAATGTCTCGAGAAAGGACAACTGCCAGTCTTGAATCTCTCTTTTCAGTTTTTTGTACAGATCAGGCGTGGGAGCAGAGAGCTCAATGAGTATTTGTAAGCTGCTGCTTAATATGCAGAAATGCTACATCAGGAAAATGTCTGTGAAGCTTTTGTGGCCACGCCTTCTCCGTCTTGGAGTTTAGAAAATAATACTTTGAAAGGCATGTCTGGAAGTTGATTTAAGTTTCCTTTTATTAGCTGACAATAACTAAAAATACCTACCTTTACTTAATAGATGCATCTTATATTTTTAATTATCTGCTCAATACTAATCAAACAATTAATGTAATGGATTCCATTTAATCTAAAATACAGCCTTTTTCCTAGGCGGTTGTGGGGTGCTACGAAATAAGTGCCATTTCTTTCTTGGTTCAGAAAAACAGTAAAGGTCTGTAGTAATACTCCTGCACACTGATTAGGGTTTACTGACATTTAAACTCCTATTCATAAGAAACTAGAAGCGACCTGTAATAACTTTTTCTACTCTGTATCTTAACTCTATAGATATTTAAAAATGGACCTTATCTTTTGTATGGGACCAGTCGCAGAAACTTTAGAGGTTATATTCTGACGTATCATAAATTGCAAGTGAAAACTCTGAATTTCTAATAGTCTGCTAATGTGCATTATTAAGCCTGTACTGAGCCTCACGGTCACATAGGATAAGCCTATGCAGAGTCTCATACTTATTTTGGGGGGCTTTCATTACCTCATAATGATGGTTGGTATTGTGATTGATCTAGCAATTGAGAACTCTTGTAGATTGGATTGAGTTTTATAATTACCAAATTATACTGCGTACACTCTTGTAAACTACTCATTTTGTGAAGTTAAGCAAATCTCCAACATCCGAGGGACAAAATTTTCCTATTCCTACTTTTTGTTTTGCTACTTATTAATAACTAGTAATAACATAACTGGTTTATGTTAAATAAAAAAAGTTTAAAATTTAAAAAAAAAAAAAATTTGAAGATCTGCATAGGTTATTCATGTTTTCTGTAGGGGAAAATTCAAACAAAAGAGACCAGGACACAAACAGAAGAAACATGTTTGGAGTTTAGGTTTGAAGTTCAGTCACAGATCCTTAAACATGGCCATTTGTACCATTTTAAGTGATACTATGTAAACAATTCAGTTATACCAAGTAATTAAAGCTGTAACAGCCTCTTCTGCACTCAGTAGATGTTGGATGGGGGTTATGGCTTGTTTGGGTTTTTTTTTTTCCCCCCTCCCAAGCCCTTTTCATTCCACTGCTGAGTTACACTTTCTGCTGCTCCTGTCCATAACTGAAGTTTACCATTTTGTTCCAGATTTCCTTTGCTTGATGCATCATATAAATGCCTGTGGTCATACTAAGACCTTTATCGGCAGAACCCCAAACATGAGCAGCCTTTCTGTGTATACTTATACTGCATCTGAGCTGTAGAGTTTAGATGCTGTTGTTCAACATGCCATAGCATACTTAAAGTATGCAGAGAGAATCATGTTCAGTTTAAAACACACTCAACAGAAAGTGGTTGTGCTTATGCCCACTTCTTGGCATGATAATGGTTTGAAAACTTAGAAATACAAGGATCTGCATTGAGGTCCATCTCATTTTAGATAGGCTGCAAACTTAAATCCTTCATTTTCCTGGGAAGTTATGCAACCATTAAACTATAAAATTATCTGAATTTTCACTTTCCCCTCACATAGTCTAAATTGCTTCTTAAGAACACCTATCACCTGTCCTTCTGTGTAGGGGTACTGGATTAGTAATTTGAGCTCTTAGAGTAGGACCTACACCTTAAGAGAGAAGTGGCTGAGTCTGCTCCTAAATTAGTATCATATACAACATATCCTAAAAACTTACTTTGCAGGTACAGCTGCCTTCATTGTGCATCATAATTAGGTTGAAATACACTTGTCTATGAATAAATTTCCCACTGTGAAGCAAGTATTTTTGTCACTGTTACTATTAATAATATAGTAAGCTCCATAGTAGTTTTTCTGTGTATGGTTAAGAGTGCAATTTTCTAGGGTACAAGGTTCAGAAATTAGGGTAAGTAGGTGGCTTACTTTCTTCCCCTCATACAGTTTGAGATGAGGGTTGTATTTATCCTTCCTGCCTTTTTTAACTCCCTACATCTGCTAATTACTTTTTAGCCATAAGTGGTGTTAATGTCAACATTCAAATACTACCTTGTAAACAGTAGAAAAATCTCTATTTCTGCTTAAAGGTGCTTTGTCTCTTAAAGTAGTATATCTGGTATTACACAAAACAGTAGTGTTTCTACTACAGGGGGCATTGGTTTTGGCCATATTAAAAGGTTTCTTTTCCCAGCCATTTTTTGATAGATTCAGCGAGAACTTTAGAACTATGGGGTGCTACCAAATATCATTTCTTCTTGGCCTGAACCTAGAGCTCTCAACAAGATGTGTTCCAGTTCCGTATTACACTAAACTGAACTAAAATGCCTACAACTTACATGCTTTCTTTGGAAGAAAGTAAATGCTAAGATTGCATGAAGTTAATATTATGCCTTAAAGGATTTCTTTACAATTCTACATTAAAACTGTTTTCAGTTTAAAAAGCTTGAGAATTTTAACAAATTCTGCACAAAATAAATTTGAATGGATTTTTAAGGACTAATATGAATTATAGCATTTCTGAGAGGCTTGATAGCAACTATGTCGTTCCGTTGCAAATTAAAATTTTTTCTTAAATATTTGCATTTCTTTAAAACAGTCACTCCAAAACAATTTCAAGTGTTGCTTAACATCACTTACCTTTAATAGTAGTGAATATGTGGAATAGATTCAGTACATATATTTAGGCCTTTTCTTTATAAATTTGTTTTGTAACATTGTGACTGCTAGTTAAATCACAACTGAAAGTTACTATTCTTTCCATATACTCCTTGATTTATGAAGGGTCAGATATATGTCTACTTGCGATCTGTTTTGTTTTCTTCCTGGAGAGTAGTCCTTTTGTTAAACACTGTCTGAAATGCAATCTTGTTCCAGTAAGTGGCCACCAAATAAATCTATGTACTTTTCATTTATTGGTTGAACAAACAGCAATTTTGGCTGGATTTTACTTTCCATTTTTAGTGTTGGTAGTTGCTAATTTTAGGGGTGTTTCCATCTCAAAGTATTAACAAACATGTTCAAACATTCCACCACATAATAAAAATACCTGAACTTGGTCATAGAACCTGGTCACCTGGAGGCCAGCCTGGGTATGTGTCAATAAATGTACACATTGATTGTAGCGTTTCATGCTTCCATAATAAAGTCAGATGTGAACTGCAGCAAAGTCTCTGCAAAGTGGCATCTAAAATTCACTTGAAAAATGAGTCTTAAATTGAGAAGAATGTTGTTGAGATAATCCTAACTTCTGTCACTTTACAGCGTGATGTTTGTCGTAGGCAATATAGTTTCAGTGTAACTTATAATAAAGGTTCATTAGACATGCTGCTTCTCCACTTTGTCATTGAACTAATATAAGCATGAAGAAATAGAATAAAGCAGTTATGCTGCATTCTGTACTGAAAAACATAAGATGTATTATTGTGCCTTTCAAATTAATTTTTTTTTTTAACCTTTTAGCAAAAAGTGATAAAACTTATGCAATGAAAGAGCTATCCGGTTGCCTCTCTAAAGTTCTCTGTAGGTGAATTTGTATTTGTTAACTAAGAGTTGTAGTTGATTTAGTGCTCTGGTAAAGCCTCATCCTCTCATGAGTTTCCTGTATGAGTAAGGAATATTAGTACAGTTTCCAGTTTCGAACTGCGGCTTACTGTATGAATTGTATTAGTTAGAAAGTTTGCTAATAAGACAATGATTGCATCTAATCTGTAGGTTACTCACCCTGTATTTCTCAGAATTTTTATTTCATTAAGAATTAAGTACAATACAAATGCAGTGAAATTAAAACAATCTTAAATACTTAAAGAACATGAAATTTCTTCTGAAAATAGATACCTCCTTTAGATGTTTTCATATTTAGATGTAATTGCTCATATATTTGACTAGATTTCCCATTATCCATTCCTGAACGCAAGTTGGGTTGGGGTTTTTTTTAAAATAGATTTAAAGCAGAATGTTTTCAACTGTATTGTAGATGTGTTCTAGGGATACCCATTTTTGTGAAGCTAAGGAAAAAATCTACGTATCTTACCTTGCAAGGCATTTGAGTAATACACGGTCCTCCTGTTTTTCAGGTCTGGTTTGCATTTGTCAATGGCTTTTCTGGACAGATTCTTTTTGAAAGATGGTGTATAGGTCTTTACAATGTGGTAAGATGATTTGTGTGGTTTTAGTTACTTTCAACAATAATCATGAAAGCTTCTTGAGTAAGCAGTCTTTAAACAAGTCTTTGCCTCTAAAGTTTTACAATATGTGTTTTTTTAATCCATCTAGATGTTTACAGCAATGCCTCCACTAACTCTTGGAATATTTGAGAGATCCTGCCGAAAAGAAAACATGCTGAAATATCCTGAGTTATACAAGACTTCCCAGAATGCACTGGACTTTAATACTAAGGTAGATTTTAAAAAAATAAATATAATTAAAGCAGAAATTAATAGGAATTCCATATAGTTACCCTTTTTGTTCCATGTTGCTCATAATTAAAAATGGCAGGGATTTTTATTACTACTGTTTCCAGTTGTCCGCTTATCTGTGGATGGTACAATTAATATTTATCCATTTTTAGCAAGTACCAAAATGGACAGCAAGCATTTTATTTTTTTCAGCCATGATTTTTTTTTTTTTTTTTTTTTTTCCTGCTGGTAATAAAGCTGTCTTCTATAGGCAGAAGTGATTAGACCTCTCTGTTGCTGAGCTGTATGTATTTGTACTGTTATATGGAAATGGATTACTGAAGCCTGTGGAGAAGTGTTGCAGGGGACAATAAGAGCTGTCATTAGATTTGTAGAGGGAGGGACTTGGTACTATTCTTTGTCAATTTGGAATTGTGATTTTATGGTTTAATTTTGAGTTTGGGGAAAAAATACTTGGAGCCAGTTAAGAATGTGTCAGGGTGGATCAAAAAGAATCTGAGGCTACTTTTGATGCGAAATGGGCAACATTCATCTTAGAGAGACTAGTACAAGAAGTAGTAAAAGAATGTAGATCTCTTTAATATTAAAAATACATGGTCTACAGATTTGTCCATAAATAATCTCTAAAAAAATAAACTAAACTTGTTCCTGAATAGGCAATTTCATGAATACCATGATGTTTGTAAGAGTTCCTTCTGATTTTATTTGATTTTTCTAAATATAATTGGGACATTTCAAGTAATATCATTGTATGTTGAGCTTGGGGACGTTTTCAGTCTGTCATTGCATTAATGCCTACACATGATGGTCTGTGGTAGATGTGCAGAGATGATACAGCATACTTGCCTCTCATATTTGTGCCACGTGCTGTAAAACTAGAGTATCTCTATATATAAAATTACTTGTCTAAACTATCTTTGTTCACTAAAGTATATGAGATTTTTCTCCTTCATTACTTCATCCCTTAACCTACAAGAACAAACCTGAAAGTTGGAAGGAAACTAGGGAAAATAATTTATTGTGTCACTGTGAATGCTTTGCAAATATTAGACTTCATGGTCCATTAATACAGACACTTGTGTTGTGATAGTTTTAATAATTAATGTGAGTCATGAGTTAAAGTTGTTGGATGTTTCTGGTTTTAAATAAGCCTGTAATTTTTATTATTGCACAGAGGTATTGTTGACTTCATTGGAAATTCTGTGAATATTCCCATATAATACTTGCTATGAGTAAATGTCTGCAAACTTCCCAGCTACAAAATTCCCACCTATATAAGTTGAATAGTTGGTGTTAAAGATTTGGAAACTTTACTGCCTTGAATGTTGATGCAGATGTTTGTTATGGTAAAAGGGATCAAAGGTTATGAGGTCATGACAGAGGTTAAAGGATTAGCACGGAACAATAAGAATTTGTCAGGAAAATGGAAAAGTAGAACTAATTTTTCTTGCACCCACCTGTGCTTTCTGTCAAATAAAAACTTCTGGTAATGACATAGCAAGAAGGAGAGACAAAGGTTAATGAGTAGCACAAGTTCAAATGTGCGAAGTATTGGAGTGTAAATTGGATCGTACAACCTAGTTAGTTGTATAATCTAACAAAAGACTTTGAAACATTGTGGAAAATGTTATGAGGCAGGCAACTTAATTTCAATTGTTTGAACACCTTAACAGTCATAACATGCATAAGTTAGTTATAATAAAGGCTATAGTAGTCAAAAGCATTGTTAATGAAAAAACGTGATTGCTATACTGAAGGAAATGGGTTACATATTTTTGAGTCTTTTTATGTTTTTATACAATATATTATGGAAAGAGTCAATAGCTTGTTTATCCTTCAACTTGATACAGTTATTTGTAGAAGGCATATTTTACAAAAGAAACTAAGTTTGAAAGTAAAATTTGAATTATTTAGCAAATACATTAAAGGAACGTTAATATGATGCAGCTATGCACTTCAAGAATGGAGCATGTAAGAAGAAATTAAAGAAGATACTTCTATTTGTCATTTTGTAATTGCTTTGTGTGTGGAAATATGTAGGCAGGTATATGTAAAACTAAGGTTTTGATTTTCCTACCGTTGAAATTTCTTATTACACAAAACATAAATTGTAAAAACTAGAATCCTCTAATTCCCTACTTAGAATGTAGCAATTGTTCCAGTTGTCTGCTTTAGTTTAATTTTTCTGATGATATTCCCGTATGTATGCATTTTAATTTCCCTTCTGATTTGAAATTAAAAGAAGGCGATAATACACACTTTTTTTTGAAACATAAAAATAAACAAATGACCCATGAAGAGCTAAGAGGCAGAAAGTGCCTGTCAGTTATATTACTTCACAGTGGTGGCCTGACAGAAACACATTTTGTGAATCTAACACACAGATAAAAAGAAAGGTCAGGGTTCACAGAGCTAGTTTATTGCAAATGGTTCTCATGGTTTCTCTGTTTTCCCCTAGGTTTTCTGGGTTCATTGTTTAAATGGCCTCTTCCACTCATTCATTCTGTTTTGGTTTCCACTAAAAGCCCTCCAGCATGGTAAGTATTATGAAAAATACAAATATAAATGTTGAAAGGTACAAAATATCTATATAACTTATTTTTTTCTTAGGAAAACTTTACAGTACTAACAGTTTTGTGTGATTAAATTTCAAGATACCATTTCTAGAACTAGATCAAATGCATTATATTTAAAATGTTTTATTTAAAATCTGTTTAAAAGTAAGAGTAATATTATGTACGTGTACATGAAACTATATAAATAGATTTTTAGTAAACTGAAACAATGGAAAAAGAGAGATTGCTATTTAATTATGCTATTTTTATATATATTACACTACCATGATAAATACCTACAAGATCCTAAATCACTACTGTCCCTTGCAGCATCTGCTACATTTTGTACACTTTCATTTCTGATGTGTATACTTTCTCCCCTGTTAATTCAAGGGCATACTAACCTGTTAGTTTACATCTATATGAGTAGGCTTGTGAGACAGAGGAAACTGGGACATCTTGGATAGCTCAAGTCCTGTCATTTTTCTAGTTCAACTGTTGCATATGCATCTGAGCTGCAGAAGGAAACAAGGTGGTTGAGAGTAAAGCTTTATTAATTAGAGCAAACTTGAAAGCACTGCTTCCAGTTTGTGGGCATGTTTGTGTGTTAGTTCTCATAGGGGTGGGGGGTTGTTTTGCTTCCACTTTGTGGGGAGAGAAAAAAAAAAAAAGTGTGTACCCTGCAGCTTGTCTGTAAAATCAGTACCCTTCTCAGTTTTCCTGATATAGCCAGACAGTCTGCTCTGGCATAGGGGACGGAAGTATTCTCATGGACATTTTGAAACTGTTGAAATGAGAGCAAGATGGTCACAGCTGCTGTGCCAAAAAAGGTTAGGGGGAAGATTACTTGTGGAGTATTTTATACGCAGTAACTTGTGATGGGTTAAAGGGAGTAGGTAGCAGCCTGTTTTCTCTGGAAGGTCACTCACATTGCACTGGATGTGAGTTCAGTGGCAGTGGTTTGTGTTGGAGAGGTTTAGACAGCCCAGGAGGAAAGAGGTCCCAAAATGTCAATGCATACTTTAACAACACAACCTCAAATCCAAACTAAAATCCCTGTTCAAAGCTGTAGCCAATCTGTGTGAGAACTATTACATAATGGAGAAATGTTTAATGAATATATGTGGTAATGCAGAATAAAGTTCATGTGTGAATAGCAAAGCTGAGATGCTTGCACGAGCACCTGTGAGAGCACTGTATAGCACAGGGCTCTTCTGCTCACAGGCCCTGGGCTAGAACTCACCTGTTGGAAAGTGGCTGTCTCTAAGTCTGAACACATTGCCTTCTGTTTTCCTCTTTCATTCCTAGAAAAAGGCCAGGTGAGAAAGGAGAGTAGAAATGGGACCTGGGGATTGTGTACATGGTGGACAGTATAACCAGTACCTGCCATGGGTCTGGATAGCGCAGAGAGTTCTGCGTGAAGAGGAAATGAGCACAGGATGGGAGCTGCAGTTAATGATATCTGATGACTCTGTGTGTAAAGAGGAAAGGGAACTAATGCTACTGATTTCCTAGGGAGGAACTGATGCCTGCCACAAAGATCCACCAGAGAGAGGAACTTCTGAGAACAAGTCTCAGCCTCCACCTTCTTTTAGCAAAGAAAAGGTGCAGAAGGATCCTGAGACATGAAAGGAGGAATGGGAAGAATGAGGGATAGCTCAGCTTTAAGTGCAAAAGAATGCTGAGTCCCAGCACTCTGACTAATGGGAACAGACTTAGCTGTCTGCCTGTTCCTCTGTTTTATCCTCATTATGCTTACTGCTAGATATATATTGTTAAGCAGCAGAGAGTACGTGTTTGATCAGGTATTTATTAGTACATTGAAAATCAAATCTTGAAGATCATGAAGAACTCCCAAAGCTCACAGTCGTTCTTTTTTTGAGCGTTTTGTCCTGTGTACTCTTTAGTCACATTTGTCCACCTCTTTCTTGTCTGCAAGTGGAAAATCTCAAATTGCACACATCGTAGTAGAGTTTACCAAGAAATTTGTGATCAGACAATAGGTATGGATTTGTAAGTATTGTTTGTCAGAATTTGCTTCATGGGACCTAGCTATCGTACAGTAGCCAAAACTACAATCTTTGCACTCTTTGTACTGTCATGTGGATATGAAAAGTGACAAGGACATAAATCTTTACAGAAGCTTTTCTGATGCAATTTTACCAACATAATAGTAAATGACAGAAGCCAAACTTACATCTACAAGTAAACCTACCAACTCTCCCTCTTTTGTATAACCTTTGAAATGAGTCATGGTCTCAGCTTTGTTTTCAGGCTTCCAGCGCTGTTGTAGTCCTTTGTGGTGTGCAACCCTGTTCAGGGAGGAGGTTAAATCGGGAAGTCCCCGGAAGGCAATCGGTATCACTAGACCTAAGGAGACAGCCATTGTGAGTTTCTTGTCTTGCAATGGGAGAGGACTAAGTTAAAGAGAACTATTTGCAAGCTTTTTTATTCTGTTCTTTTGTGTGAACTTTCACCTGCTGTCTCTTCCAGAATATCAATAAATAGACCTTTTTTTTCCTGTGATAAATGGCTTTACAGTTTCTGAAAAGCTTTTAGAAAGGAGGCACGCTTCATCCATAACTGAAGTGAATTTCATTTCAAGTATGTGTGAAGGTGATACGAAGGCTGGAAAAACACTGGATACAAATGTGAAAAAATACTTAATTAGCAGCGTTTAATATACCATATGCTTTTATAGCTGAAGATAGTGGAAGACTAAATGTTTTCAACTACAGATTGGTGGGAGATAACGGACATGTGAGCAATCCTGCACGTGTGCACACCTCAGCAAGGACACAAGGACATAACCCTGAAGGGAGAACAAAGAACTCGGCAAACCAACGACTCCAGGAGATGGGTTGGGCAGAGAAAGACATGGAGTGTGGTGCTTATCCAATCGCAAGAAGGCTTGAAGCACGTGGACAAAGCTAACTGTCCAGTCATAAGGATTGTACCATGTACTGTTCGCGTGCACAGGAGAAAGCATTATAAAAGGGCTTGCTTACCTTCAGTAAATTGTCATTGCTTGATCATATTGGTCGTGTGCGTGTCCATAGCTCACGCAAAGTGGTGCCCGAACAGGGACCCTCAAGATTGGCACAAATCTTTGCTGAGGACTCGACAGAGGTGCCATCTAGGGTGGAAAGCTGGTCGAAACTGATCCAGACTCTACCCCAGAGTCTGAGGGTAAGGAAGCAGTGCGCTGTAATTTGGGTTGAAGATTGCAAAAAGAAGTGGCAGCCATGGAGGAATGGGGTCTGCTCTTGACAGGTACAAGTGAGCAGTGGTGAAAGTTCTCCAAAATATCCTCTCCATGAGAGGGATAAAATTCGATATGTCCACCCTGACAGGCTTGGAATAATGAAGCCGGGAAAGAGGACTTATCTCCAGTGCAGGTCTGACACTTGAGATATATACCTGGGAATCCATAGCAAAACAGCTTTGGGACTCAGTAAGTGAGGGGGAAGGTCAGCAGAAGTAGTGAGTGGCTATCCCATGCTCTGGAAGCTGATCCGCGAGACAATGGAGGAGCTGAGTGGCGACCACGTGGCTGTCGCTTCCGCCTTTGCAGCTGTAGAAGCGGCTTCTGGCTCTGATATGCCGCCTTCAGTGCCTGCACCGCTGGCAGATCCCATCGCATTAGGTCAGCCAAAAAACCTGTTTGCTTCATCAGTCGCACTGGCGGGACTGCGGCGGGCAGCAGGAATAGACCAGGGCTGCGCAGGTGGGAGCCAGAGAAGCCGGAAGCGCGCCTGGCACCCTTGGAGAGGAGAGTGAGGAGAGAGCAAGGAAGCCGCCGGAGTCCAGCAGTGGGCGAGGTGCGATGGGAACGTGGGCAGTACTGACGTATCACTGCCTGTGCCTTCCTCGCAGGGAGAGCAGAGCCCTGCCTCACAAGTCGGCATTTCAAACACAGAAACCTTACTCCTGCAACTTGAGGACAAGCTTGAAAAACTGGCTGCAACACGGGGGGAGAAGATGGAGCACAGATCATATACCTTTTCATCTGGCACGGAACCACAACCGTCTGCCTCTGACCTGCCACCTGGGTATTCAGTTCCAGTACCTGCTTACCAATCTGTTCAGACAATGGCGTTTTGATATTTGTGATATTTGTCATTTTATGTTGTGTAAGTAATAAGTGTAAGAAGCTTCTTTGTGTGGCTGTGTGATTGTTTTCCATGAGTGATTGTTTTGCACGTGTGAGATGCAGCCCAGCTGCAGCTGCGGAGTGTGGAGTTCTCTGACCCGCCAGGGAAGCGGCCGGGGAGGAACGCAGCAGCGGAGGGCCCTAGTGCCCGCCTGCTGGGTCATCAGTGCTGCTCTTTGTTCAGGCTAAGTGTTTTAAGTGTCTTAAGTGAAATATCTCCTCTAGCAGGAGGCAGTAATTCTATGTTAATTATTGTCTTGAAAGTGCACCTCTGTACCATCTGCCTCAAGAAAATATTGTCACAAAAAGATCAAAAATTGCTGTGCTAATAGTATGCCGAGAAGCTGCAGTGACTTAAGATTTAGATCAACAGGTACTTCTCAAATATTTTGAGCTCAGACAGTAACACAAGGTTAACCTCTAGTAAAATGTGCCCTCACTAAAGCTAAAGAATCTGTTGAACTGACAGACATTTTAAATACTAATGCGGATATAACCATAATATCGGTGAGCAGATTGCTTATTAGCTTGAGTAACTCAGAAAAGTAATAAATAGTGACTTTTACATGATCTCTGACACATTAAATGATGTCCAAAAAATGATTGGAGACATCCAATGGGTTAGAAATTCATGTGGTATTACCAATGATGATCTAAAGCCATTAACGCCATTATTGAACACTACTGTTCAAGCTGATAGTAAACATAAAATTAATTTGCAAATAATTATAGAACAGATAGAATTGTGTCATGCACAACAAATACAATTAGAACTCCAAGCAGTTTTGTGAGCATTTTTGTCCTGCCCAAATATAGGATTAAATGTAGTGTCTGATTAACTCTATGTAGTAGGAGTAGTAAAAAGGATTGAACGAGGACAAGTAAAAGAAAAGAAAAGAAAAAAAAAAAAAAAGAAACGCTTAGGGAAACTGTTGCAACAACTAGTTCACACTCTTGATCAGAGAAGCATTGTCTACTTCATAACTCACATCAGAAGTCGCCAATCCAAAGAAGGATTAGGGTATAGAAATGAACTAGCCGATCAATTAGTTGCTCCAGCGTGGTCTGGACCCTCTCCAAATTTGCTTGCACAAGCTAGAGAATCTCATAGTTTTTTGTGTCAGTCAGCAAAAATGTTGCATAAACAATTAAAAATTTCTTTTGCAGATGCGAAGGGCATTGTTGCCTCTTGCCCATCCTGACAAAAAGTAGGGTTTGGCCTAGGAACAGGAGTTAACCCACGGGGCCTATCACCTTTGCAATTATGGCAAATGGATGTTACTCACATAGCAGAATTTAGTAAGTTAAAATATGTACACAATGTTACTGATACCTTCTCCATGGCTATTTGGGCTACAGCTCAAGCTGGAGAGACAGCTAAACATGTTGAAAAACATTTATATAGTTCTTTTGCTGTACTTGGGGTGCCAAGAAAGATCAAAACAGACAATGGTCCAGCATATATTTCTGGATGCTTCCAACTCTTCTGTATCTTATGGGGCATTAAACACTGCACAGGAATTCCACACTCTCCCACTGGACAAGCGATCATCGAACGGGCTCATCAAACTCTGAAACAAATGCTTCAAAAAACAAAAAGGGGGAATGTCAGGTATGATGCCAGCTGAACAATTAAACAAATTTTTATATGTTTTGAACTTTTTGAGGCTTACAGGAGAACATCAAGAACCACCAATGATGATACACAGTTTAGCAATAAAAGGTGACGCTGAGCAATCTATGGGCACACAGCAACCATTAGTTATGTTCAAAAACTTAAATACTGGGCAATGGGAAGGACCTGTTAAAGTACAATTAACAGGCAGAGGTTATATGTGTTTGCTTACAGAACATGGTTTACGGTGGGTTCCATCTCGCTGGGTGCGGCCTTGGAAAGAAGGTCAATCTCACAATCCTAAACCTTGCGGTTGTTCTGACAGTGATTAGTTTATTGAAATCCCTTCCAAACCAGTAGGGGGCCCAAGTTACATAGGAAAGTTAACTATGTTCACAAAATAGTTGAAGAAGTTGTTACAAGGGGGAATTGTTGTAATTGTGATGTTTGTCATTATTTTACCATGCTTAGTTTGTTGTATTAAACAATTGTTGCAAAAAAGCCCGCAAGGAATGTGGATTGCTCAAAAACAAAAAGTGGGATATGTTGGGAGATAATGGACATGTGAGCAATCCTGCACGTGTGCACGCCTCAGCAAGGACATGACAAGGACATAACCCTGAAGGGAGAACAAAGAACTCAACAAACAACTAACTTCAGGAGATGGGTTGGGCGGAGAAAGATGGAGTGTGGCGCTTATTCAATCACAAGAAGGCTTGAAGCGCGTGGACAAAGCTAACTATCCAATCATAAGGATTGTACCACGTACCATTCACATGCACAGGAGAAAGCATTATAAAAGGGCTTGCTTACCTTCAATAAATTGGCGTTGCTTGATCATATTGGTTGTGTATATGTCCATATCTCCCGCAACAGATCATTTTTATCAGCTTGTCACCTTTCTCTGGCCAGCCCCATAGAAGGAGTTTTAAACCCACTCTACCCCCCAAAAAAAACCCAAATGCCTTTATTCTTCTTTCTTCCAACACAGCTTTTTAAAAACATCTTTCCTTATGTTCTCTCATCATTAGTGGGTTTTCTTTGTCTTTATTTTTGATGTCTTATTTTATCCTTCCTTACTACATGCACAATATTTTGATATCTCTTTATGTGATGGAAGTAAAAAGCAATATCCCAGTGATTAGAATCTCTACAGCAGAGTAAGGGCTCTAGTTTAGTTGCAGTATATGAACAATCTTGAGTGCTAAAAGCGTTTCTGAACTGAACACGTAGAAATTTAGCAAACTCAATAATTCTGATTGAGAATGAGGAATTCCCTCTAGTTCAGTTGCGCGTTGTCCCATGTCTGCCAAGAACCTTCACAGAACTGGGATCAGAAAAGCCTGTACTCGAGCAATAGTCATAAAATATGTTCTCTTAAATAAGCATAAATGTACTGCTTCAGAGCTCTGAACTTAAGAACCACAGTAGATGTGATTTTTATGCAATCACATCTCTTTAGGGCATTGATTCTTTGCATAAATGCTGTGTGTGTATCCACATGAGTAAAATGGATACATATTTATATGAATCCACAGATTTGAGTTGGGTACATTTTGAAAATGTTACAAATAACAAGCATCTCAAGCATTAAAATTGAGTATATTTTGTGTTTTTACTTAAACTGAACTCAGAAATATGCATAAGAGCAAAGATAAGCTTCTATACCAAAAATATTCAGAATCAGTGACAATCTGACTCTCTAAGCTTTCTGCTTACTTATGTTACAATAAATGTACACTATAGCTATTATATTTCATATTTTACTGAAGGGAAGATACTGTATCTCTGATTGTAAAGCCACTCTAATTGAATTATTACTGAAATCAATATTATTCATATTGGTATATGATGTTACAAAAAGCTTGTGTTTCTAGCGTAATTCCTGAAGACGCTGAGAGTCTTAACTAGCAATTATAAAAGTCATAGATGTCTACTGTTCAATACAGTTCAAGATGAAATCCGCTGGTTTTACCCTGCAGGAAGCGCTACCATCTCTTCCATACCAAAATTAAGATTTATTTTATTTATTTTTATATATATATATATATATATATATATATATATATATTTATATATATATATATATATATTGCTATTATGGATATTTAAATGTTTACATGCTTTTATTTTTGTCACTGTTTCTTTCTCCAGGTACCGTATTTGGCAGTGGTAAAACTTCAGATTACCTGCTCCTGGGTAACACTGTATACACTGTAAGTCTTCCTACAGCTATCTGGTGATACAGCAGCTGACTATCTACATTGCCTACGATTCATTTGAATGGCTCTTTGAGAAGCTTTGAAGTGCATTTTGCATTATAATCCCAGTTTTTAAAACAAAGCAGTTTAAGAAATATGCAGAAGATAAACCTATTCTTTATTGGAAACTGTCTAATTTTTTTAATAATGAGAATTGTAATTAGCATGTTCATTAATTTAAGATAAGTTTCTGCACTGGAGAAATTCCAGGTTAATGGATATGGAACTGGTTTGTGGACTTTTGAAGATACAGTTCTGTTCTCCCTCTCTCAATTTATCATGGGGCCTCGAAAGAGAGATGGAGCCATATGCAACCAAGGTTTCTGGGATGCCTCTTCAGAGACAACCAAAATTCCAGAATTTCACCTGCACCACACCTAACTAATCTTCTGTTGTTCTTATAGATACTAGTCAGTATTGCTTTTTTTCTTCTAATATTTTATCTCTTAGAATAAATTAATGAAGCTAAATAACTTTTTCACTTGCTAGGTGTCAATGTTAACCAATAAATGAGGGTTTTCCAAGATCTCATAGAAGCAAAATTAGACTCATGCGTACTCTCCTCTGTTCTTCAACATTAAGATTTTAATTAATTTTCAACTTCCTGTTGTTGGCAGATACAAAAAAGAAAGTAATTATTCCGTCAGAATAAAGGACCTGTAATACATATACAAATTCACATCAAAACTGATTTCCTTAGGGAATAGGGAAACATCATAACTGAAATAAAAGGAAAGTATTCTAGAATACATTGTAGTCCTTTGAGAATGTAGCTACAGTCAGCATCTCCTGTGTATGAGAGAATATGTTGAATAGTGTTTTCTGATCAGCTAACCAGGAGGGATATTCTGTGTATTTTCTACTGCTGTGGCAGTTAAAATGTTTCTTCTGCCAGTCAGTATATGGACTTTAAATAGGTTCTTTCAGGCACATTGAAAAATTGTTTGTTCACACATTCTCTTAAAAATGTATTTGCTCTACACTTCCCATTCCCTGTTCCAAAAGGCAAGCACAGCATGTTTTGTTATCATTAGTCACATATGATCATGCAATCTATCATATGATGAACTCCTCTCCATTAGGGATGGATGGAGTATCCCGAGTAAGTGTTTTCTGTGCAAGTCTTAATAAAATTAAGATGTAAGGTCATAGTCATTGTCATAGCTCAGTCCTGACAGTAGTAGTTCAACTGACACAGGTCTATTTGCATTATGATTTCATAACACCAGGCAGTGTTTAGAAGTCAGTCATTTATCTGAATGTCACTCTTTTCCCTATCATAAGAGTATTTACCAGAACCACTTGTTGTTCTAAGTGACAGGTTGTTCTTGGGGAGAGGTTCTCTGCACTGAGTTTTCACCCTATCTGCAAATGTTTCATTATTTACTGTACTTGGAAGTTGCAATCTTGGTTAGTTCAGCAGAAGTTTATTTTATGAATTGTATGTATGTATATATGAGTTGGGTAACTTCACCTACTCTAGCACCAAAGACCAACACCTAAGTTTTCTGATAGCATCTCCTTTTCCTTGATTGCTCTAAAATTATCCTTTGTATTGGCCATCATTTTGTACAGTGAGTTAGAACTGTACACTTGTTAAGCCCAATTATTCAACATACTGTTGCAATCACAGCTGAAGTTCTTTCCTGAAGCAATCTCAGAACTTCATCCCACACAGTTGCTTTGCTCTGTGCTTCTTTCCAAAAACCAAGCTTGACACCAGGAGGAAACAAGTTACATAGCTGTACTAAGAGTTTACTGGATTAGACTAGGTCCTGTGGAACTGAGTGTGTGAAAACTTACTGTACTGCAAAATATCTTGCGTATCATCTGTGACATCAGCTGACTCAAAAACATCAAAGCCTGCACTTTCAGATTTGTGACAACATTTTCCATCACCTATACTTTAAACATAGTAACCTGGAGCTTCTTATTACTACTTGTCAAGTTGTATCCATAAATGTTAAAACAGAGGTCACAGTGCAATTGTTCTGTCACCCTGCAACTGGTTTTCAACTAGGAAAGCTGAAGCTTCACCATTTTGAGAGCCTAACTGCTTGCTACTAACCTGCAGAATGGCCAGTAATTTCCCAAGAAAACATTATTTCACCATTTTAAGTCCAGACAACCTGCTTTTTCATTTGTTTTCCAGATTTTCCACTTCAGATTGAAAATCTAGGGAGAGATGGGAGTTGCAATTGATGTATTCCTGTTCTTGCACAGGAACTCAAGGAGGTCTGGAGAACACATGCATATTTGAAAGGCTTTCAATATCGGGGGATGTTGAAGATTTTTTAAAAATCTGTGAACATGAAGTGTACATATGCTCACAATTGTCAGTCATTGCTTTGAAATATCAAAAATCACAAGACTAAGAGCTTCTCATTTTTCCCATTGCTTTTAGTCTGGTTTTAGGAAGTCTACATTCATCACTTGCGCACAAGTCAGTAGCAAAGGGATTCAGAAATTAATATAGTTTCTTTGGATCCACAGAGAAAGTCAGGAATGTTCACTGATTCATATCATGTCCTGGAATTACTTCTTCAAACATAGATTTCAAATAGGAGTAGAGTGCCATGAAAATATTTGTACAACCATTCTTGAGAGGTCTTTTTAAAAAAGCTCAGTGCTTTATACAGAATACAAGTTTGATTTCCTGTTTCCTGGGTGGGATTCAGTGAGCTATTGTTAGTTTGGATCAAGGGGAGGAGGAAGCAATAAAACCCATATTCTTGAGGAAGCCACTGTGCATAGTTGGTAACTTTGTTGGGGGTATCAGTTAAGATGCGAGGAGGGTGTATATATAAAAAAGGTACATCTCCTTTATTAGAGACCTGCAGTGTGTGTTTTGTCTGTGCAATGAGAATTCTTGATCTCATCTTAAGGAAGGATATTTTCTTACAACTGACTCAAAAGTAGCAAGCAAGTGTACCAGATGAATACTTTTTTTTCTTGCCATAATTCTTTTTTTTTCACTTATCCAAGTACAGTACCACAACTGGATAGACTCAGTAAATTATAACACTCATCATAGTCTTCAATTTTCTTCTAATTGTATTTCACACATGTTTTAGGTAATGGAATTGTGGCACTGTGGGGTTGTGGAGGTTTTGTGTCCTTAATAATACAGTGATAATTGAAATACAAGATTCCAGAAATAAAAGCATAAACTTCTAGCTAGGGTGAAAGCTTTCTGGCAGGATTTGCATCCTTCTATGCGCTAAATATAGTGAAAGACTTGTCATATATATTTAACCAGTTATTTTCAACTTCTCACTTAAGTAAATGTCTTCTGAGTTTCTGAGGCTACTCGAAGTTCAGCCACAGGCAAACTGACATCATAGCTGCCAACCTGGCCAACAAACTAGAGTTTAAATTATAGATGTTGCAGTTGCAGCTTGGTCCTTGTGACTCAGGTTTTCAGCCTTATGTTCTTCAGCTGCACATAAAGCAAAACTTGTAATACGTTTTCACATGAGTTACAGAATGTAATAACTATTTCTTTGCTAAACAGAAAACACATCTGTGTGAATTTCAAAGGAATGAGATTAAAAATTTCCCTTAATCAACTAGTCCTTGCTGTGGGATTATAAACTTTCAACTGCTGCTCATCACTAAACTAAAATAGAACATGTCCTACAGGACAGTAACATGATGTTTTCAGAGACTGCTCTATAGAAAAAATAAAGATAAGAGGGAAGAATGAAAATTCCATAACAGATTTATTCAACGTGTTACTTGTATGCAGAACAAAGGTCTTAGGCTGCAGACGTTTAACTCTGGCTTTCAGAGTTTGACAAAGGTGACTTATTTACTAATAAAGTACTAATAAAGTGAACTTTTGTTTTAATTTAGACTAATGTAAGCTTGAGCAGTTGCAAGCTTTCAGCTCAGCGTCTAGGTGATCTAAATCTCTCTTTGTGTAGAAAGTGGTAGTCATCCCTTCCATAGCTAGGGAGTCTGACATCTCTGCTGAAGTGGAATACGCTTTTCATGAACCTGTCTGTGTAACCAAAATACCATCAGTAAAGAAGCTAACGACTCAGTAAGAGCCAGACTTGCAAAGTTCTAGGAGGCAAGGGAAATGTTTAAGATTTCTAATACAAAAGAAGAGTTTTCCAAATCAAATGAGTGGTGACTGTTATCGAAAGCTAATAATTCTTAGTGTTCTATTACTAGCTCGTAACTGAGGTGTATCTATAAATCTTTTAGTGGCATTTTTAAGCGCACACACTTACAAAGAAGAGGAGAAATACAGGTAGCTATGGTCTAAAAGAATTTCACTTTGGGGGTGCTGCTTTTTGGGAGGACCAGATTCTATTAAAGTGGAAAGGCTATTCCATAGCTTCTTCAGGTCCATAGAAATGATTGCGGTTTGTTTTACAGGCTTTGGTTTGGATCCTATTACACAACTAGGTGCATTGACACACACAGTACTTTGTTGAATATTATTAAGGAAGTCACATTTAAATTGGAGATTGGTTATCCTTTCCCTTATTTCATTTGTGCAAGTAAACATGCAATATGAAAATCATTAAACTTCTTATTTGGTTCTCCTGAAAGTTTACCCATACTAATAAATTTAGTGTGTTAAGTAAGATTCCCATATTGAATAAGAATCCTCTCTCTCTCTCTCTCTCTCTTTTAAGTTTGTGGTTCTAACTGTGTGTTTGAAGGCTGGATTAGAGACCTCATATTGGACTTTGGTAAGCAGATGTCTTTACCATATTCTCAAATGTTCTATAAAATACGGTGGATGAATAATTGTATTCTTCTTATTTATTATATTATGCCCTTATAGTTTGTCAGCCCTCCCAACAGTGTCAAATTAAACTGTGGTTACTTCATGGAAAGAGAGAATATCCACATACAAAAAATAATGCTTAATATTGAAAAGGAGGACATTGGGATAAGGCTTAAAGTAATCCTTAAACTAGAAAAATCAAATTACTCTCACTTGATTGTAACTGAACTTAAGTTGGTTTAAAATGCAGGAATATTGCTGCTGAAAGTATCATTTTGCTTTAAAAAATAGCTAACTGAAATAGCAGAGTTAAATTAATACAAGGCTTGGAAATTTCATCCAGTATATCAAAATCACATTGTAAATACTAAGTAGAAAAGATCTTTTGTTATGTCATAATGCATCTGTGATGTTTGTTCTGTTTTCTTTTTTTGTTTGTTTTAACAGTTCAGCCATATAGCTATCTGGGGCAGCATAGCACTTTGGGTAGTGTTTTTTGGAATCTACTCTTCTTTGTGGCCAGTCATTCCCATGGCACCTGATATGTCAGGAGAGGTAAAAGTGTATTTTAACTAATACCCGAATGTATGCAAAAAATATTATTTCAGTCTTTAGTACAGGCCTAAAATTTATTGGATCCTTTCGCTAACTAGAGGTGCATAAGAGGGCTCCTTCTTTTATACTTTCAATGTGGTAGCCATGTTTGTTTAAAACAGAATTAATTTTTACTCTTGTGAAAATGGAGCTCAACTAACAAGCTGTGATTATATGGTCTAGTGAGGAAGAATAGACAAGTAAGCTGCTGTGCAGTTCTTTATTAAGTTTTAATTTTCTGAAGAGAAGTCTTACCAAATTCAGAACTCAGAATTACGTGCTTATTTGGATGTTTTTTAATAATGAGACAGCACAAGTAGTACACTGGTTAAGGCTGTTTTTTCATTTTCAATTATACAAAATTGCTAAGTGTTTGAAACTGTAGAATGCCACAAAAAAATTGAGGTGCATGAGCAGCTGCTTGTCATGCACTCATTTCCTTTTCTATTAATGTACTACTTGGAATGCATTATTATACTGTATCTTTAACCTTTTGACAGTAATTACTGGTTTTTCTTTCATTCATTATCCCGTTTGTGTAAACCTGCTCTGAATATTGCAAATAGGACTGAATCCATAAAGGATGCTTAATTGCTGCCTGTGCTGATGTAATTGGGACTTCAGTCCCAAATTCTCAAAAAGATTCAGCTCCAGAAACATCTGAAGTCTAGTATTAATTTACCGGACACTAATGTCTGCTTCTGGACATGGCCAATACCTCTTGAGCTGAGAAGTTTAGTTCATTCTCAGGAGGAATCAGAAACTGAGAATACCTGCTTGTTTCAGAAAGATATTCTTCTAACAGTTCTCAAAGCATATCAACTAAATCAAGCCTTTCACCTGTAAAAGAGTGCCTTTAACTCCACCCCTGTGAAATAGTTAAACAATTTTAAAATGAATGCAGGATGTGGGAAATTTAGATGTGTATCTCTCCCTCACTTGGAGGAAATTTGGACCCACAAATCTCATCTTCTACCTAAGCAGTTATGGGAAAAATAGTATATAGGCATTTCTATAGCTACTACATTTTTATGGAAGGCACAAGGAATTAAGTACTTTTGTAAAAAATTTTTACATTGTTCTTTAAGACAATAACTTTTATAGTGATAAGTACAGTGGGAGCAGCAGGGTGTTATACTTGGTATGACATAAAGGTGGCTACTTCACTGTTGAATATTTTACTTAGTACATGTTCAGTGTCTGAAGTTATTGTGAAAAAAATACGTTTCTGAAGGGAATGTAGTTCCTATGAACTTGGAAATACAGTTCTTCATAAAGAGATCTAGCTGTCCACAAAAATAAATACCCTTAGGGTTTGAATTCAACATGACACCAAAGTAGTCTGACTTACGAACCCAAATTAATTTATTTGTTATGATAAAACCGTACTTGAAATAGATATCATGTTAGTGTTTGCTTATGCATGTGTGTATATAGTAGCTTTCGATGTGTGTACATGCATGCAATTGTTTGAGGGAGTTGTTGTGAAGTGAGGTTGGTTTTGGTTTTGTTTTCTGATAGTTAGAGGTCTGTAACGTTGGAATAAAGTCTCCTAAACATCTCACAGACTATAAGAGCTTATTTTAAAAGCTCTGGTCTAGCTTTTTGAGCTGTACTCTGGCTAAAAGTCCTGTTGACAAATACTGCAGCTCAGACTGGAAGCAGGATTTTTCGTATGGTCTCACGGAGCCCACCTTGCTGACCAGGTGGTGTCTGGCAGGGCAGAATTCACTGGGTTTCTCTGAAGCAAGTCCAGACCTTCCATAAGTATTTGAACTAAAAGATTCACAAATTATTTGTGGAAAAGATTGTGGTATGATAGAAAGAAATGCATATGGACACCTCTGCTTGCCTGTGCAAATACTACTTGTCTGATTTCTTCAAATGTGCAAGTCAAACTTGAAGAATTCATCGAAGTACGTTTGTCAGAAATTAAATGAACAAGTCAAAAACTGACCTCTACTTCTGTAACTTTTTGTCTGTTTTGCCATGGCCTGATCTGATAAATCATGCTGAAGGTGATTTTCAGGGGTTTTTTTTTTCCAAATGTGTTAATTAAAAATTGCCCCCTTTTTAATAAGCTGTAGATCTATAAGAAGATTTTACCAACTATAATCCTTGCAAAGTTTAGAAGTATTCTCTTTCAGCTCCTTAGAGCTGGTAACAAGGGTTCTGCCTTGGCTTATAGTCTTAGTAGTCAGTATTCTTGATACAATGTTCATCCAACTATTCAGTCACAACTAGATGGTATCTGTCTTCTACAGACGTGTTTTTCATGGCTTCTTTTAGACAGGAAAGAACCTACTGAAACACTTTAATAAGGATTCGGTCTAACTTCATATTAATGTCATTAAAATAATAAGATTCTTGCTGCTTATTGCTGCTTCTATTAAAAAAAAATACTAATGCTCTTGAAGGGGAGTCAAAAAGCATATGGAGCTGATGGAAAACTCGTTCATTGGGTACAGAGGAAAGGTTTCATCTAAATATTTTGAAACTTGGATTTTTCATCTATTCCTATAAAATACCTGTGCAGCTCTGATAAATGTGTTTAAATGGAGAACATTAAAAGATAATGCCTTAAGAAAAAAAAAAAAAGAGTTGTAATAGAAGACAAGAGTCTGTTTATGCTGCAGAAACACTCACGTTGGAGCACTGAGGCCAGCAGCCCAAAGTTAAATCATAAGAATTGCTGGTTTGTGTTCATCTTTTAGTATCAAAGCATCACTCAATAATTTACTGAACAAAGAAACAAGTGTGTCACATATTTTTGCAAGTTTTCCCAACTTTTTACACTAATTTTGTTTCCAGCATTTTGTGTATCATTCCAGTTGGAGAGAAGATAATTGAAGTTGGCTTTTACACATGTCTCTATGTTAGTAATACAGAAGGAAATACTGTAGAATATTCTGCTCTGAAATAAAATATAGTGAAATGAAAAACTATGACTTTCTGACAGAGTGCCAAGAGTTTTGTTCATTGTCTAGGCTGCCCCCCTCCTTCTTTGTCATGTTCCTAATACTATAATCGAGTGCATTTTTGTTTCCCTCTCTGGCTCTGAGTTTTCCCAAAAAACCCAAACAAGAACCCTTTGATCCAAAATGCCCTGTTGATGCCAGAACTGCCTCAGCATTCTAAGTCAAGACCTTTGTTTTCTGGGCATTCGAGATTGCTATTCCCACACTGGACCAGCTCATCCTAACTGTACAGTACCATTGCTCACCGTATGGGAACTAGATGGCTCTCCATGTTACAGTACTCCTAAGTCCAAAGAGTGGTAACTAGGTTTCCAAATAGGTGGTGCATCAGAAGAGTTGAAAGGTGGCTTCTGGCTCACATAAGCGGAGGTATCCTAGCACAGGTGTTCTCCTGATATGAATTACTGGTAGTTATATAGCTGATACCTGTTAGAGATGGATAACAGGAATCTGGATTATAGTAGCTGAAACATGTTTCCGCAGTAAAATTCTGACAAAACCTTAGAATCAACATTCAAACAAGAAACTAGTTAAATTTTGTCAACCCTAAACCAGTTTCTCTTCCAGTTTTAAAAAAAATAAAAGTCCCTAGTGAAGAAAACTTCATTCATTTTCCTTCACTGAAGCTATTCAGATGAAAATTGTCCGTTCACCATTGTCTTTCTGTAGACACAGCCTAGAAGGAAAAATGGACAAAAAAGTGAAAGAAGCAATAGGATTTACGAAGCAGAAGAAAATGGGAAAATAGGCTGTAAAATTGAAGAAGGATATGTGATAAAAAAGGGGATGATAACCTAAGTAGTTAGTAGTTAATTATATAATATCCATGGCTAGTTCAGGTATTGTAGCAGATCAACTTTGTTACAAGTCTTTTAGTAGTCTGAAATAAGACTTACATATTTTATCATTAATTAAGCTGAAGTTATTATTTACCTTCATATTATTTTTGTTTGTACTTTAGACCCATTCAATTAAAAATTTTTCTTCAGTTTATTCTAAGAATTAGGGACTATATTCTTCTTCTAGTCTGACACAGATCCTAAAATACTAAAAATGCAAGTTTTATCTGCTTATAGCAAAGTGTTAAAATATTTTTTCTACCAGGAGGATTTTGGTAGTGGTAGAAAAACATTATTTCTGTGTGAGGGAACTGGATGCACAGTGTACAAGAGAAATATGGGAAACATTTCAGAAGTTTTCAGTGATTTTGTAACAATTTTGTACTCTCTGTAACACAGTCTTTATTACAGTGCAGTGTTCATCTGCAGTAATGTTTATTCCCACATTTGTTGTCTGTCAGTACTGTCTAGTGTGGAAACATCTGAACAACCACCTTTACAGGCTATTTTCTTAATATCTTACCTGTAAAGATTGTGCTTTTACATCTAGATGCACAAGAAAGAAAGAAAGAAAACCCAAAACAACTTCTTTGTAGGTGTTTTGTGGTTAGATCTAACAGAGTTATGGAGAAGTGGGTCATACCACAGGACATCTTTTTTGACCCATTACATGAAACAATCTCTATTTAATTTCAGAAAAGGTGCCACTACAGACCTGAACGTTTCCATTGCAGATTTGAGTAAATCAACTGCATGGATCTCTTTCTCTACTACATTGATGTAACTGAAGTTGATAGTTCTCTTTTATGTATGACATTAACAAAGAGAGTAAGCGAAGTATACTTCAAATATTTTTTTAAACAAATTACAGTATTTTCTCAGTTTAAACCACATGTAGTTTGCACAAATATCTAAAAGTAAATGCCAAGTCTCTTCATAGTTGATGAGGTATTTACATTGCAGATGTGATTTTTTTTTTTCTTTGAGACTCTTCAATACACAGAAAACTGTTCTGTGATGCTGAACAAAATGCATTTTTAATCTGTGATCCAGTGCATTACCAGAAGTTTCCTGTTGGCCGTGTTTTGTCATATTGTGCATTATACCTACCTGAAAGAAATAAATGATGCTGTGATTAAATTGT